TCTTGGAGGAGGTGACCCATCAGAGTAAGAGGCACCTCGCAGGCAAAAAGGCAGAATCAGCTGAGTCTCCCAGACAAGAGCCCAGGCTGCATGCAAGAGCAGTGAGGTGAGGTCACCTGCCAACCCGGCGGACTTGACCTTGAGCGCAGGGGGAACAAGGAAGGCTCGGAGCTGGAGTGGCCGGTGCAGTGTGGGCTTTGGAGGCTAACTGGGCTGTAGGCGGCACAGCCGAGCGGGAGCCTGAGCTCCAGGTCCTGTGCACGTGGCGGGTGCTGACGGGGAGGAGCCCCGGGCTGCACAGGCACAGCAGGCCCTCTGCAAGGCGCTCCAGGGAGGTGGCCCCAGAAGGACTGGTCCCCCGCGGCTAGGCAGAGTCCAGGTCTGGTTCTGGGTGTGTGTGGGGGTACCCTCGAGCATTGGCAGAGGGTGGGGGACGACTTGGTCTGTGAGGAGGGCCCGGGCTGTGCCCAGCATTGTCCCAGGGCTCAGACTCCACGTCCCTTCTGCACAGGGCCTGGCTGAGTACTGCACGCTGATTGACAGCTCGTCCTCCTTCCGCGCCTACCGGGCAGCCCTCTCGGAGGTGGAGCCGCCATGCATCCCGTACCTGTGAGTAGAAGCCCTGTCTGGGTTTGCCCCTTGGTTGCTCTGGAGATGCTGTATTGGGCTCCCTGAGAAACCGGGCTAAGGGTCCAACCAAGACATTTATACTGTCTCAACGCTAAACTGTATGGCAAGGAGTGCCTTTTAATTTTAAGCAGAATTGCGGGGTCCCGTGAAAATGTTCCATTCCCCTGTCCTGTTCCCACTTCTCCCTGGCCTGCAGGCAGCACGTCCAGGTGCGGACAGGCAGCAGCCTCCTTCCCCGCAGTACATCGTGCCATATTCCACAGGCCTCAAACTCGCTGCACGCCACAGCCCCCTGAGGGCCCGCTCACCCCAGGAACCCTGAGAGCACTGGGCATGAAGCAGCTCAGAGAGCGTGTCCTCCATGTGGGCCCTGGAAGAGGGAGTACATAGGTGTTTCCTGGGGAGGGACCCTGTGGTCAGTAAATATAGGAAGTGACAGAAAATCAGAGCTAAACAGGCTTCTGTTGCATGTCTGATCAGAGCCCTTAGTGTGCTAGTGGGCACGGAGTCTCCGAAAGGGTTGGAAGAGTCAGTCGGCACTGTCCCAGGGCTGGGTGTCTGATGGGACGTCCCTCAGAAACGCAGATTGGACAGCCGGCTCCTCTCCCGGCCTCCCGGCCTCACTGCACTGCCCTCTTTCCCGTGGGGGCTCGGTGACGGGTCCCTGGCCCTCGGGCTGGGCCTCCCAGGTGGAGGGACTGCCACCACTGGTCACGTGGCTTCACCTCCTGTGTTTAGAGCGGGATGGCGAACCTATGACACGCATGTCAGAGGTGACACGCGAACTCATTTTTTTGGTTGATTTTTCTTTGTTAAATGGCATTTAAATATATAAAATAAATATCAAAAATATAAGTCTTTGTTTTGCTATGGTTGCAAATATCAGAAAATTTCTATATGTGACACGGCACCAGAGTTAAGTTAGGGTTTTTCAAAATGCTGACACGCCGAGCTCAAAAGGTTCGCCATCACTGGTTTAGAGGCACCTGCTAACAAGAGGGCTCTGTCTCCTGCCCACTCTCAGCTTGGGGTCCTGTTATTTCTCATGTTCGTTTATGAATTTTACATGAGCAAGCCCACAGCTCTGCTGGCTTCTGCTGCAGCATCCCGTTCCCCGATGTTCCTGCAGGCCAGACAGTCACCGAGGCCTCCGTAGCAGCCCGACCTCCAAGGACCTGAGCCAGGACCTGACCTGGCTTTCCCGGGGACCCAGGGTTTGGGAGCCAGGACTTCCGCTGGGAGAGACAAATGCCTCCCAGAGCGCTGGTGGCTTTGGTAGTTTCTCAGGCACAGCCCAGGGGCCAGGGCCAGGGCCGCATCAGCACTGGCTTGTCCTGGTGGCCCCACCAACCTGCCTGGAAAGCAGCCACCTTCTAAGTCACCTCCAGAGGGTAACTGGGCTCTCCATCCTCCCAGGGGGCTCATCCTGCAGGACCTCACCTTCGTGCACCTGGGGAACCCGGATTATATTGACGGCAAAGTGAATTTTTCCAAACGGTGGCAGCAGTTCAACATCCTGGACAGCATGCGCTGCTTCCAGCAGGCGTGAGTGCTCCCCGCCCTTGGCTCCTGGGGCCTGAGCAGAGATGGGAGGTGGCGAGGACCAGGCTGTCAGGAGGCCTGAGGGGCTCGGCACGGGATGGCCCGTCGCCTGCACACAGGTGGCAGCCAGCCCGTCCCCTTTCCCATACAACGAAGCTGGTGACTGGTCTGCTGGCAAACTGGCCCGCCGGACACCAGAGTAGTGGGTGGGCCACGGCAGGAGCGGGGCCTGAGAGCGGGTCTCCCTGGAGCACCTGGAGAGGGCAGCCCAGCTGCAGGGATGCCGCTGGGGAGACCTTGCAGGAAGCAGGGCACAGCTTTAGGGTCTAGCGTGGGCTCTGCATGCTGCTGACCGTGTCTGGGGAGCTCGGACCCCCCGTAGGCCGTGGGCAGCAGGGCGCCTGCCACAGCGGTTTGCTGGGTGGTAGGGGGTTGCCGTTGAGAGGTCATGAGCACTCACGGCTGCCTTCCTCCCCACCAGGCATTACGACATCCGGAGGAACGACGACATCATAAACTTCTTCAACGACTTTAGTGACCACCTGGCTGAGGAGGCCCTATGGGAACTCTCTCTGAAAATCAAACCCAGGAACATAACAAGGAGGAAAACAGACCGGGAGGAGAAGACCTAGGAGCAGCTGCCATGAGCAAGGAGGATGCTCACAGGCTCAAGAGTGCGGCTCTGAGACCCGAAGGGACTTGGGACCTGTTGTGTGGCAGCAGCGCTGTTCGGCCTCCGCCAGGGGGCCAGCCGGGCAGGAGCGCTGAGCGCGGGCAGCTTCCTGCCTCCTTCCTCCCACGAGCGGAGCCCTCGGCCCGGCCAGGCGCGGAGCCAGCAGGCAGGTCTCGTTGCTGATTGTGAACTGGTGGTTTTCTCATTTGGTTTTGCTTTCACGTCTGTCTCCCCTCCCCGTCCCGCCTGATCCTCCTCCCACCTGGGAGCCGCAGAGTCCGCCCCTCCCTGACTTCCAGGGGCCGGATCTGCTGAAATGATGAATGAGTGGAGGCTCGAGGACCCTGGGGGGGCTGCTCCCCGGTGACCGTGAATGAAGGGACATGTAGCTGGGTGGGCAGAGAGCAGAGCAGGCTTGGGTGGGGCTCCTTTTGCCTTCCAGCCCTGCTTTCTAAGGTGGAGGATGGGCGCCGCTCACCTGGCCCTTTAGGTACGACAGGTGGCCCTAGCACTGCCCTCTGCCTGCGGGCAGCGGGCTGCTGGCCGTGCAGTGAGTAGCAGTGGCTGCCCTCTCTCCTTGCCCTTATCTCCCCACCCCGTCACCTGGCACTGAGGGTGCTGGGAAGGGGAGGGTGGAGCAAGAGAGGACCTTACCCCCCAAGAAATGCGTTTTAGCTGAGCTGGGTTTGTAGCTCTTGGGTGAGTTAATTCAGAGAGAGGGGAGTGGAGGGGCGTTTCTGTCTAGGGGGAGGCCGCTGGCCCCCTCCTGTCGCTTGCTGTGTGCCTTAAACTCCACCTCCTGCTCCCTCCGGCCCACGGGCTCCCCTCCAACCTTGCTCCATCCGGTGGGTGACAAGGACTCTTCACCAGTGTCCCCACCACTGTTGGCTCCCCCTCAGAGGGATGGTGTCTCTGAGAGGCCAGGGTCGGGGCTGCCCGGCCACACCCCAGAGCAGGCTCGCTCGCCCAGAAAGCGTCTTCGAGAACAGTGCTCCCCGCCCTCCTGTGCAAACCACTCTTGCTGCTGAGGTGACAATCCGAGGCCAGGTCTGCAGGCCGCTCTCAGGTGTCGGCGGAGCTCCCACGCGCCGTGGGCTCCGACAGGCCTGCCTGTGCGCTCTGCTGCGCGTGGTGGAGCGCTCACCTGTCCTGGGGTTGGCACCTGGTCACGCAGACTCCAGGACTAACTGCTTAGCCCAGAACAAAGAAAAGGAGAGAGCAACATCCGTTGATTGTTTAGATTTTGTTTGTAGAGAAGCTGTGTCACTTTGAGTCCTTCATGGTTTTGATGAGCTGTTATCAGGAGCAAGGCTGGGCTGGCCTTCCCCTCTCGTTTGTCCGGGTGGAGGGAGAGGCTACGAGATGTCGGTTACGGTCCCTCTGGTGGTGGCCCTGCCGCCGCAGCCAGAACGCGTCACTTTACTATTTAAGAGTGTGTGTGAGTCACTGTCACTAGCAGTGCCGCGTGCGGGGTGGTTTCTAGGCTGTGCCTCGTTCCTCGGTCGTCTCAGTCTTCCCCAGCCGCCCACTCTGCCGCTGCGCTGGGCCTCGGGGCTCCTCAGCGGTGGGAACCGGGGTTACCCTGCATTTCGGGGCACCCCCGGGTCTCCCTCCATAGCACAGGCAAAGACTCGGCCTCAGAAACCCAGCCACTCGCGGACAAGGCGTGTTTGCAGCCTGTCGGTCAGTTCTCAGCCAGGAGCTGGTGGGGATGGGGTGGGGGCTCCACTTCCCTCAATTCAGAAGTGGCTCTGCCCACCCTCCCCGAGCCCGAGGTGGTCTGCACAGAGGGGCCAGGCACCAGGCGAGCGGCGCCGTGAGCCCGGTGTGAGGACAGCAGGTGCAATGTGTGTGTGAACTGACTGGCCGCGGGCTGCCCCGCCCGTGCCTCAGTAAGACGCCCTCTTGGCTCCGGGAGTTACCAAACCCCATGCCAGCACCGCAGCCCTGCCGTGAACTGTCTTGGGGACAGGGTGTGGGGCTTGATCTTCAGGACAGACAGACAGACATGACCAGGACGGCTGGGTTCCCTGCAGGTGGGTAGAGCCAAGGAGAGGGCAGGCTGGCGCCACGTCTGAACCGAACCTGAGACGCACCTCCCACCACCCCGCCCCCCGCCCCCCCCCCCCCCCCGCCCCAGTGTTACATTGTAATATATCTTCCCGACTAACGGCTGATGGGGCAGCTTCCTGCAGACATTTCAAATGTGTAACTTTTGTATGAGAGGAAAATAAACGCAGGTGACAGCGCCTGTGTGCTACCGCGTGTCACAGTGACGGTGCCGCGCCGCCTTTCCTGTGGCTCCTCGGCCTGGCCGCTGCTGGGGTGGTGCCCACACTCGCTCCTGTCAGGGGCCTGGGCTCCCTCCGCCCTCAGGGGCCCAGGCTCCCTCCACCGTCAGAGGCCTGGAAGCAACCTGAGGCTCCGGGTCTGTCCACGCACAAGGCCAGGCTTCGGGTGCAGTGGCCATTTGGTGTCCCAGGGGATGAGAAATGGCCCCTCACTCATTTACACCACCACCCAGGTGTCCACTAGGTGCATCATTCCGGAACCAGTGAGGTCAGGTTTGGGTCTTTTAGTCTTGCGTGCTCAGAACATGCTGGAGGGACATGGCTCCTGGCTAATAGGCTCTGGTCCTGGCTCCGCAGCCCATAAGCCAGTGGCCGTGGGTACGCGGTGCCTTCTCTGTTCCCAGCTGCTCAGCCATAAGGGGTCCTCCCAGCTTCCACCGCGTGAGCTCAGCGAGCCACAGCCTGTAGCAGTGTCTGGTGAGCTGTTGCCACTGGTACAACTCACCCAGCATGAGTGGGCACCACGCACTTTGCAAACAGCTTTACCTCATTTCATCCTCTGCATTTAATGTCACACGAGGGAAATATCACAGCCATGGTAAGTGCTACAACGAAGAGGTACTTGACATTACACAATTAAATTTGGTTCGAAATCCACTCGGATAGCAGGTCCTGACAGGCGTCACAGGTACTTTATGTCAGACAGACAGGAGCGTCAGTCTCACACGAGCCCTGAGAACAGCAGGGAAACACTGCTTGCCTCATTTCAGGAGTAGAATACAACCTTGGCGTCCAATCCAGACAAGGACAGCGCAAGAAAATTACAGGCGAATGCTGACGCAGAAGCGCCAGAGTCACCTTATCCCCAGCCCGGCACTATAAAAGCAGTCCTCCCTGACCATTGGACGCATCCGCAATGCAAGGACGGAGTGATATTCGCAAGTTGGCCGTGTGCTTGGGCACCCCATGTGCCCTCACTAAGGGCCCTGTCATTCATCCCAGTCCCGGGCCTGCTGGCTGCTGTGGACAGATGCAGAAGTGGATGGATGTCCCCTCGAAAAGTTACAAATGGAGCTGCTTTTGACCCACCGATCCCGCCTGGGAAATATCTGAAGAAACCCCAAACACTGTCCACTGCGGCATTATTGACAACAGCCAGGGTCTGGACGCAACCCACTGCCCATCAAAGGACGAGTGGGTAACAGAGCCCTGGTGCGTGTATAGAATGGGATGATACCACTCAGCCCCCAAAAGAATGCAGTCTTACCATGGTGGCAGCGTGCCTGGGCCGAGAGGGCGCGGTGCTGAGTGCAGTAAGTCAGAGACAAATGCCACGTGATCTCACCGGTGCTCAGAACCTGAAGAACAAATGAGCGGGTGTGCCTCTCCCGGCCGCGCAGGCTCCAGGGGCTGACACGCAGAGCCCCGCGCGAAGGAGCCCAGACTGGGCCGCCCTGCCACCCACACTGGACTTCGCGTGAGTGAGACGGGAACTGTGCCAGCTGAGCTGCCGCCAGAGCTTACCGATTTTCACAGCGCGGCCTCGCCGCCCCTCAATGCGACGCGCAGATGAAAGGAAGGACACGCAGAACCACCTCCGTGGCCAGACTTTAGAAAAGGGCGCCAGCTTGAGCAGGGACGTCATACAGAGAATCCAGAGCTGCTAACGGGCTCCACGTCATCAGTCATCGGAGAAACGCCAGTCAGAGCCACACTGAGCCGCCGCCACAGCCTCAGCCCCGGAGCTGCTGAACCCACGCCACGGCGACACCAGGGTGGCAGCGCCAGCGACTGGAATGCCCTCCATGGGGGGTGGGAGCGCAGCCTCTCCCTGGGCTGAGGTGATAGCGCCACGGCTTCCTCGGGTGCCACCCCAGCTGGCCGCAGGCATTCCACCCCGAAGCCAGCGTTCTCTCGCTGCACACGTTCCATGTGCCCAGCCCCCCCTCCAGGGCGCGTCAGCACAGTCACTCACGACCCATCCGTCTCCACACTGGCCCGGAGCCTCCGAAGACAATCTCCACCACGGCGAGCCCTAAAACTGGGCCCGCTGAGGCCAAAGGCAGCGCATTTTCTTCATTTTTAATGACACGACGTATGAATCCCATCGTCAGGTTCAGCCAGGCGTGGCACCACGGCTCCTGGTTCCCGGGCAGCCACTGCCAGCAGTTTGCAACTTCCTTTCAGACACTGTCCTTTGCACATGCGCGCATGTAAGTCTACGGCACATACCTTATCGACAGACGACACAGTGTACTGCCCACTACAGGGAGGCGGCAGCCGTCCTGATCTGTCCCCGACCTGGCCAGGCCCCGTCTGCTTCTGTGGGACCGGATCTCGGCCCCTCCCTCTGGCTTTCCAGACGGCCAGGGGCCTCCCCAGCGCCCTCCCAGGCTCTCTCCTGTGTGTGGGACTCCTCGACTCAGCTCTGTAGTCCAGCTGCAGTTCACTTTTCCATACAAGTTGAGAATGTTTTTCCAACCACATAGCCAACTGCTTTTCTGAGTCCTTGACCCACTCAGTTCAAAGGCCGTTTTGATCGGGTAGTAACTCCCCGCGCCCTGGGGACGTTCACTGGGTGTTCTGCTGGCCGCGCTGTCTTAGGTACTGTAGCTCTATATTAAGCTTTACTAGCCAGGGAAGACAGGCCCCTCATTCAGTTCTCTAAACAAGTGTAAGTTTTTACACATTTCCCTTCTATTTTTAAAAACTTGTGTTATAGTTTTAAAACAAGAAAAACGGCTTTCTTGTTGGGATTTCATTAAATCGCTAAGAATGCTACATCTTCCTATCCAGATATTTTGTTCAATTTTATATATATAGGGTGTTCCCCCAAAATGTAGGTACACACTTTAAATAATTATAAAGGCAGTGTTTATTAAAATACATTTCATTTTCAAAATTGAGCTATCAGCTGTTAAAGTGTATATGCATTTTGGGGGGACCTGCTGTATATATAAAGTTATATATATAATTAAAAATCATTTTCCTCACTTGGGCCCAGATCATTCTTATCAAAGTTATTTCTAGATTCTACTGTTTTATCACTACTGTGAGTGGAATTTTTCAAAATTTTTTCCATTTTAACTGATTATTGCTAATGACTATCACATTTATTTTGTATCCAACTATTTTACAGTTATTCTAATTTTTTCTTTGATTCTTGGATATTACAGCTAGAAAATCACGTTGTCTCTTTTGACAGAGACTGCAAGTTTCATACTACAAATTTCACTTTGTTGTTTTTTACGTTAGCTAGAACCTTAACACAATGTTGAATAGAGACACTAGGGGCCTCCATGGATTGCTCCTGCAGAATGGTTTTTAATGGTTTTAATCCCCATTTAATGTGCCGTTTCCAGTTGGCTCCTTAGCTTCTGCTTCACTGGGAGCTCATCAGAGATGCAGACTCTCCGCTCCCACGTCCCGACTCCGAGCCTGCCCTTCTGCAAGGTGCCCGCGCTTCGTACCCACAGCGCAGGGCACGGTCCAGGGACTTCTTTCCTTGGCGTTTACGTAGTTCAGTAGGAACAGCTGTTGCTGTGGGTTCAGCGAGTCCTCTGCACTGTTCCTCCTCCTCTTCGGGGCCGTTTGCACGAGGGTGACTGACGTGCCGACTGGCCCAGCCCCAGCCAGCTGTGCGCATCGCCGACGCCCTGGCCCAAGGCTCCCAGCATCTCCAGGGCTGAGTCAGGCGTCTGCCTCCGCCCGGTGCCAGGAGCCAGGGCTGCGGGCAGCACCCAGAGGTGCAGAAAGCAGGCGATTGAACGCGAGCTGCCAGTCTTCTCTGGCCCAGCGGGGCCTCCCTCCTCTCCGTGCAGATGGTTTGTCATCTTGAGTCACAGGCCCCTCGAGAATCTGGTGAAAGCTCTGGGCCCTTGCAGGAGCGCGCCCATCAGTGAGCGGCCTCCCACCTGCTGAGCGGGAGGCACCGGGCTGCCCTGCCACGCACAGTGAGGCCCTCACGCCCTGCCCTGCCCTCCCCTCCCCTCGGGCTGTGGAAGACCCTATGGAACCGCCACCATCACCGCCGAGAGCACCTGAGCCGGGCACTGCGCCCAGCACCCACGGGTCCCCTCCCTGGTCCGCCCAGGGGTCCAGGGCAGGCCATGCTGCGGCCCCTGACGGAGGAGGGAAGCCCACTCGCTTGAGCAGCGGGCGCTCTGAAGGCCAGGACTGGACCAGCCAAGGAAGTTACTGTCGGTCACAGTGCCCCCTGCTGGTGAGTCAAAGGGGGAGGTGTGGGGGCCCAGCTGTTGCTCCCACTTTGCAGAGGAAGAAACAGACACATGGCTTTGGTTTCTGGGCACAGCGGGCGGCGTGAGAGGCGGGGCCCTGACCGACCAGCCAGGAGCCAGGCGGGAGGAGGCCACGCCCACCAGCCCCATGGGAACCGAACCGCAGCTGTGCCGTGACCTGACCAACCCAGCAAGGAGGCCAGGAGGGCAGTTCCCCTCCCCCACCCCGATGGCGCTGAGGACACAGACTTCTGGTCCCTCTGATGGTCTCCTGGGGGTAAGGTGAAGGCAGGGGCCTCGGGCCCGGCCAGCAGTCCCAGGAAGACCTCAGGAGGAGGCACCAAAGAAATGGGGCTCCCGGGGCCCCCATTCCTCAGCTGGGCCTGGGCCCTGAGACCACTGCAGATTAGAACACTGCCCATCAGGGCTGAGGCAGCCACGGGTGTGCTGAGTGCGCCAATCCCTCCCGCTCCTACCCCCGGGTCCCCTCGGTAGGCAACAGATGGCCCCAGCAGGGATCACAGTCCACAGGAGTCCGGCAGGGTGGGTGTCCGGGCATCCTGACGTCCCCGAAGCAGCCCCAGCCTCAGGGGAGGTAGAGGGCCACCAGCACGTAGATGACCCAGCTGGTGGACACGAAGACCCCGAAGAGCAGGCTGAACAGCACGAGGGAGCGGGCCTTGCGGGAGGCCTCCTCCGCCTGGGCCAGGTCCCCCCGGCTCAGGGCCGAGCGGGTCTGCAAGCAGACAGAGTGAGGATGAGCCCACCACGCCCCCACCTCCCATGCAGCACCGTCGGGCCAGGCCCCAGTGTAGCCTGGGAAATGGGCACCCTGAGAAGTTTGGGGCCTGCCCAGGAGCAATCGGGTGATGGCTGCCAGCTCTCGGGCACCTCGTGGGTGGGGCACGAGCCACATCCTCGCCCTGGTCCCTACATCTTCCAACAACTCCAGCTGCTGGTGTCTTTGTTGCCCCCACTTTGAGATGAGGAAACAGGTTCAGAGAAGTTAAGGGACTGTCCTAGGGTCACACAGCTGGTGGCGGAGCCAGAATTCACAGACACCTCTGAGCTGTCCTGAGAGCTGCCTTCTCCCCACAGGCCTGGCTTACGGTGGGGGAGCTGGGGGGGGGGGGTCAGGGCGTGGCCAGCTCAGCATCGGGCAGAGACCCCAGAGGCTCACCCACTCTGTCAGAACACCCTCCATTGGCATGACTGGGTCCCCAGAGCCTGACCCTGTGCAGGGCAGTGGTTGGGGGGTGGGGGCTGAGCAGATGGAGAGGAGAGATGGCGGGGGGCAGGGTGGGTGGTGAGAGGAATGAGTGGGTGGAGGGGTGCCCACAGCCCCCTGGGACAGCAGCTCCTGGGCCTGGGCAGCCACTCACGCTTCACCGTGAGCTGTGGGAGCCCGGCCGCCGGAGCGGGCCTTGAGTGTGGGCAGGGCCAGGGGAAGGAGGTGTCCATCCGCGGGGCCCAGGGCCAGAGACACTGCACCGATTGCCAGTTCCCCGGCGCCCAGCTCCTGGGGGAGGGGCCGGTGCCTGCTGGGAGGTGCACCAGGGCCGCCCCTACCTCGTGGGAGTAGACGATGGCGAGGAGCCCGGTGAGCAGGCAGCAGAAGAGGGTCACCAGCACCGACTCCATCATGTAGTCCTTGGGCAGCGGCCTGTGCTCCACCGTGGCGGGCGCGGGCACGCCGGCCAGGGGGCTGTTGTACTGCGGGGCAGAGGCCACAGGCGTGAGGGAGCGCCCAGAGCCGGAGTGCGGACCAGCCCCCCCCCCCCAACCCCACCCGTGAGGCTGCGGTCACCCAGGGCAGGTCACGCTCCAGGAGCCCTGTCCCCATGTCCCCACGTCCTCATGGCCCCCCGCCCCCGGGGGGACTGCTCCACCGTCCTAAGGCAGCCGGCTTTGTTTCACTCTAAAGATCTAATCAGATCATCTCCCTTCCAGAGGCCCTGGGCCCTCGGATGTGTCCCTCTCAGCACGCCCCCCCTCGCCCCGCCCCCCCCCCCCCCCACCTAAGCTGAAGGACCCACCGCCATGCCCAAGCCCAGCCCAAGCCCAAGCACGGCTGCCTCCTGCCTGTGCTGCGCCCTCTGGCCAGAGGGCCCTTCCGTTCCCGCCTGAACTCTCCTATTCACCCCTCAGAACCCAGCTCAAATGCCCCCACTTCTGGGACGCCTCCTGGGCTCCCCCCCCCCCCCCCCCCCCCCCGGGCAGCTGAGGCAGCCTTTCGTGCTCCTCCTCTGGGCACCAGGACCTGCATGGGTTGTTACCGCGACTTCAGTGTCTGTGAGCCCAGCCCCCGTGGGGTGGGGGAGGGAGGACGGAACGAGTGGGGGGGGTAAGGGGTGGGGGTAAGGGGGGCAAGGAGCGGGCATCGGGCTGGGTGCCCACTCACCACGGGGAAGGGCGCGAAGAGCGGCGGCGGGGCGGGCGCGGGGTAGAGCGGCGCGGGCGGCGGGAACAGGGCGGGGGGCGCGGGGCCGGGCTGGAAGAGGACCGGGCCGGGCGGGAAGGGCGGGTACAGCAGGTGCACGGCCTTGGGGTCGGGCGGCGCGTAGGGCGGGGGCTCGCCCACGAAGCCGATGTTGGGGATGCCGCCGGCGGCCGCCTTGGGCCCCGGCCTCGCCTCGCCCTCACCCGCGGCCGGGGCCTGGGCGGGGGGCGCCGCGGCGGCGGCCGGGGAGTCGGGGGGCACGGCGGGGGCCGGGGCGTCCTCGGCTGCTTCCTCGCTGGGCCCTCCGTCTTCATCCAGGAGCTGCGGGCGGCGCGGGAGCTGCGGGAGCTCGGGTCTCGGGGGGGCCTCCGGGGCCTCCGGGCCAGCACCCCCTTTGGTGTCCACTCCTGGGAAGACATGGCGGGTTTCAGGAGCCTCAAGAGGCCGTGGGCCAGGTGGGACCCTGCCCCCCAAGCCCCAAATAGCCCCTCCGAGAAGAAAGCCACGCGCGACCCCTGCCGGAGCCTCTCCAAGCCTTCCCCCGAAGAGCCGCCAGGACCGAGGGGGCTCGAGGGGGCAGTGCCTCCGGTGGTCGCCCCGCGCCCCGCGCCCGCGCCCCGGGCCAGGCAGCCCCTGCGGGCGGAGGAGGGAACCTGGGCCGGGCGGCGCTGAGGGGCGTCCTGAGACCCAGCCGGGGGCGGGGCTCGCAGGTGAGCTGAGCCAATCAGAGCCTTGGCTTGGGGGGGGCGGGGGGGGGGGGGAGCTGCTCGGGAGTGGCCAGGCCCTGGCTCCCGAGTGGCTTCAGAGCCAGGAGGTCCCGAGGAGCATTTACATCAATGGCTGCACCATCCGGACAAAAAGCAGCAGGAAACATGGGCCTCAAACCCCGGACCAGACGGACTTACAGACACGGTCCGAACACTCCATCCCAAACCGGACACGCCTGCTTCTGGGAGCATAGGGACCGCTCCCCAGCGGAGGGTATGTCAGGCCAAGTCTTAACATTTAGGAAGATGCAGATTATGTCGAGCATCTTTTCCAACCATAATGGTCTCAATTCCAAGAGGAATAAAAACTAGGCAAACCACAGAGCTGTAGATTAAGCAACATGCTTCTGAAAAACCAGGGGGTCAAAAGAGAAATAACATCTTGAGACAAACGACAGTACAACACACCAACACTGACGGAACGCAGCAAAGGCAGTTTTAAGAAGGAAGTGCATAGCGATAAATGCCCACATCAAAAAACAAGAAAAATCTGGTCTGAGCTAGAATGGAGGCAGAGGGCTGGTGGGATGTGGACAAGTGGACGGACTCAGGCACCGGGGCACCGGCCTGACACCCAGGGAGGTGAGGAAGGGGGAGGGAGTTGTCAGAGGGACAGGGCCAGCAGACCTCTGTCACCTCCTCCTGGGTCCAGGGCTGGGCTGGTGGGTCTGGGGGGAGGGCCTCCTACCATCAGGAGGGGCGCTCAGGGCCAGGCTGCCTGGGCTGCTTCCTTGGTTGCCTCATCCTTAAAAACAACACCTGGGCGGTTGTGGGGATCAAATGAGTGTAGGCACGTGAAGTGAGCAGGCTCTTGGCTAACACTGGCTACTGCTGTCTGAAAGTTAGGGAGGTGAGAAAGTGCAGGGGGGCCTGGCCCTTTGGGGAAGCTAAGGAGTGTGTGTGTGTGTGTGTGTGTGTGTGTGTGTGTGTAAAATGAAAGCTATAAGGAGTGGTGTGTGTGTGTGTGTAATGAAAGCTATAAGGAGTGGTGTGTGTGTGTGTGTGTGTGTGTGTGTAATGAAAGCTATAAGGAGTGGTGTGTGTGTGTGTGTGTGTGTAATGAAAGCTATAAGGAGTGGTGTGTGTGTGTGTGTGTGTGTAATGAAAGCTATAAGGAGTGGTGTGTGTGTGTGTGTGTGTGTGTGTGTAATGAAAGCTATAAGGAGTGGTGTGTGTGTGTGTGTGTGTGTAATGAAAGCTATAAGGAGTGGGGTGTGTGTGTGTGTGTGTGTGTGTAATGAAAGCTATAAGGAGTGGGGTGTGTGTGTGTGTGTGTGTGTGTGTAATGAAAGCTATAAGGAGTGGTGTGTGTGTGTGTGTGTGTGTAATGAAAGCTATAAGGAGTGGTGTGTGTGTGTGTGTGTGTGTGTGTGTGTAATGAAAGCTATAAGGAGTGGTGTGTGTGTGTGTGTGTGTAATGAAAGCTATTGGGAAGGGAGTCCACACTTAAAGTAAGAAAGGTTTATGACTAAGTTTGACCCAGAGCGCTGGGCTCTTCCAGGAGGACCCCTGTGGGGAGTGGGTGGGGGGAGCAGGATTGCTGGTCTCCTGGAGGGTGGGGGTGGCCTGAATATCCCTGCCCCCAGGAACCAGCCATGCCCCACCCAGGAGATCTGGTTAGACACTCAGGATTGCCAGGGCAGCTCCCAGCCTCACCCACCCAGACAAGGGCTGGAGTTTTCAAATAAGGCACCAGCCCAGCCAGCGTGGCTCAGTGGTTGAGTGTTGACCTATGAACCAGGAGGTCATGGTTTGATTCCCGGTCAAGGGCACATGCCTAGGTTATGGGCTCCATCCCCAGTAGGGGGCGTGCAGGAGGCAGCCAATCAATGATTCTCTCTCATCATTGATGTTTCTGTCCCTCTCCCTTCCTCCCTGAAATCAATAAAAATATAAAAATAAGCCCTGGCTGGTTTGGCTCAGTGGATAGAGCATCGACCTGCAGACTGAAGGGTTCCGAGTTCGATTCCGGGCAAGGGCACATGTCCAAGTTGCGGGCTTGATACCCAGTGGGGGGCATGCGGGAGGCAGCAGACCAATGATTCTCTCATCGTTGATGTCTCTCTCTCTCCTTCTCCCTTCCTCTCTGAAATCAATAAAAATGTATATTTTCATAAATAAGTAAATAAATAAATGAAATAAGGCACCCCCCCCTGGCTGGGACCCTGGGGAAACAGGAGCGCTGTTTGCTGTCTGAGCCAGCGGGTGCCCCTGGCCGACGGTGGCCAAGCTCTGGGCCAGTGCCCACCCCCCTGCGAGTCAGGCCCCGGCCCCTCTGAACACGCCGCACAGAGGCCCAGCCAGCGCGCAGGTGACAATCCCAGTCTCCACTGAGCTCCGGCCGGGGGCCTCCTGTCCTCCGTGTGAAACGGTGGCGATGGTGACAACCACTGAGGGGGTAACGGTGAAGACGAATAGGAACAACAGCAATGAAATGGTGCCGCCGCACAGAACCCCGCTCCCTTCTGAGGGCACAGAGCAGGTAACCCGAGCCCCAGCCGGCAGAGCCACGCCAGACACCGGTCCCCGCGGGATGCGGGCACGGGACGCCGGCGCCGGCCCTGCCCCAGTTACCGTAACACAAACCGCAGCTTCCCGGGCCCCGCCTGGGCAAATACCTGGCCGATGGCGCGGAGATAGGGCTGCAGAGTAAATAAATGTGCCGCCGGGGCTGCCAGCCGCCCGGGCTCTCGGATTCTCGACACTTGAGCCTCCGGACATTCCAGCGGGGGAGGGGGAGGGGAGGGGGGAGCGGGGAGGGGGAGAGGAGCGGGGAGGGGAGCGGGGAGGGGGAGGGGAGCGGGGAGGGGGAGGGGAGCGGGGAGGGGGAGAGGAGCGGGGAGGGGGAGGGGAGCGGGGAGGGGGAGAGGAGCGGGGAGGGGGAGGGAAGCAGGGAGGTGGGAGGAGGAGGGGAGGGGAGGTGGGGAGGGGGAGGGGGAGGGAGGGACGCGCTCCAGGGTCGCGGGCAGGGGTGGCGGTCAGAGCGCGCCTTCCGTGCGAGCGGGGGCGGGAGAAATCCTGGCGCCCCCCGCCCCCCAAAGATGTGGCCGGAGCGCCAGGCAGGGCTTCGCACCGCCCGCCGCCCCCCCAAGCCCCTCCGGCCGGGACTCCCCGCGAGGGCGCAGCGCACGGAGCGGGGGTCTCGGTTCACCGCCCTCCCAGGCCCGGTTCCGGGGGCCCCCGTCGGGGTTCCCTGAACGAGCCTTTCCCCGCCGCCCGCCGCGGGGTCTCGCCGCCCGTGGGGTCCTCCCTCCCGCCGCCCTTCTGCCCCCCTGGCCAGCGCGCCCTGCCCGCTCTCAGAGGGGGCGGCGCGTGGAGGGAGTGGAAAATGCCCCCCAAATCGCCAGTCTCGAGCCCCTGCTGCCCGCCCTGGGGGCCAGGCCCCGGGACCTCGCCAGGGCCGCCCCCCTAACGCTCCCCCGGGGATCCCAGAGCCGGGGGTCCTGGCGCCAACGGCCTGAACTCGCCCCGGCGCCCCGCCCCATCCCCCGCCGAGGGGTGTCCCCGGGCAGGGCCGGGCCGGGGTCGCTCAGCCGCGCCGGGTCCCCGCGTCCTCACCTGCGTCCATGGCGCGGCCGGCGGCGGGGCGAGGGGGCGGCGCAGCTCCCGCGCCGTCGGACCCGGCTCCGCTTTCGCCGCGGCTCGGGTTTCCTGGTGCCGCCGCGCGACCGGTTAATAATTGACCGCCCGGCTGCGCGGGGTCCCCCGCGGCTCCCGGGCGCCCGGCGCCGTCCACCCGCGGGCGGGGAGGTCGCGGGGAGTTCTCAGCGGCTCTCGGCCGAGTGGGAGGCGGGGTGGGGGGCGACCAGGCGAAGTGGGAGAGCCCGGGGCGAGGCCTGCGGGTGCTCCCGCGCGCACGGGCCCGCCCCGTTGGGTGCACTTTCTGAAAGGTCCGGAGTGGCCCGGGGTCGCGCACCTGTGACATGACGCCATGATGTCTCCAGAAAGATTTTATTCCCGGCACCTGGGTGCAGGCGGGCTGAGCCCCAGAAAGGCATCAGCGAGGAGAGCAGGGAGAGAGGTTTTCCTCCCTTTCTGCTGGCTGCAGGCCGCTCTGCTGAGTAAGGGTCTGTCTGTCCTGGCTCCCCCCATGCCGGCGTCCTCGGTTATCTGAGCTGCGCTCAAGGCTGCAAGCACGATGTCTTCTCTGCCCCGTTTTATTCTCTTTAACACTTTCGCTTTCCCCCAATTCCGACAACTGCCGCCGGCAGGACCCGCCAGCGGAAGCTAAACGTGGTGGGTATTTGAAAGCGGTTTGAACAGAAACAGAACTTATCTGCACAAGGGACCTCCTCAAAGGACTTAGGAAAGCCAGCAAGTCTGCGTGTGGAAGCGCACAACAGGTAACCACTGGCGCCTTCGCCAGGTGACCACAGGCGGCACCACAGTGACACATAAGGACCACATAGTGACACACCGCGCACCTCCGTGGCCCTGAGCGGTCCCTCACCTGTACAGGCCTCCCAGGAATGCACATGCCCCGTCACACGGAACCCTCAGGCAAACCCAAATGCAAACCCATTTGGCTCTTAAAATCTACATTTTTTTTCATAATGTCCTCCCTCTAACCCATGTACTTTCTCTTCAAATGGTTGTGAAACTTTTTACTTGAAAATAATTGCAAGCTCGGGGGAAAGCTGGAAGAATGGTGCACACGCCCAGAGAATGTCTTTTCTAACAGAGCTCTTTGCCTGGGCAGAATCCAGCTCAGAAGTATGTGTGCACCCAGGGGTCATGTCTTCACTTCTACAGACGCCTCTATGTGTATGATAGGCTAATATGCAAACTGTCCCCTTGGGCGTTCCACCGGGAGACTGGGCGTTCCATCGCTCGCCATGACGTGCGCTGACCACCAGGGGGCGGCAGAGAAGGAAGGAGGGCCTCCGCCGCAGCAGGAGAGAAGGCCCTGGCCCGAAGCCAGAGGCCCTGATCAGCCTGCTCACAGCCAGGCCTGGGGACCCTGCCGACCCCTGCACAGCCTCTAGTCTTCGAAAGCTTTCCAAATTGGTGTCTCACCCTGGCCCCCTTGCTCTGGGGGCAGCTGTCCCAGGGTCTCTGCCATCTTGGTGAGGTCATGGTCAGCAGGAGCTGAATGTACAGGTGCCCGCAGGGCTGTGCAGGGCGCTGGGTGAGACAGCTCTGCATTTGTCCCTGGGGTCCCTTTGGAAGTCCCCAGGTGTGCACCATTCTTTATGTTAGTTTCTCCGCTTGGGGTTTCTGCACGTGTCCGACCCAGGGTTAGGGTTAAGGGTTAGAGTTAGGGGTTAGGGTTAATCCTAACTCTAACCCTAACCATAAACACTAACCCTAACCCTAAACCTGACCCAAGGTAATTTCAGACCAGGAGAGCAAACACCAGAACACAGAACCCTAACCCTAACCCTAACCCTAACCACATTACAGAACCCTAACCCTAACCCAAACCACAATATAGAACCCTAACCCTAACCACATTACAGAACCCTAACCCTAACCCTAACCCTAACCATATTATAGAACCCTAACCCTAACCCTAACCACATTACAGAACCCTAACCCTAACCCTAACCCTAACCCTAGCCCAACCCTAACCTGGCCAGGCTCACTGTGAACGGTGAATGGTCCTGTCTTGAGTGCCTGTGTATGTCCTCTCAGTTAGGGGGTGGCTTTCATACTGCCCTGGCTGGGCTGCCCCCTCATCAGCTTCCCTCTGTCCAGGTCCACAGGCTCAGGAGGCCAAGCCCCTTGGCCACTCTCCCCGACGGGCCATCCCGTGACATTTGCCCACCGCGCGCCGGAGCCAACACGCGCACGCAGAGCCGCGGACGCCGGGGGCACCGCCGAAGAGCTGGGCTGGCTCGGCTCCTCGGACTACAACTCCCGCCATGCCCCGCGCGCCCACCGCCTCCCGGCCGCTCCCGGAAGTGGAGCTCCGAGGGGGCGTCTCCGACCTTAGCGAGGGGGCGGTCCGGCCGGCTGGTCTGGGGAGGAGGCCGCGGCGAGGAACCCGATGCGGACCGGCGGCGCCGCAGATGGCTTCGCCTGCAGGCGACGACTGCGGGGGCGCCACGCCCGAGGCGGACCGGCCTCGCCAGCGGCCCTTCCTGATCGGGGTGAGCGGCGGCACCGCCAGCGGCAAGGTGAGGGCGAGCGGCCCGGCGGGGTCTGCGCGGCACCGCGACCGGGGCGCGTCTCCGTCGGGGAGGGAACCGGGGCAGGGCTGCGGGAGGGGGCGGAGCGGGGGCGGGCGGGTCCGTGTCCAGCGCCGGCAACGTGCGGTCCCGAGTCAGCGCGCCCTGTGTCCGTGCCCCAGTCCACGGTGTGTGAGAAGATCATGGAGCTGCTGGGGCAGAACGAGGTGGACCACCGGCAGCGGAAGGTGGTCATCCTGAGCCAGGACAGGTTCTACAAGGTGCTGACGGCGGAGCAGAAGGCCAAGGCCTTGAAGGGACAGTACAACTTCGACCACCCAGGTAGGTCTGGCCCTGGGCGGGCGGAGGGCGGGAGGGCGGCCGGGTCGGGGCCCAGGAGCGCTGAGCGGGGCCCATACAATTGCCCAGGCACCCGAGGTGGAGTGGGCGCTGGGCCCTGGACCCTGGTGGAAGCCAGGCAGCGGGAGCGCCTTTGGACCCCCACCCCTGCCCTGTGATGTGGAGAAGTCCACTCACCTCCCCACGGGGCCCTTTGCACACCCCGTTGTCCACTGCGGCCTTGACCTGCCCGCTGCCTGGGGCACAGCTCCTGAGAGGCCTGCAGAGGGAAGCAGAGCCCAGACCCAGAAACTTTGTTTCCTGGTTGGTCGGGGGCCAGGGGAACAGGTGGCAGTTGGAGGGGTGGGGAGGGTCATGGCCCGAGGAGGCCAGCCTGCCCTGCCCGCCACGACCCACAGATCCGTGCTGCGGCCGACTCCCAGCTTCCTGCTTTCCGGGGACAGCAGCCTGGGCAGTGGCACTGCTGGGGTCAGCAAGGACAGGGCCATCAGTGGGTGCAGGACTGCAGAGGGCTCTGCAGATGGAGGCTGTAGAGGCCACTGCCGGCCCAGGCGTCCCTCAGGTCCCAGGACCACCAGCAGGACCGCCAGCATCCACCGTGGCCGAGGAAGCCCCGTCCCAGCACAGGACGCCTGGACCGTCTTGCCTTTTGTCCATCCCTGCAGATGCCTTTGACAATGACTTGATGCACAGGACTCTGAAAAACATCGTGGAGGGCAAAACTGTCGAGGTCCCAACCTATGACTTTGTGACCCACTCGAGGTGAGCAGGTGGTTCCTGGGAGGCACTTAGGGCGTCCCCTCCGGGGCTTACAGACCGCCCGCGGCAGGCCTGACCCATGGGTTTCTGTGGACACCCCTCTCCCACCGTGATGTTTCCTCGGTGGAGTCAGTGCCCGGGAGACCCTGTCTCCAGCAGGGCCCGCTCCCTGCTCTCACCTGCAGGTTACCGGAGACCACGGTGGTGTACCCGGCGGACGTGGTCCTGTTTGAGGGCATCCTGGTCTTCTACAGCCAGGAGATCCGGGACATGTTCCACCTGCGCCTCTTTGTGGACACGGACTCTGACGTCAGGCTGTCGAGAAGAGGTAAGGCGCTCGGCCTCCCTGTCCCGGGCCGAGGCTAGGCGGTCGTTTCCAGGTCTGACGGCGGCCTCCTGGCTCCTGTCGCTGCAGTTCTCCGAGACGTGAACCGCGGGAGGGACCTGGAGCAGATTCTGACCCAGTACACCACCTTCGTCAAGCCAGCCTTCGAGGAGTTCTGCCTGCCGGTACCGCCTGCGCTTCATTGGGAATGCCTGCCTTTTCTCCCTCCAGAGACACGATGCCTGGTTCTGGGAGCTGGCGGGGAGGCACGCGTCCGATTATAAATGGAGATTCAGCTACTGCCCATATGCCCAGGGCGTGCCCAGCTCTCCAGGCCTCCTCTGCCCTGCTGCTCCCTCTGCCTAGAAAAGCCACTCCCGGTATCCTCACCGGCTCCCTCCTGCTTCAGGCCTTGCCCTGGTCACCGGGATTGCCTGTGCAGGATGACCCCGAGACCCCTCTGCTCCCGGCCTCGGGCCTGCTTCCTGTGTTCCCAGGGGGCTTCTCGTCATCTGACTGCACGGGCTATCTTGCTTACCCCCTTTGCTGGCCTCCGCCTCCAGTCCGCTCAGCAGTGAGCCGGCCAGGGGAGCCGCGCCTGGCCCTCCGGCAGGTCCACTACCTGCAGACACAGCTGCCCAGGCTGTCCCTCCTGCCTCGGTGGCGCATCTCTTGTAACATGTCTCCTTGGCCCACATTCACACGCCAGCACCAGACGGTTCATAGGTCCATCCCCGGGGCCGCACCGTTTTCTCCTCCCCTCCCTGTGCTTTGCCTGGTTCAGGTGTGTCCCCAGCAGCCCTGCCCCTCCCTCGCACAGGGCTGGCAAGAGTGAGCGATGCCCGGCATGTTGGCAGCTGCACCGCGGCTGCTCTCATGTGCAGTGCACCTTGCGCACCTGCCACTCGTCCAGGGCTCTTGCAGAAGGGCCCCGATTGCAGAGGAAGCACGGGTGGAGGATGCCACGCTCCACTTGGCCCAGTGAATTAAGTTGTTAGCACAGAGAACTGTCCTCGAGACTATTCTATTGGTAGCATCAAGCAGAGCACAGCATTTCAGAGATACAGGAGATACCAGTTCTCCTGGCTGCCTGGCCACCTCCTGCTGCGGTGCTCCACCGTCCTCACACCTCGCTGATAACTGCCCTCTGCCCCCTCCTGCCTGTGACCCAGGAATCCAGGCACCTCAAGGCTTGCTCCTCTACTGGATGGCACCTTGGAGGGTGGGGTGGACAGATTCTTACAAGATCTTCCTTTTTGTGTTGCAGACAAAGAAGTATGCGGATGTGATCATCCCCCGAGGGGTGGACAATATGGGTAAGAACCAGGCCTGATGGGCTGCCAGACCGTCTCCGCCCAGAGCCCCAAGGCAGGCACTGCCCCATCCCCCCTGGTCGCTGACAGTTACATTATTTGTCAGTTACACCTCAATAAAGCTGGTGGGAAAATAGCTACTAGTAGAGAAAACTGTTGAGGAACCACTGTTAGCAGGAAGTCCTTTAACCAGGCCCCAGGCCAGCAGAAGTCCTCGCTGGCCCAGCCGGCAAGTGTGGTGTCCGGGCCTGGCCGTGTGTTCCGTCTGCTGAGACCCGGTGCCGGACAGACGGGCGACGGGGTGGAGGGCGCGTGCGGCTGACGCGCTCGTCTGTCTCTGCCGCAGTCGCCATCAACCTGATCGTGCAGCACATCCAGGACATTCTGAACGGGGACATCTGCAAGTGGCACCGTGGAGGGGCCAACGGGCGCAGCTGCAAGAGGACGTTTCCTGAGCCCGGAGACCACTCCGCGGTGCTGGCTGTCGGCAAACGGTCGCACCTGGAGTCCAGCAGCAGGCCGCACTGAGGAGGGGTGTGCCTCCCGCAGGCCCGGAGGTGCCTGCCTGCCCCCAGACACCTGCTGCTTCCTCTCCGCGTCTGGGACGGTCCCATGAGTCAGTGTCCTCAGTACCGGGGCCCTGGACGCGGGGTCCCACCCAGTACAATGGGGTGGGGGCTGTGTCTGCACCTGCTCCCTCGTGGTGAGGAGGGTAGGCAGGCCAGGTCACTGAGAAATGCCACAGGGCGCGTGGCAGCCTGTGATGCTCACTCGGGGACACGGGGCCGCGCTGTGGGGGGAGGAGGGACGTCTGGACACCGTGCTCAGTGTTCTGACTGGTCTCACGGCGAGTTTCTCTGGTGTGATCAGTTCTCACATGTGCGACTGACAGTGTGAAAATACCTCCCCTTTTTATGTTGTACGTCCCATGTTTTCTGTTTTATTCTGTTTCCCAACACCGTGTAGTGAGCTGGTAATCCCGTTTCGTGACCCGCAGTGGGTGTGATCCAGCCTGCGACAGGCTGACCTGACCTGAGGAGCCAGCGAGGCCTTTCTCCTGGCCTGGGCTCCAGGGCAGGGCGGGGAAGGAGCCTTGGGGACAGGCATGTTTTTAACCAGCACCAGACAGGAAGCAGGGACACCCACTCACCCAGCCCCAAGCCTGCCCGGCCCCTGCTGGGGAGTGTCCACCAGGGGACCCTGAGCCCAGGGTGCTGTCCCACCTCTAGCCAAGGAATATGCTGGACCTGGAGGCATGAGCGAGTGCTGTGGCCCAAAGCCAGCCCCTCTCCCTCCCTCACTGAGTCCATGCCCCAAGCCCCCGTGGCCTGTGTCGTCCTGGAGTGTCTTCCTTCCCACGTGGTGGCCACGTGTTAAAGGGGTCCTGCCCCATCACTGTGCTAACCTGCGCGGCACTCCGAGTTCTTTCTATGGAGTAGTAGCTGGTCACACAACTGACATCGGCTGAGCTGTGGCCGGCTGCTGGTGACTCACAGTTTCGTCAAGCGTGTTGTGCCCTTCGGGGAGAGAATCAATAAATAACCAATATGAATGCCAGTGGTCCCTTTTTATTATTTTTTAAAATATTATTTATTGATTTCAGAGAGGAAGGGAGAAGAGAATCATTGATCTGCTGCCTCCTGCACGCCCCCTACTGGGGATGGAGCCCGCAACCCAGGCATGTGCCCTTGGCCGGAGTGGAACCTGGGACCCTTCATTCCGCAGGTTGCCGCTCTCTCCACTAAGCCAAGCTGGCCAGGGCAGTGGTCCCTTTTTAATTACACCAAAGGCGAGTTCAGGACAAGGAACAGATGACACACCTTGACTGTCCGCTGCTCGTTAGCCTCACGGGTGTGCAGTCAGCGAGGGGGTTGACACAGGGTTACCGCCTCACTCAGACAGGCCCTGCCCGGCCGGCCCAGTGGCAAATGACACTCAGCTGTTCCGGGCAAAGCCTAGAGGCCCCCCGGGGCAGAGGCTCTAGCTCGGGGCCAGCGGGTGCTCGGGAGGGAGGACCAGGCGTGTCTGTTAGCAAGACCGGCCCGTCTGGTCTGACCCTCATGCCCGTCACTCCCACTCCCCGCCATCTCTCCGTCGCCAAGCCCCACACTAGCCACTCAACACGTGTCCCCGTGTAGGGCCCCGGGATTTGTGGGCACAGCGTGTTCTTTATTGTCCGCATAATAAGGTGCTTAAGGTGAAGGGGACCAGAGGAGAGCCCCCGCCAGGCCTGGCCAGCTCCCCCGAGCGTGTCCCGGTCCCGGTCCCGTTCCCGACCCCGGATGTCTCGTGCCAGTCCTGCTAGTGTTTGCGGATCAGGATGTCCCAGCTCTCTTTCCAGCGAAGGGCCTGGAGGTCGCTGGGTGACAGCGACTTGTCCCCGTAGGTCAGTGGGCGCAGCATGTTAAACACGTGGCAGGCGGCCGAGTACCACGCCACCACCAGGGCGCCGAACAGGCTCCTGTGGAGCTGGGACCTGTGGGCGCCAGAGCAAAGCGCAGGTGGCTCCTGTGGCTCTGCCCCACTGTGGCTGCCGCACTCAGCACCTGGCCTCTTCCGCCTGCGCCCCCGCCCCCCCCGCCGTGCCCGTCACAGCCTGCCTGGCGCTGAGCATGACCTTCCTCGCTGGCCTACTGCTCGCGTCTCCAAGCCTCCGCACCACCTGAACGCCAACCCCACGCATCACGGCTCCCCCCTCCCCCTCTCCCCGTTCGAGGCTTCCAGGCGCCCAGCCCGCCCCAGGTTACACCGCTTCCCGGTCTACCTCCTCTGCACCTGCCAACGGGCCAATACGGCCGTCCGAGAACCCTCCCCACCCTCAGGTTCCCCTTGCTCGCCTTCCTCCTGGTCTGGACCACAGACCCACTTCCCACCCCAATGGCTGTGCAGGCTCATCCTCGACCCCAGGGCCCCAGTCCGCCCCTCACACTGTGATGGCCCAGACCTGCACAGGTGCTCGCCGATGTGCTGCAAGACCACAGGCAGTAGAAGGATCTGGAAGGTGAGTGCGGGCAGGTAGTGGTAAAGGAAGAGCGTCTTCTCCATCAGGAAGAACGGGAAGTAGTTTGCCGCCCAGCCGCCGGCACACAGGGCCCCGGCCAGCACCCAGCGCAGCCAGGAATCTGGGGAGGATGGCGCAGGCCACCGCTGACCCTAAGTCACCGCAGGCTCAGCTCTCCATTCCCCCCCACCCCCCATCGCTGGAGGAAGAACAGACTGGTCCTCAGAACCCCCTGCAGCACCCGCTGGGTCCTCACGGTCCCTCCTCTGAGAAATACCAGCCCTTGCGGGAGGCCCAGCCTCTGCTGCTTGTCAAGGTCCCGTGTCTCAGGATTATCTGGTCAGTACGACTTCGGGGAGCTGAGGGGCTGGCTGCCTGTCCAGTGGGGAGGATGGACCAGTTCCCAGAGCCCCACAGTAGGAGGTGCCTCGGGACCCTGCCTGTCCTGGGGCTCATTCCTTTTCTGTTTGAAGATGGTGCTAAGTGGGTTTCTGTTACTAGCAAACACCAGACCCTCCACTGGGTACTCATGGCGGCTCTGCCCTGGGCTCACCAGCCACCCCTGCCCAGTGCCTGCACCTCCCTGCCCAGTGCCTGCACTCCCTGCCCAGTGCCTGCACCTCCCTGCCCAGTGCCTGCACCTCCCTGGAGAAGCCCCGAAGGTCACGTGGGGGCTGAATGCAACATTTTGTCTCTGGGGAGACAAAAATAATTTACGCCCCTGGATGCAGAAACAAAGATGCCACCTAAAGGCAGAGCTTCCTGGTGAGCTGAGCTCTGGTCAGAAGTAGGAGGAGGAGAAACGGGGAGAGCGTGCACGCACCCTCGGGGAGCTCACAGACACGCCTCCGGCGGCAGAGCAGGTACCAGCAGAAGAGCAGGACGTACAGCGCGGTGGCGAGGCCGGCGGAAGCCCAGATCACCACGTTCCCCAGCAGGTGGATCTGAGCCTACAAGGACGGAGATGCCATCAGCACAGCCTCCATGGGGCCTGTTCTTGACGAGGCCCTTTCTAGGATGTGCGGAGTTTCCTACAATCAGGAGCCGCGATTGTCTTCAACAGCAGGCGGCTCCCAGAGGGACTCGCACAGAGCAACGCAGAGCTAAGGGTGTGCCCGGGGCCCTGCTCTGCGAGTGACTGCTCGGCGAGCTCTGGCCGGGAGGACGTGAGCATCGTTAGCTCGTGTCGTCGCAGGAGCCATGGCTGAGCGGGCTCTGCCGCCTTCCCTGGGGGAAGCGACAACAGGTGCCTGAAGGAAGCTCTGCCTGCTGCGCGCAGGGGCCGTGCCCGGACAGCAGGGAAGGCGCAGCGCGGCCACAGAGCAGAGGGCCGCCTCCTTCCACGCACACGCGTCCTCGCTCCTCGGCTCTGAGGCCAGCCCAGGAGCCAGCACTCGGCGGGAAGCAGAGGGGATGAAGGCCACGGCGCAGCGCTGCTTACACTGGTCCTGGGGTGCAGCCAGTAGGCGATGTTGGTGTCCAGGGTGACCCAGTCCAGCGGCGTGGAGCTGTACTTGTGCTCCGAGTCGTCGCTCCTCACCGTCAGCATCCTCCACTGCAACAGCCAGAGCCCGTCAGGCAGCCAGGCACCTGCGCGTGGGGCCCAACCTCAAGCTCATTTGCAAGGCGCCACGGAGGCAGTGCGGCCTGATAGGCGGGCTCAGCAGGAGACCTGGATTCCAACCTGCTGGTGGCCGGCCCCAGGGGCTCCAGTCAGCTCGTCTAAGGGCACATCTAGACCAGGGAGCCGCGCTTCCGGTCTCCATCGGATTGACTGGGGCCTGGCAACGTGGCCTGCTGGGTGGCTGGGTGGCGGGACAGACGGACACACTCCTTCCACTGCGTCAGGTCCCAGGTAAAGACTGACTTGGGGAAGTGAGGACTCCACAGCCTCCATTCCCGCCTCCCGCTCCACGTCACCTGCAGCTCCGAGAATCTGGCCATGAAGCTCAGGTTCCTGCTGACGTCCACGTGAGTTGGCGAGTGCAGCTCCAGCTCCCTCTCCCTCTGCTCCTGGCCTGACGGACACACGAGGCCCGAAAGAACAGAGCAGATTAAGGTCAGGAGCTGGGCACAGCTGTGGGCGCGGCGCAGGCGGCTTCCCTGCCTTCCAAACCCCACGGCGACTGGCGGCGTCCCATTCTGTTTCCCCGAGAAACTACCGACAAATTAGGGTCTGTGGACCTGTGAGAGCTCGGCTCACACTGCCTGTCGACCGCAGGGTAACCCCCTGGCTGTTGGCAGCTTCAGCGGGCATGGGAGGGGCGTGTGGTGTGCGAGAGCGTGGGAGCTGTGCCGCCTCTCACCGGGGCCCCGTGGGTCAGCGACTCACTCCTGCCGTAGCGGTGCTCCTCCACGGTCCACACGGCGCTCTCGTGGTAGCCCCGGGACAGCTTCTCCCCAACCACCTCCAGCTGCCGGAAGCCCCAGTCAGGGAGGTGGGCCCCGCTCAGCTGCAAGACGGGACGAGGGCGTGAGGGGCAAGCCAGGCCCTGGCTCATCCCGGCCAGGGCTCCGGAAAGTCCTCATGTCAAGGCTCAGTTCTGAGGACTTAGAAAGGCCCCCCCCTTCAGTGGAAACATAGCACCCACTTGGCACGAAAGTCCGGGGAAGGGCAGGCTCGGTCGGGAGCCGCGCACAGATCTGTGGGCCGAGATGCAGGCTCTGGGTCGGGCAGCAGCCCTTACCTTCAGGATGGCGGACGTGTTCAGGTGCACGAGGCGCACCTCCGACAGGATGGTCTTCCAGATCTCAGCGTCCGACTCCCTGTTCGCGATGTCCTGTGAGAGCAGACCTGCCTGTTACATAGCCCTCTCCGGCTTCCCTCAACAGGAAGGCGAGGCCAGCCACGCGCTGAAACTGATGGCTGATCCTGGGGCTAGTGGGCTGATCCGGGGCCAGCAGGCTGACCTGGGGGGCAAACAGGCTGATCTGGGGGACCAGCAGGCTGATCCTGGGGTTAGTGGGCTGATTGGGGGGCCAGCAGGCTGATCTGGGGGGCCAGTGGGCTGATCCTGGGGGGTAGCGGGCCGATCCTGGGGGGTAGCAGGTTGATCCTGGGGGGTAGCGGGCAGATCCTGTGGGGCCAATGGGCTGATCCTGGGGGGTAGCGGGCAGATCCTGGGGGATAGCGGGCTGATCCTGGGGGTAGCAAGCTGAGCCTGGGGGTAGCGGGCTGAGCCTGGGGGTAGCGGGCTGAGCCTGGGGGTAGCGAGCTGAGCCTGGGGGCACAGTGCCTCCTGCAGCAGCAGCTCAGCCTTCAGGCAGAGACCAAAGACCTGCGCTTCTGGGATGCCTGCTCACCCACAGGGCTTAGAGCTCGGCCCAGATGCAAAGATGGAGCAATGGAGGTTAGAGACCGTCCCTGAAAGCTGCTGTCCCAGGGGACTCCTGACATCGGGTAATAAACAACTGACATCTAAGGAGCACTTGGCATTGTTGTGGCCTCGCGAGGGCGCCGTGAGGTGGTGTAGGGGCCGCACTGCGGTCAGCCTGCCTCCCCTGCTCTGTGTGGGGCTGACGGGGCCACCAGCAGGGACTGAGGAGGAGGAGAGGGATCAACGAGGAGACCCCCGCGACAAGCAGCAGCGGGAGGGCCTGGGACTCTTGGGACAGCTCCCGATGTCACAGAACAGGCACAAACAACTCCCGTGGAGGCGGGAGGCCAGGGGAGAGGCGGGCGAAGCCGGTGCATGAGAACATCACAGCACATGGACGTCTGTCGCATGTGAAGGGGGAGGAGAGGTGCTGCTGGGCACAGACATGGAAAAGCAGCCCCCGCCTTGCTGAGGGCCACCAGCCACACTCAGTGCACTGGACATGCAGCTCACACCACTGAACACACGGGGCTGAGTGGGGAGCTGCCGCTGCAGGAGCCTCGGGGAGGCGATCCCAGTGCCATTACTCAACTCACGCCCTTGAACTCAGACAGCCAATGTCCAGGACACCAGGACGTTCCCCGCCACCTTTCCTAGGACACTGCCTGCATCCTGGAGAGCGAGACTCGTTGTACAAAGGGCCATGTTGCCCTGGTCGCTCGGAGGAAGGCGGTCACTATCCCAGCTGCCCTGGGAAGGGGCAGCCCCAGGACTCGCCCGAGGGCCAGGCCTCTCCCAGGGGAGCCTGTGACAGGGCAGGTGTTCCTGTCAGGCCAGGCCGACCAAGGCTCCTGGGTGACGAGGGTGCTGGAGCCCCGACCCGGGCTCAGTGACCTGGTCTTGACACTAAGTGACGAAGCCAGAGGCGCCTCCTCCTGGCAGAACCACAGAGCCCAGCAGCAAGCATTTACCAACTGTCTGCGAACCGTTTGTCTGATACCAGCGCCCCCAGACCCATGGTCTGTGGAAGTCTCTGCTCCCTGTAAAAACAGCCACGAACTCTGATGACCGCATCCCTTCCCAGGTTACCCCTGAACCTGGATCATGCTAAACGGCGGCTTCCAACGTCCTGTTAGAAGGTGCGTGTGCTGACGGTGGTCACTCCCCGTCTCCGCAGTGTCCGCGACTCACCAGCCTCCAGAGGCTCTGGGCGGGCATGGAGATGTTGTAGTCGATGTAGCAGGACACCTCCTGCGCATGGGGGTTCAGGGGGGCTGCCACGTCGTGCCTGCAACACCAAACAATGCTCACAGAATTCCTCAGCTGTTTCTTTAAGGGGAAAAGCCGCTTTTCAGAAACAGAGCCAGCTCAGCCTAAGGGGCAGGGTCCTGTAGTCGCTCTGACCCAAGGGTGCCAGCTCACGTTGACGGGAAGTATGGCGAGTGCCCGGGGACGCTGGGTGGTGGTGTAGTGAGGGGCGGTCAGCCCCCGAAATACAGGGGCTGCTCAGAGGCTGAGAGCAAACATGTCCCCACACTCCTGCCCCACTGAACCCCAGTCCCAGTCTTGCTGGGCTCACTGACAGCGGAGACGCCACTGGTGGAGGAGCCCCACTGCACCCTGAGAACGCGAGCCTGGCTGCTCTCCCCTCACCTGGCCCCTCACTACAGCCGTCTCCCTCCCTCTGCTCCCCTCAGCTGCCGCCCTGGGTCCCCTCCCTCGGGGAGTGCAGGTGAGCACAGCTGGGAGCTGGGAGCTGGGAGGAGGGAGGGCGGGCGGGCTCACGTGTTGAGGAGGCGGCTGGTCATGCCGTGCACCAGCTGCACCACGTCCCCGTGCCGCACGGGCCTCGGCGGGTTGCTCACCTCCAGCTGGTGCCTGGGAAGACAGGAGCCGCACGTCACCTGGTCGTGTCGAGGCTCTGGGTGCTCCCAGGGGGACCATTGGGAATGTGCAGCCGCCCAACCAGTTTGTCCCTTGTACGAGGTGAGTTCGTGTCAACAGCCATGACACTGAACTCGTTTCTGAAACCCATGGCCAACTTTCCAAGCTTCCAAACATGGTCCCGTCTGCCACCTTCACACTTGGACTGCTCTGTGCTACCTACGAACACCGCGGGGCCCACTCAGAGATCCCTCTCTCACACAGACCTGCTCAGCGCCCGCTCGGGGAAAGGGACACAGGGCCCCACTGGCCTCGACATGCAGGGGCAGGTGAGTGGGGAGGGCGGGCAGGAGGAGCGGGAGCAGGTGAGTGGGGAGGGCGGGCAGGAGGAGTGGGAGCAGGTGAGTGGGGAGGGCGGGCAGGAAGAGCTAGAACAGGTGAGTGGGGAGGGCGGGCAGGAGGAGCTAGAACAGATGAGTGGGGAGGGTGGGCAGGAGGAGCTAGAACAGGTGAGTGGGGAGGGCGGGCAGGAGGAGCTAGAACAGGTGAGTGGGGAGGGCGGGCAGGAGGAGTGGGAGCAGGTGAGTGGGGAGGGCGGGCAGGAGGAGCTAGAACAGGTAAGTGGGGAGGGTGGGCAGGAGGAGCTAGAACAGGTGAGTGGGGAGGGCGGGCAGGAGGAGTGGGAGCAGGTGAGTGGGGAGGGCGGGCAGGAGGAGCTAGAACAGGTAAGTGGGGAGGGTGGGCAGGAGGAGCTAGAACAGGTGAGTTGGGAGGGCGGGCAGGAGGAGTGGGAGCAGGTGAGTGGGGAGGGCGGGCAGGAGGAGCTAGAACAGGTAAGTGGGGGGAGGGCGGGCAGGAGGAGCTAGAACAGGTGAGTGGGGAGGGCGGGCAGAAGCTGGAGCAGGTGAGTGGGTGAGCATGGGCAGGAGGAGCAGGAGCGGATGGTGTAGGCCCCACTAGCCACTGTGCGGTCAGGCCTGAAGGCCCAGGACCTGTACGCACCTCCCGGGGTCCTTGACAATCCACCAGTTGTTGACATCTTTGAAGGGGTAACAGGTCACCTGCTGCTGGTGGGAGCTGCCCCGGCCGTTCTCGTAGCTGCATGGGAGGGTCAACAAAGACTGGGTCTGCAGGGGGCTCCATAAACTACCCAGCACGGTGTTAGGGGAAAATAAGGATAAACAGTTTAAATCTAAGAGGGGCCAGAACACTGGACCTTACGTGGGCAGAACACGACCAGTGTGGGGTCACGAGGCCGCCTCGCGGGTGTGCCGGGCCCTCCGCCCAGCGAGCCCTCTCACTGGTTTACATGCAGAGATACCAGGACTCTGACAATCAGACCCAAGAGTTCAATTCCCTGTCTCCCCGACCCTCTTCACATAATGTGAAAGTTGGTAACAGAAAAAATACGACAAACATTTTATAACTTCTAATAAAACAGCACTTTCCTTACCTCAACGGGTAGGTGCTCGGGTGGGAGTGGAGCCAGCAGGGCACAGGCTTGCCCGAGGCGCTCTTCAGAGTGACCTGTGAGCCGTAGGCCACCTCCAGGGGCTGGCCTTGCGTGATCCGAGCCAGCCCCCCCTACAAAGGCCAAAAGGGGCAAGTGAGAGTCAGGGTTCCCCTGCATAGCCCTCCCCAACCTGGGAGCATATTTGGGGTGCTGGCAATTATAATTACACTAGAGGCCTGGTGCATGAAATTTGTGCATGGGAGGAGGGGTCCCTCAGCGTGGCCTGCACCCTCTCCAATCCAGAACCCCTCAGGGGATGTCCGACTACCGGCAGTCGGACATCCCTCTTGCAATCCAGGACTGCTGGCTCAACTACTCACCTGCCTGCCTGCCTGCCTGATCACCCCTAACCACTCTGCATGCTTGCCTGATCGCCCCTAACTGCCCTCCCCTGCTGGCCTGATCGCCTCTAACCTCTTCTGCCTCAGTCTCCGCAACTGTGGCTTTGTCCAGAAGATGTCTGGAAGCTGTCCGGTCTAATTAGCACGTTACCCTTTTGTTAGTATAGATAAGACACAGCTCTGTCGTGTTACGCTGATCAGAACCACTGATGGCATGCCGCCTCGGAGGCAGGGCTTGTGTCCATTTACGAGGTGAGAAAGCAGCTCACCAGCGTTTCTGAACAGGTCGGTGTGACTTCAGGCCACAATTCCAACCACCTCAACTGGTGCATTTGACTGTTTCTGCAAAGTTCGTGTGAATGAGGCCGAGTTGTCTGTCCTCTGAGGCTCATGCGGCCCCCGGAGCCTGTGGGACCTCGCAGGGGTCTCGGGGCCACTCTGCGTCACACCGACGGAGCTACCCCTCCGCTCATGTCTGCACCCTCGGGACATGCAGACCAGTTTACAGTCCCAAGGCGCAGGCCTCCTTTCTCGCTCTGGCTCTCCCTCTGAGGCTCATCCAACAGTGTTTACATAGGAAACCGAGTCTCCCATGGTCTCTTCTCACCTCCAGGCTGGCCTGGAACGCGCTGGACATGATCTGGTCGTGGGGCCCGGAGCGGCAGAGCAGCGTCAAGTGGACATAGAAGAACAGCAGGTACGTGACGGCCGGGACGACCAACAGAGCCACTGCGCGGGCCAGCACGTGGCACAGCACACAGACCTGGGCACACGGGGGACACACCCCTCGCACGCAGGCTCCCACTGCGCCCCCCTGATGCCGTCTCCCCCCCCCCCCCGCGTGCCCCCGCAGCAGGCTCCCCTACGTTTGACAGAGCCTGGTCTCCGATCAGGTGCCAGGTGTGGACGGCGGCGACTCCGAGCACCAGCAAGTAAGTGAAAATGCCCATGTACTTGATGCTGAAAAGACGGATGGAGGGGAAGTTAAAATGACAGACGAGGAGGGCGCAGGCGCTGCTCAGACCCGGCCGGACTCACCCGACGGCACAGGAGCAGGCCACTCCGGTCAGCGTCAGCCACAGCCACCAGCTCGGGGAGAAGGGCCTGCGGGCAGGACGGAGGCAGAGCTGCGAACGGGTCCCCGAGATCCCGAGGGTGGCTGCCGGGACCGAGCTTCAGAGACGCGGAAAATGGACCCCCTCCGCCCCATCGTCGGCCCGCGAGTTCTCTTTTTGGCCAGAACGTTTCTCCAGTTAAAGTTACAGGAAAACGAGGATGCATTTATGAAGCCATGAGCTGAGGGCCGGTCTGAGTGGCTGCAAGACAGCCAGCGGGCGCTCCCGGACAAAAAGGCTCAGCCCGTTCTGGGTCGCCAGGCCGCCCAGACTCTTCCTTCTCGTTAATTAGGACAGGTCCCTGGGCCGTACCTGTGCTTTTGGGAGTTGGAGAACTTCAGGTAGGACAGCACGGCCAGTAGATTAAAAAATATTAACAGCGATTCCAAAAGCATCAGCCTGGCCTGCGTGATCAGCGCATTCTCTGTTGGGAGGAGCAGTGTGTGTTGGAAGGAAGCAAAGGCGTGAAGATCAAACACCCACAAAGCAAACGCTCCCAGTCGCTCAGAGTGGACGGCGGGACGTCCCGTTCAGCATTGGGGTGTCTCCACAACCACGAGGGCAAGTTCTTAGGGGGAGTCACACCCACTGAGACTGTGTGACCTTGGGCAAGTCACGGAGCTTCTCTGTCGTTTTCTCATTTGCAGAAGCAATACCAGCTCTGTGGGCGCCGTGCGTGCTATGGCCTGATGTTGGCAAAGGGCCTCCATTTTCTCTACAGATGGTCTGACTTTGCATGTGAGTTCACTTCATTTGTTGGGAGACCTGGGTTGGAAGGCCCTGTCTGAGGAATACCCACTAGCTCCTCTGCCATGGCCATGGGGCGGGGCCTGGGTGGTGGTGGAACCCGGCAGGCCATCAGGGAGTGGCAGACGTGGGTGCAGGTGGAGGTGTTCACCGTTACCCGGGCACCTGTCTGGACAGCCCCAATTCATATGGCCCCACCCCCACAACGTGAAGTCTGGCCACCCACCTCCATAGCCCCCAGCCTGAGAGCGGGGTGACCCCCAGAGTCAGATGTGGACCAACTGCCTGAGCTTCCTTCCATCCTAGGAGCAGAAGCTGCTGAGGGGGGCACGTCTACTAAACCCCAAGCTCTCCTGGGCCACACACTGAAGCGTAGCCAAGGCCCGCCCGTGGCTCCTCCTGCACCAACCAGAGCCGGCCCAGGCCCAGGCCTTACCGATGAGCATCAGCAGGGCGGCTCCCATGGCGGCGCAGTGAGAAAAACGGAGCTCCCACAGGATCTGGTAGGCCATCGGCACCGACAGGGCCCCTGCGAGGGCCGGCAGCAGGCGCAGGGACCACACGGGCACGTTGCTGCTGTATTCTGGAACGCAACCATAGCGGAGCTGAGCGCACCGTGTTTGCAGACAGTTTCACACTCACAGACTCCAGTACGAGCGTTCACGACACTGGGGGCCTCATCGGGAACTGGTGTGTGAGCACGCCTTTGAGATGTGCTCGCTAGTCAACGGCACACCCTGTGGCAACACACACGATTTGTACATCCAAGAGACATAGAGGAATCATTGTCACTAAACACTAAGATGTTTACCAGGTTTTTCGAAAGTCTGTCACGTGTACCCAGACAATCGATCACACCCTGGACTCACATTAATAAACCACTAGCTCCCCATTCTAATACATGCAAATTAGCAAGGGCAGTGAAAATGAGATGTACCTGCTCCAATTCTGTTCCACAAAAAGTTGCCGTCGAATCCTCCCAAATAACCTAAAACAGGATTGATCAGCGTCGATCCGTTCAGCAATGTTTCAGGAGTGCCGAACAGTGGCGGCCAACAGCAAGCAACAGTAAATAAATAATAAGACATGACCACTGCCCTCAAGAAAGTTCGTGTATAAGTTTAAAAAGACATATATTTTGTATTGATTTCAGAAAGGAAGGGAGGAGCAAGAGATAGAAATGTCAATGACGAGAGACTCATTGATCGGCTGCCTCCTGCACACCCCCCACCGGGGATTAAGCCCGCAACCCAGGCATGTGCCCTGACTGTGAATCGAACTGTGACCTCCTGGCTCCCAGGTCCATGCTCAAACCCTGAGCCACGCCGGCCGGGCCCTCCTATAACTCCTGAAGGTTCCTACCTCCCAAGGCCAGCAGCATGTGGCCAAAGGGCGGTCCACTGCCATCCAGAAAGAAGACCCGCTTCATGTAAAAAGAGATGTACTGCCCGTAATAGACTTCATCGAAACTGGAAAACAAACCCACACGGAACTTCACTGTGAATCTGAGCTGCAGGAAGGCACCAGCATAAATGTACTCCTGTGTTTCCACACGGCTCAGGGCGATCGGCAAGGGTCCGATCTCCGCCCCAACCACGTCGGGGCCCCAGGTGTGAAGACACGTGTACACAGCCTTCCCCGAAACACAGGCTCTGTGTGTCTCCCTCGCTCTGGACTTAGGGGTGTGCCGGTAGCCGGCCCCTGAAAGGCCTCCCAGACGCGAGGCCAACCCCCGTGTCCACCAGCTCCATGCAGGAACCCACTGTGACAAAACGCTTTCAGGTGAAGACACGAAGGAATCGCCGTGCATGTTTTGAGGTGTGATGATGCTACTGTGGTCTTGTGTTTTATTAAGAATCTGGGTCTTTAAGAGACACTTGTACACTGAATTACTTATGAACTAAATATGTCTATGATTTGCTTCCAAAAATCTACTGCAGGGAGGGGGTGGCTATCCTATATAATAAAAGGCTAATATGCAAATTGTCCTCTCCACCCAGAGTTCGACCAGGGGGCGGGTGGGCTGGCCAATCTCCCGTGTCCCCTCCCCCAGGCAGCCCGGCCCGATTGGGGCCGGCAGCTGGCCCCCACCCGTGAGTTGATAACTGTAGAAGCTGGGTGATGAATATAGGGGTGAGGGGGTCATCATACAATTTTCCCCGTATTTGTGTATGTTTGATGCGTTCCATAATAAAAAGTTAAACAAAGAAGAACACAGGTATCAGATAATAAAGAGCCCTTCACTAATAAAAGGGACCGTTTCCCATTATAACAGAGAACACCTCTAAGGTCAGTGAGGACTCACTTCCATATTCCTCAGCCTTCTGCCCGCCAACCTCGGGGTCTCAAATGGTCCCCTGAGGCTGCTGCGCCTGCCCCGGCCCAAGGGCAGGACTGGGCACGTGGGCTCTGCAGGGGTTTCCTGGGACAAACCAGCCTCGCCTCTAACTGCCCCGAACCCCAGCATTTCCCTCTCCCGTGCATGCTGTTTAACAGGCACTGTTTGGCTTACACCACAGCCCGGGGGTAGGCGAGGCGCCACAGCCGGCTCAGCAGCCCCACCGCCGTCAGAGCCACGACGTTCAAGTTGACATCCGCGGTCACCACTACGGGGCGCTGCAGAAACCCCAACATCTTGCCGAAGAGCAAGCCGCGAGGAGTCCCTGGAAAAGGCCTCAAGAGTAAATGGGTGGCAACCACGAAGGCCCGGAGGCGGTGAAGAGGACCTCGGATGCGCCAGGCAGCACCGCCCTCGGGAGGCGCCCGAGGCACCGCCGGTGGGCATGCAGGAACCTCAAGACTGAGCACTCGTTCCTGCAACACCTGCCAGCGCCGTGGGGGGAGGGAGGACGCTGTGAATGAAGGAAGGGCCTTCCCGCCCTCCCCACGGGGCAGCGCGGCCGGGGACCTCCACCTTCCGAGCCTCGGAGCCTCCTCTGCCCCGCGCGCCTCCTTCCCGTCCCCCCTGGGGCAGCACCGGCCCCTGGCGCCCCCTTTCTCACCCGGGGGCTTCCCCCTCCCTGGACCTCCACTTCTCGAAGGTACGTCTGCCCTGGACACCCCGCTCCTCTCCCCGGGCGCCCCCTCTCCCCGCAGGCTGCTCCAGTCCCGGGCCACTCTTCACCAAAGTGTCACCTCCCCCCGTGTCCCCTTCTTTCCCGGGCGCACCCGCCCCCGTTCGGGCCCCAGCTCGCCCGCGGGCCGCGCACGTACTCACCTTCCTTCCGTCCCCGGAGAGCGGTTCCCCCGGCCCGGCCGCGCCTGGGACCCGCCAGGGGGTGCGGACCTTGAGGGCTCCTGGGGCGCACGCGCGGGGCGGGGAGGGGCGGGGCCGCTCGGCACTCAGCTCCGCCCACCGCCCTGCTCGACGCTTGATTCGCGGCGCCTGCGGGGCCGTAGGGCAGCGCCGCGCGTGCGCACTAGGCGAGAGCGGTGCGCGTGCGCGCTGGGCGGGAGCCGCAGGGGCTGTGGGCTCTCGGGCTGCGCGGGGCGGCCGCCTCCTGGCGAGCAGGACGGGCTTGGCGTTCTGTGGCCCGCGCCCCGCAGCCCACGCTCATGCTTCACGACACAGAGGGCCGCACCCGCCCCTCGCTTGGTGGCGCGGACCCGTGTGTCCTCACTGGACCGCGGGGGCCGGGACGATGACCCTCGGGGACTCGCCAGGTCCCTCGTCCACGTGCACCTTAACCCGGACCGACAGACGGCTGCAGACATAACAGCTGCGTTTTCGCTGTTGCTGAGGCCGTTCCGCACGCTGGTCACCCCACCCCGGCGTGAGGCGACTGACCCGACTCGCTGCGGGAGGGCAGGGCGTAGGGCGGTGTCGGGGGAGACCCTGGCCCGTGTCCCCTTTATCCCGTCACCGGGCTGCGAAGGAACGTGCCTGGGGCAGGGTCCTCGGGGACACGTTGAACCTACTTGGGAACGATTTGTCAGTTGCCTCCATCCTTTGAACCCTCACTACCCCCTAAGGTAGGTCCTGGGAGAGTCCAGTTCTAGTTAAGGAAACAGTGACAAACGAGGTCTTCAAAGTCACACCCGGGAGATGGCAGAACCGAGCGGCTTGGCCCTTCCTCCTTCCTCCACTGAAGTGCAGCGCAGTCCGCTCCTGCTCCCAGCAAAGGGACAGGAGGCCCAGCAGCAGAGCAGACACCTCTGACCACCCACCTCTCCAGGGACAAGGGGAGGGCCGAGTGCAGGCAGATGTCATGCGCACCCAACACCACAGTGGGGGCTGCTAATGCCGACCCACCTGGAAAATGCCCCTAACCCACAGGCTTCAGTCGCCTCTCCCGTGTTGCTTTAAGGCATCTCAGTCAAGTCACTCCTAATTAACATGCAAACTCAAAGGAAAACGACAGAAAACCCAGGGACACAGCCTGAGAAAGCATGTCCAGCTTCAGGGTGTTGTGGGGTTTTTTTTTTAACTTTTTTTTTATTTAAATAAGGAGAATTCTTTCATATGGAAAGAGTTAGTACAATCACATATTTGAAAGGAGAAACAATAGGTACTGGACCGGAGGGAAAGGGCAAGGGGTGAGTGTGCCACCAGCCTGGTGAACCCATGGTTCCATTTCCCATCCAAGGCAAAAGCTTCCCCAAAATAATGTACGAACAAGCTGCACATCACACCTTCAGCCATCGCCTGCCCTTTCAAATATCTGGTCTGTATGAAAAGACAGACAGAGGAAAGGCCAAAAGAAAAGGAAACAAAACCCCTCTCAAGAACAAAAACCCCCAAACCCTTTTCACTACGCAAGGCGTGAGGTCCGAAGCTTGCAGCACAGGGTCCCCTGGGAGGCTTTGCAACAGGCTGAAGACAGGGCCCTGGGGACGCTGAGGCCCCGGAGGCCACCCACCCGGGGTGGAACGGAGCGGCAGGTCGGACGCGCCTGGAAGGTCACTGGCCAGATACGCGCTGGTGGTCCGAGTGGAGAGCTCGACGGGGGACAGACGGTCTGACCCCAACGCTGGGCCGCTCCTGTCCTGGGTGGACTGTGTCAGGTCCATCTCATGCCTTCAAACCGGAAGGGCTGGCTTTCTGAAGTCTGCACGTCCCACTCATCAGAGCACGACAAAGCACAAATACTCAAGTATCCTTGTCGAAGGCCACTTCCAGCCGACCTTCCTACCCAGGCTTGCTCTGAGGTGGAAGGAACAAGTCCAGGTGAGAGGCAACGCGCAGCTACTTGGTGGAGGGGAGCCGGTCCGAAGGGAGGAGCTGTACCGTTTGCCCCACGACCTCACACCTGCACGCCTTTCCTCTGGCTCTGAGCATCAGTCACAGATCTCACCAGTGACCCAGGAGGCAGGTCCGCAGGCAGGAGGGCGAGGGCCTAGCGGAGCACGGACGCCGGTATGTAGCAAGATGCGCAGTATTCTGAGAAGTGGCTGGGATGACCACAGCTTTGAAAGTGGGCAAACCGATTTTTCTGAAATGTGTCCGTCATCCTTTGTTTTTACCCTTAAGGAACCTGGAGCCAGAAGTGTATGGATTCCAAGTTTGCAAACAATAGTGTGGACAGAAGGGGTGAGTAACAGTAAAGAAAACCAGACCGAACAGCTGGCAGAGAATCTTCAGTGGGTGGACGCCGCCTCTCAGACACACGACCCCACACGCTGTGATCTTACTCCACTGAGCAGCCGACGCTGGACGGACGCTACGTCAGCTCCTGGTGCGGAACGGCGGCTGCACCGTCAACAGCCGGGCAGAGCTGCCAGCATCCGAGGGCGACTGTGACGAGCAGGCAAAGGTGCACGAGGGCGTGGACACCACCCCCATCTCAGCAGCAGAAAAGGTAAGTTCGGGTTTTCACCTGTTCCCACCAAAGGCCCCAAAACGCCCTGGCAGAGGCCTCTGCGTGATTATGCGCTCTGAAGAGGGGGGTTTGAAACCAAAATAAGACCCAAAGTCCTACTACCTTGAGCTTAGCTCTAAAACCACGCGAAAGGAAGAGATTGCACCTTAAAACATCTCTGCAGTAAAGACTGCATTTAATCAGACCAAGGAAGGGATGGGGTGCCAACAGGCCCGGGCCTACCCTCTGCCCGAGTCCAGCTGGAAATGTCTCGGGGGGAAGCGCCCGCAGCTGGGCACACGAGGCGGAGAAAGCACTGAGGGTCACATGCAGCTCCTGGCCTTCCTGTACAGGTCAGTCAGACGCATCTATAAATAGCGCAGTGGGACATTTCCTTCCTTTACCTAGACCTACAACAATACATATAAATAAATTCTAGTGTTTTCTGTTTTATTGGGGTGGGGCGGGGAGTAGAAAATACAGGGCAGAGAAAAGGGCTGGAGAGCAGGTGACCCCGTGTTTTTATTTTTCCTCAAACAAGCACTGTCGCTCTGTCAGGATCACCAGGAGGGCACACCTTGAGTTTGTAACAGCATCCAGGACTGTTCTGTGGAGTCTCACAATGAGAAAACCTTTTTTGCTTTAGACAAGCAGCGGACCCCCGAATCAGGTGGGAGGGTCTGGTCGGGTTCCCAGGTGTTCAGGCAGCGAGCGTGTGGCTCCTGCAGGGCAGTGGGCGATGGGGGCAGCGGGGAGTGGGGCAGACAGCAGCTCTCGTGGGGGGGTGGGGGTGGGGGCAGAGCAGATGAGCACATGGGGCAGGAGAGTGAGGACAGGACTCCAGAGTAAAGATTCAGGAGATGAAGGGAAGAGAAGCCAGTGAACAGTGAGGTCCAAGGATGGAGGCGAGGGGGTGCAGAAAGCGACCAAGTGAGCAGTAAAGCTCTTCCCAGGAGACTGGCCTCCAGGTCGTGAGACGGGAGCTCTGCCAGGCGGTATCCCGTCCTTAAATCTGTCATCACAGCACAAGCTGCTCCAGCAGCCCAAGGGCCCTCTCTCCCGTGTCCTACCCTGGACAGAGCTGAGAAGCAGCCTGAGCAGCCGGCACACACCTACAGGGACACGGGCTGAGCCAGGTCCCCTGGGACCAGTGGCAAGCGCCCTCTCTGTAGGTGCTGCTTAGTTCCTCGAAGGGCCTGTACAAAACTCTAGCCTTCCCCTCCCTTTCCTCGGAATGACAGAATCTGGGGCGACTCTAGTTCTTAAAAAACAACAAAACGCAGTGTGAAATGGCTCACGCGAGCATTTTGCTGGAGGCAGCTCTGCAGACTTGGGTGGCTGCCCAGGCCGGTTCAGAACCACGGCCAGCCCTGCAACACAGCCTCCCCCTTGGACCTGCTGGCAGCTGGAAAGGCTGACCTCACTGCTCAGCTCAGGCGCCCTGTCCCACCACCTGGGCTTGCTGCTAGGAGGGGAGGAGCAGGAAGCCCTGCAGCAGGCCCCAGCGTGGGGGGGGGGGGGGGGGGGGGGGGGGAGTCCGGGAAAAAGGTGCAGGAAGGTGGAGGCTTTTGGAAAGGGCATGAGTGAAACAGCAGCCCTTGGTGCCGGAGCCCTCGAGCAGACGCGGGAGGTGGGTGGGGCCGTGGTGCTGCCTGCTCACACGTCAGGCCAACTCGGGATACACCAGTGACTGTGTCCGCGCTTCACCGCAGGGCCAGCGGCCAGCACGTCCCTGGCTCTAGACTCCGGGACAGAAACCCTTCCGTAAACCCCAGCTCACGGGCAAACCCCAGCTCACGGGCTGCCCGTGGGCTTCGGAGTGCAGCCGGACACCGGGGTGCTCGTGCGGTGCCTCGTGTGGCCGCAGAGGCTAACCAACGAAGAGCAGGAGGGCGTCTCACGGCGATGCATCAAACTGAACAGGAGGGGAAGACACTACCGGACACGGGGTCGGGGAGCTGGCGAAGAGCATGTAAAAGTTCAGCTACACAGACATCGCTTGTGTTTTGTTTTCCTTTCTCTGTAAAAACCTTGGCTGCTTTAGCTGCTTTTTAAAACAAAAAGCTTCAAAGGAAAGGACCTGCTGCCGCACCACCGTGCGGGACGGGGCGGGGCAGCACTGAGCGCCGGACGAGGAGCTGCCCGCGCCGCATCCTCAGGGCCGCCCCGGGGCGCGGGAAGGAGACGGGAAGGGCTGTTGCCGATTCGGATGAAAGCAAGCAGGTCAATGCCACAATCCACGGTGCAAGCTGGTTGGACGTCGGAGCTGTCAGGAGTGGAGAGGATCTCTCTCTGCCGGCCGGCCAGGCGGTTGACGGAGTGGCGGCTCTGCCCACGGTGAGGCGGCCAGGCCAGCGCCTCAGGCCTTGCTCTCCTCCACTTTCACCGCCCGAGGCTTGATGGCTCCTGTGCGCTTCATCTGGGAGGCGGCCAAGGGGGCCTCCTGCAGGGTCACGGCTCCCAGGCCGGGCTTCTCATCCACTCGTGGCTTGGCCTTTGGACAGATGAACGGGACAAAGCAGTTACCCTCACACAGCAGCCGTCGGTGGCTACACAGCCCCCCTTCCTGCTCCTGAGCCCCACAGAGAAGAGCTACCCTAAGGAGTCCATCCTTCGGTGGAGGACAGACTAGACGCAACTCTCCCAGGAAGGACACAGTGGCGCTGTGTCCCCTCCCGCAGGCGCCGAGTGCAGTGATTCGGAGGCGGGAAGACGCCGGTCCTCCGGGCAGCCTTCTGCGGTGCCCGCGGGCCTCCATAGGCCGCCCAGCTAAGGCCGACTCAAGAACCTTCCCAAATCAGTGCACCCCATGCCCACAGGGACAAAACCCGAGACCCGCCTGTCTGCAGAGGGCGGGGCCTCAGGCAGGCGTGGGTCTCCCGGACCTTCGCGAGCCTTTCCCCAGGTTCACATCAGGGTCCCCCTACTCGCAGGTCAGCACTGGGCAGTGCACCAGAGTGACTGGCCTCAACCTGCCCCGCACCATGAGCATTAGCTCAATCCAGGCTCCTCCAGGAGCGGCCCTCCCGGGAGCCACGCCAGGAGAAGTGAAATGAGTGGCCAGTCCTCCGCCTCCACCAGCCAGGAGCTGCTCTACCTAGAAGCCTGCGCTGACACGTCCGAGCCCCGGAGCCCGCCGTACTCAGAGCAGCGGGAGAACAGTGCCCCACGGCCAGGAAACGCCATCGCGGTCCCTCCCAGCCAGGCAGACGAGACACGGCACTTACTAGGGCTACATGCGCACGCTCACGCGCACGCCCGACTGCTAGTGCTGACCCACAGACCTAACCCAGTCCCAGCACCTTCACAGCCCGAATCGCTAGGAGGCTAGTCCACCTGCTGGCGTCACCTCTCCGGGGACTCCGCATCCTCCCTTCTCTGCAGGACAAGGAAGGATCCAGACGCCCGTCAGGAGGAGCAATGCCTTCGCCAGAAGGACTCGGCCCCTGGCGCCATGCTCTAAGCGCTAGGGCACGCCTCTCTTTACAAGAGGAGCACGCAAATGGGGTGGGCAGTCCCTTCTCTTTTGGCGCTTGGAGACGGGCCTAAGCGTCGGGGCTGGAGGTCTGGAAAGCCATCTTCTACCTGGTGAGCGTAGTGTCCCTGCACAGAGCCCATGTTAACTGCTGATCCAGAGGGCTTCCCACTGGGGCTAGCAGAGCTAGGCCTGAAAAAACCAAAGGCAGGGGGTGAGAACACACGCACCACAGGAGGCAGTCAAGCCCGGCGCGCGGCCTGGCTCCGGCTCGCAGACCTCCCAGCGGAGGAAAACAGACCGCAGGCAGCCGAGCTCAGAGGAAGAGCGGGCTCAGTCGCCCTGGCACCTCCAACGCAGCTCAGGGAGAGGCACCCAGGGGGAGAGATCGAGGTCGCCACTGCGGGCAGAGACTGGCCAGACAGATGGACGGACAGGAGGAGCAAGAGTCTCTCAGGGCTTGGAGGGTCTGGACCAACGTGACTCTATGGCCAGATAAAAGGTCTCTAAACCTAGGAATTGCGCCCAGTAGTTTTCTAGTCTCCCCTTTCTGTGGGTGGGGGGTGGAGAGACACCAAAAGGAACGACACTGTAGAACACCTTTCCAAGTGTGTTCCCAGGAAGGGTAATAGGCGCTGGTGAAAAATGATTTCCTGGTGGAAGTGTGCGAAGCGCTGTGTGCAGATTCACCAGGACTCCGGACAGCGGGCTGTGCCCAGGAGCACGGCTCCCGAAGAGCCGTCTTGCACACAGCACCCCAAGGACCGGAGCGGGGGAGCCTGTGTGGCGGAACACGCCTCAGAAGTCGTTTCCAGAAAAAGTGGGAAATGCTTCTCTATAAAAACATACCACGTTCCCAGCCCCCATGAAAACACCTGCACAACAAAGGCTCCTTAGCTACGGGTCATGCTTCCTAGTCTCCCCAGGGCAGCGGCCGCCACTCCCACACGGTGGGCGCACTCGGCTCTTGTTCAGGCGGGTCCGTTCCCTGGGTTTGCCCAGGAGACTGAGCACCTGTTCACACCCCACGCCCCTCCCTCCCTCCAGGCACACACGGCTCTGTGCTGCTGTCCACAGGTTTCTGATAGTGCTGTCGTTCTGGCCCAAGTGAAAAATATGATCGGACAATACAGCGAACTAACAAAAATAAATGAAGCCAAGAGAGTGAAAATAACAGAAAAGATGAAATGGGGGAAAATTCACAAAAATCCCCCTCTCTGGAAATGCGGCTGGAAGGATGGAAGGAAGCGGCAGGGGCCGAGGCCGAGGCCTCGCACTCCAGGAGCAGCGGGCCGAGCACCGGGCCAGAGGACCTGGTGGGGCTGGAGCCTCCGCTGGCCTCTCCCAGGGCACTGCCAGCTGCACGTCTGTCTAACTCATTTACCAACAGGACGGTTCCCAGGCGTTTCCCACACATAACAGGAGTCAACTGCACTGACCCTGGGCCCGAAGCCGGGCATGCTGCCTTCCCAACTCTACATGCGCTCCCTGGGGTGAGAAAGTTGGCAGACCCAGAGCTTTGCTGCCTTTGCAACTCAAGTAATTGAACAAGACAATTCATACAGGGCCAGCTCTGATCCAGCTCAGGGCCCTGGGACTGGTGCTGGAGGCAGAGACGGGCGCAGAGGAAGCAAAAAGGTGCAGCTCGTCCTGGGTAGCCAGGCCCACGGCCCAGCAGCACCAGGTCCTGGGGAGGAAGGTCCTCCCGCCCAGGGCTGTGCCTTTGTGGCCACTGACGCCTGTTCTAGAAGCTGGTGAGAAAGCTGTGTGTAGGCAGGGTCAGCCCGACGCGGACAACATTAGCAGTTCCTTTCCCCGCCTTCCCAGCAAGCTCTCCCAATGCAGAGCACGGGATGAGGATTAAAAGCAAAACCCAGTCCCTGAGTTCCCAGTGATGACTGGAATATCTTGGTGACACGCGGGCTTACGAGGGGACCCGGCCTCGGTGCCCTGTGCCGCCCTCCCGGGCCCTCAGCACCCGCTGGTCCCTTTACCTGTAGGTCTGTGGTGACTGCCCGGAGCCTCCTGAAGGAACATTCGGTTTACTGTCGGCAAAGTGGAAGCCCTTCATCTCCATCTGAGAGGACTAGAGACCGGAAGCAAAGGTTGCTGGCTGGTGGCCGGGAGACAGCCTGGCCCTCGCTGAACCACCCTGCGCACAGCCGAGGGGGCCCAGGAAGACCCAGGAGAAGTTCTGGATAGAGAGGCAGCTTTTAAAGGAATCGAGGCTCAGCCGTAACCGGTTTGGCTCAGTGGATAGAGCATCAGCCTGCGAACTGGAGGGCCTGGGTTCAATTCCGGTCAAGGGCATGTACCTTGGTTGCGGGCACATCCCCAGTGGGAGGTGTGCAGGAGGCAGCTGATCGATGTTTCTCTCTCATCGATATTTCTGACTCTCTCTCTCCCTTCCTCTCTGTAAAAAATCAATAAAATATATTTAAAAAAAAAAAAAAGGAATCAAGGCTCGAGGTCTTGTTCCCTTTTAAGGGGCTGAGCACCACCACGGGCGCTGCCTGGCCGTCTCTGCCCTGAGGAGGAACCCTCAGCAGAACCGTGGGGCTTGGGCCCTGGGCTCCAGCCCCAGGCATCCTCCACCTGGGCCTCCAGGACCTGCACCTGAACTGGCCCCTCGGGTGCTCCCGCGCCCGCACAGGGACCAGGCGTGGACTACACACCTCCTTCCTGCGTGGGCCACGCACACCTGAGCTCGTCTCCACGGCCAGCTTGCACACTGACCAGGGGCACTGGCCATGGGAAGGCAAGAGGCTGCGCCCCAGGCCCTGGCCTGTCCTGCCACAGCAGTGTGTCTGGCTGGCCGGAGGGTTGGGGAGACCCTCCCAGGACCCCAGCAGGATGGAGTCGCGCTCACCTCTCTGCTGGTGTTAAGGACCGAAGGCTGGGACCCGGGCGGAAGAATTCTGCGAGGGGCCCCCACCGAGAGGCTCTGCCCCTGTGGCAGCTGGATGGACTGGGGCAGGAGCAGGGGCTGCTGTCCGGAGCCGTAGCGCGGCAGAGGCAGCTGGGAGCCGGGCAGTGGCATCGTCAGCTGCTGACAACAGGGACAGTCAGGAAAGGGAGTGGTGGTGGGGGAGAAAGTCACAACCACTGTTCACACTCGCGCCCAAGAGCAAGCACACTCAGACTCAGGTTCTTATTTCAAGTCACAGCGAGGCCTCCTGCAGTGGGGAGACTCGCTTTCCCTCAGAGCCGCAGGGACTTCACACTCGGCGGCGGGGCAGGCCTGCCGCTGGCACAGTGGGTGGTGAGGAAGCAGCACGGGGCGAGGTGGCAGCAGCTGGCCAGTGCCACCCGGCGGTGGGGCTCCTCTCCCGGGTGGAAAGGGCGTGTGTGCTCCAGCCCTCCCCGCTCCCACCCAGCGAAGGCTCGCTGAATGCACACTGTGCGGGGAAAGCGCCAAGACACTGTCAGACCCAGAGCCACGAGGGCAGGGCGGTGCCATGCTGGACACAGCACCCCGTGTGTGGTGTGTGTGCGTGTGCGTGTGCGTGTGCGGTGGTGGGGTGGGAGAAAAGCTAGGGAGGGCCAGAGAGGCTCGGGAGGGGACGTCCAAGTGGATCAGATCCCAGGTGAGAACAGCAAGGCCGGAAGGCTCCCTCGCCCGCTCCGTGCAGCACCGGGCCAGCCTGCCACTGCCTGCCTCTAAGGTCAGAGGACAAGGCTCGGGGTCAGGGTTCTTGGAACCAAACTGGAGCCTCCTGGAAGCTTCTGAAGCACAAGCACGTTGTGAAAGAGAAAGGCAACTGCAAGGCCTAAGCGACCACTTCGAATGTCCGGACCAGGGGGGTGAGAGGAGGGGGCAGGGGGGCCACGTTGTCTCTCAGTCACTTTCCTCTTCATCTCCCTGCTGGTGAGTCCACAGTGGAGGGTCAGAAGGATCTATTGGGATTGCATCACCGAGACACGTGGCAGGCAGAGCCTCTAGGACCCAGGCCCCGTCGGCGTACAACACCTGTTTTAAAGGGAGGGGGCGGGAGTTCATGCAGGAGCCTGGGCAGGGAGGGGTGCAGGGACGAGGACCGGCTGGACTCCGAATACTTTCCAAATGCAGAGCCGACAGACCTGCTGAAGGCCCAGAGGGGTGATGCGGACTGGACCACCTCAAGGACCAGGGAGAAAATTACGTTTTGGACCCGATGTCTGAACACGTTGGTTGAGGTGCGGTGAGATATAGATATTAGAGCAGAGACGTGGGCAGCCAGCGGATGAGTTCAGGTCCAGAAGACAGCGGGGAGAACGGGAAGCATCACCACTTCACCTCCAGCCCCAGACGCAGGGGGGTGGGGGGGGCGCGGCGAGAGGGGGAAACGACACAGAGGGGATGGGACCCCTCAGAAGGGGCTGAGCGTGTGACCTGGTTCCAGCTACAGCAGCCAGTCAGCACAGCGAGAGGCAGGCGAGGGAAAAGCAGTCGGGGGAGGGACTGGCTCCTGACCTGGGGGAGCTGGGAGTCCAGCATCTGGGAGGCGCCCAGCCCGGCCGCCTGGCTGAGCTGGCCCTCGTAGACCAGGGCTTGGCTTCCGCTCATGGGCTGATAGGGGGAGCCCGACGGGGGCTTCACGAGCTCCAAGGGCTGCATGCCGGGGAATGCCGAGTACGGAGGCTTCAGGGCGGTGCCTCCAGAGAGGATCATGGTGCTGGGTGGGGACAGGCTGGGGTGCATGTACACCTGCGACCTGCAAAAGCCAGACGACACCAGGGCAGGTGTGGGAGTGCCCGTGTGAGAACCCAGAGGGCTTGCGAAAACACTCTGCTGGCCCTACCCCTCGACGCTCAGAACAGCCCCCTGGATGGTGCCTGTGTTGCTGGTCTAGGGATCACAGTTTGGGCATCACTGGATTAAACGAATGGACAAACATACAAAACGCAGGAAACCCATGTGATGCCAAAAGCACTGGACGTGAGACACAGCAAGGGCAGCTGGAGGCAATGGGCAGGGGGCGTGGGGGCAGGCCCACAGCCCCTCCTGCACACAGCAAAGAACGAACTGTAAGGGACCATCACACCCTCACCCCAAGGAGAACAAGGGAACGAGTGCGCAGGCTGCCAAGGCCTGAGCTCCGCCTGTGAGCCGCCAGCCCTCGTCCCCGTCTCACCTGAAGGGCTGCAAGGAGCTGAAGATCTCCTGTGACTGGGAGACGGGGAGCCCGCCCCGCAGCCCCAGCTGGGCTGACGCCTGCAGAGACGTGTGAAGGGAAATGGGGATCTGCTGGGCAGCGGCAGCCTGTGGGGAAGCCAGCAGGTCACTGCGGGGCCCTCCGAGCTGCTCTTCCCTTCCCCTCCGCACGCGGCTGGAACCCGCCCCACGTGCCAGTCCCAGCACCTCCTTCCTGCGCTGTTGCTCTACGCGTCAGCCACTCCCTAGCTCCACGCACTGAGGTGGCGCGCACGCGAGCGTGCGTGGACAGCCACATACAGAACACATGCAGCAGGACCCAGTTCCGTGAAGGCCAACACCGTGCACAACTGCACAAGGTAACATTTAAGAACACGTTTTAAAGAGGTGAGGACAGGCCGAGTCCTCTGCCCTCCGTCCCGAATCTGCTCTGAGCAGCGCCTCCGCGGGGGGCCTGGTGCTGGTCTGCGCAGCAAGGCCTGGCCCCGCGCCAGGTCCGACGTCCAGAAAGCACCCCCTGCAGCACGGACGCGATGCCGGTGCCGCATAAAAACGCACGCCTGCTCGCTCTAAAACTACCTCTTTCTAACGCATCCATGCCTGGGAGTCTAGGCCTTGCTGCTCTTCATCAGAAGGATACCTGATCACCAAAGAGAATTCCGTTTCAGCTAGTCCCGGCCAGGACCGAGGAGAACTCGAAGGGAAACTACGCAGAGTCTGGAGCACTAGCTCCACTCCTCCTCGCCTCGTTTACCCGTGCCCCACACACTGACTGGCTGCCGGACACGCAGGTGCTGGGCGTTACCCGCGAGGGATGCAGAGAAAGAAGAAACACGGACTCTGACCCCGCCCCGCCCCGCCCCGCCCCGCCCCGCTGCCCGGCCGCGCCATCACCTGCTGGTAAGTCTGCTGCGGGATGGTCTGGGGAACCAGCCGGGGCTGACTGGCAAACACGTGCCCATCCAGGTAGAGAGGCGGCAGGTGGCTGCCTGGAGACAGAACCCACGGAGGCAGAACAGGATCAGGTCTCGCTGCTGCCGAGGGCTCTCAGGGGACACGCCGTGCCCGCCCTGCCCACGCCCCTCGTGCCCACTGCATGCAGCTGCCTTGGTCTCTCAGCCAAGTTCCTCTTCATCTCCCTGCTATTGAGTCCACAGTGGAGGGTCAGAAGGATCTATTGGGATTCCATCACTGAGACCTCGGCAGCCGGCACCTCAAAATCCCCACCCTCCCCCTTTGGGCACCAACACCACGACCAGGACGCTGGCGGGAAGGACAACGTGTCCGTTACTGAGACAGCTGATAGACAAGCACTTCCAGGTATGGCCTCTGGTTGGCGTGGCTACCCCATGGAGCGCCATCCTCGCCCGGGCTGGTTTTACAGAGCACGGACCAAGGGTCAGGGCTGAGCTGCTCACTGGCAGAGTGATCCGGCCCCCATTAACCTGGATCCAACTCAAAGCCCTCTCGGCTCGCTCCTCCCTCAGGAGCCGGGACCATGAGTATCAGGGAAGCAGAAGCAAGTGCGAGCCGTCTGCAGCCGTGGGAAGCTGGGATCGCCCAGCCTAGTGGCAGCCCGACTCCCACTTGCACAGACTCCCTAAGTCATGGTCGGTGGGTTCAGGGCTGCCAGCCCCACGCTTCTGTCGAAGCGCACAAGGAGGCTTGGGCCGATACCTGGGAGAGAAGGCGCTACGGAGGCCACGGGCATGGGCGGCATGGAGACGCCGCCGAAGGAGCTGTAGTTGGCCCCACCGGAGGCTCCCACAGAGGACGGGGGCTGGATGCCCGAGCCAGGGCCTCCCGGAGAGCTCTGCTCCGGCAAGCTGGGCGAGTTTTCCCAAGCCTTCCGCGCAGACTCCATCTGTGGAAGCAAGGGGAGGAGAGGGATGAACACTACTAGGGAGAGGCAGTGGCAGTGGGTGGGGCTGCCCGCTCCCGCCTCCTCACAAGCCAGGGCCCCGCGTGGGCCTTGCTGAGGTCAGGACGGATGTTACCTTCAGAGTGAGGTCGGCCGTGGGGAAGGACATCTGGGAGAGGCCGATGGCTCTCTGGATGTGATGATCTCGCCGCAGGATGGGAACACTCTGTGTCAGCCCGGCCTGGGGAGACAGGACGCCATGGGACAACCAGGCAGAGGAAGCGAGACGACGTGTCAAAATGCCCTTCAGAGTTGGTGTGCACCTAAGGCCACAAGATGAAGCTGCCAGCAGCTGAGACCAGTTTATCTTCTCCAAAGAGCTGCCTTTGTGGCTTCCCTTGACAGAGGCCCAGGAGAGCCCCCACACCCCCCAGAGCCCTCTAGCAGGGATGGGCATGTGCCAGCAACGTAACGACTGGCTGCCGACATGCAGGCGTGGAGACCTCCAGGAGGCTGAGGAACAGGTGCCTGTGACAGAGGCCCAGCGATGCCTGCTAGCCGCTCCTGCTGCGCTGGGCGGTGCCCTCAGCATGCTGCGGGCCCTGGGAGCTCAGTCCGGAAGCGTGGTTCTCCCCGCATCTCAAACATGACCAAGGAACTTGGAAGAACAGAGAATCGAAGCATGCTACCCAAACCAGACCTTGGGAAACACACTGCCCCATTTTAAGGTCACAAAACTGGGTGTAGAACATTCAAACAACTAGTGGAAGATAGTAAGCAGCTAGAAATTATGTCATGACTCAAACCCAGGTCTGCCTGACCCCACGGCCCGGCAGCGCAGGGCCAGGGCTGGCAAGGAAGCACACTCACGTTACTAGCCAGGGCGTCCTGGAGCTTGACCACTGGATTCCCCGCGGGGCCAGGGGCAGACCCAGGCGGCAAGCTGAAGTCGGAGTCCTGGAAAAAGGGGACAGAGCCCAGGAGATCCTGGCTCACCTTGCGGCAGAGACATGGTCTCAGCGCCTCCAAAAACCCACCACGCAAGCAACATGGCCGCATGTTCCCCAACGGCGCTGCCTCTCATCCTCGCTCCTGCCGTGCCCACTGCCCCACCCGACAGAGACCATGAAGACTGCCGCCTGCTCAGCCTGAGAACCGGCTGGCGTCGGCAGGGCATCTAGGGGGCAGCTCACTAGCACCTCCGTCCACGCTCACCCGCACGCTCCCCGGTGCCGCTCAGCTCACCCCTCTGCTCCTTCTAGGAGACAACCTGTCCAAGCCCCTCCTTCCCCTCCAAGTACAAAAAAAATGAAGGAGAAAGGAAATAAACCAAAGCCTCACTTTTGGACTGACTCCAAATTCGATGGGTGGCACCGGGAGCACAGAGTCCACGTGAATCTCCACCCCGTTGACCGGTGGGACGGCGGCGCCGGGCAGGCGCTCGGCCGCCTCGGAGCCCTTTCTGTTCCTCAGGGAGCGCTCGTTACCGATGGGTCCTGGTCTGTGCTCCTTGCTCTGCGCTGAGCCTTGTTCCGAATCCTTGACGGGAAAGCAGAGCAGCTGAAACACAGACTAGATGGCCTTCTACGCGCGCGGGAATCGGGGCAGAAGACGAGACAACGAGCCCTCTGCCCAGGCCCGGCCCCTGCAGGAGGGACTCCAGGTTACCTTCTGCTCGGGTTGCTTCTGAGCCGGCTCCTTCTGGCCGTCAGCCTTGGGCTCCAGGTTGGACCCGCTCATCTCCTCTGGTTTCAGAGTGCCATAGGGCGAGCTGCGCTGCGACGAGGTCGCCGACGACTCTCGAGACTCGGCGCTCAAGTCCACACCACTGTCTCCCTGGCTGCTCTTAAAGCCCTGCTGTGCAAGGCACCAAACGGGTTAGAGCCCTGACCCCCAGGCTCCCCTCGCTGCCTGCCTGTGCGCAGTCTTGTCCCGAGTTGGGACCTGACCCAACAGCTGCAGGGATGTGGCCAAAGGCACCCCTGCCCGAACCTCCAGACCCCCAGTGGGCCCTCGGCCAAGACGGTCACACACATCTCTCTTGTGACCCAAACCAAACGGAGTGACCACCGCTCCTGGTTTGAAGGAGAGCCCTGACTGCTCCCCTACAAGGGGTGGGGTAACCCCCTTTCTTCCTCCCTCTCACACAGGCACCTCACGTAGGTCAGAAACCAAGGCTGTAGTCCAGCCACCAGCCGGGGCCTGAGGAAATGGCCTCTGGTCCAGGCCAACCACTGCGGCTGAGGGAGGGCGTGGGCCGCAGGACGGACGAAGCCCAGGCCAGGCAGCCACATGGGCAGCGAGCACCCCGGCCTGTGAGCACACAGCGCACTCACCTCGGCGGAGCCGGGCTCGGAGCTGTTGAAGGCCGAGGCGGCTTTGGTCCAGGAGTCGCTGGTTGAGGCCTGAACGGGCAGGGCTGCCGGAGGAGGAAGCAGAGAATCAGGGCATCAGAAAGGAGCAGGAGGCAGGCACAGGCATGGCGTACACAAACCCAGGTCCTCACGGTCCTCGCGGTCCCCACCCACACGCCAGTGAGCAGCTGATACTGGGGGAGCTGGTCTGAGCGTCACACCCCTGCCCAGTGGCCTCAGGCAGACTTCACCTCTGCTGTGCTGAGGCTTCCCTCACTCAGGCCAACTATTTGTTTCTACCAGCGGGAGCTGCTGCCAGTCCCGAAAGGCCCACGCCGCCGCCACCGAGACGCCAACAGCAGCCATGGCCCCGTGCCTGTCCACACGACTTCACATGTGACCTTCAGATCGCCCGGACGGTGGTCTGACGACAGAAGCCCGCTCCCGGGCTCCGGGGGCAGGTGTCCCCGGACTTGCTCACTATGACACACCTGTCACACAACCACCCACTGTCTAACATCAGTATTTCCGAGAGGCTGTGGCTCTTGCCATCAGATCCGAGTCCTTCCCAGCCTCGTTCTGCAATGGGGACAGGCCACGTGGCACAACTGCGAGTCCAGGCCCCAGCCCAGGACCTCTGAGGGTGAGGCCTCACCCTGAAAGCCTGGGCTGCACTGTGGGTGACTTCTCCACGCTCCCCGGGGAGAGCTACGTGCCTTGTTCTGTGTTCCCTGCAGGTTGGTAGAGGCCATCCTGTCCGAAGTGGGCATTCAAGAGGAACTGGTTCCATTACGATCAGTGGTTCTCAACCTCGGCTGCACATTGGAATCACCTGGGAATCTTTTTAAAATCCTGATTTCTGGGCCTTATCCTCCGGAAATTCTGTTTGTAACTAATGTTGTGGCCCCACCCCCTAACAAAGAAACAATTTCCGGAGGATGAGGCCCAGAAATCAGGATTTTAAAAAGATTCCCAGGTGATTCTAATGTGCAGCCAAGGTTGAGAACCACTGATTAAGATGGTTTTATGTTTTTAAAGTTACTAGAAAAAGAGCGTTGAACATAGATTTTTTTTAAAGTTCAGGGGAACAAATTTTCTAAAGAGCACGGTCCACCTTAGAGAGCCTCGGGGGCAGACAGAGGCCACTGGGCTGGGAAAGGCCGGGGCACAGATCACAAAGCCCTGGCCCTGGTGCCCCTCCTGGCAGCTATTCCTCGCTCCTCTACACATACAGGAAAGGGTAAGTGCCGCGGGCAAAGGGAGCCAGGCCAGCTGGAGTGCCCTGGTGAGGGGGGCGGGGCCAACCCGTCTCCAGGTCTCCAGACTCAGGGAACGCTTTGCTCTTCCAGCAACTGCCAGGCAGGGAAGTCTACACCTGCTCAGGTGACAGCCACCCCTGGGCTAAGGTGGGGCTAACACTGGCTCAGAGGACACCGGAGCAGGTTAGGCCCCACCCACATTCTCAGTCCTGAAAGCAGATGTTCCCTAAAAAGAGAACAGGGAGGGGCTAAGCATCTAGGCCCAGGCACCCCAGCTCTTACCCTGGCCACTGCTCTCCCAGATCTCGGTGCCCAGGCTGCTGCCCGGCACGGGCACATCGCCTTGCTCCAGGCCCAAGTTGTTCTGCTTTTTTGCAAACCGAGGAGGAATACGGGAGGCAAGGCCCCGACCTTTGACAGGCACCTAAGGAAAGAAAGGTGGTAGAGGCCATGCAAAAGGTCAGGCACGTGACATTCTCCCAGCAAACGTCTCTGGAGCATCAGAACCAAGAGAACTCGCCCCAGCGATGCTGGGACGCTCATCTCTCAAGACCTCAACCACCAGTGAGTGTTAATGCCACACCTGGCAAGGGCTCACAGCCAGTGACTGCGATGAATCAGACAACAGGACAGTGTGCACTGCCCCACGGGTGCCGTGTGAGCACAGGGTCCCACGGGCGCAGGGGGAGGAGACGTGGGGCTGAGGCCGTCTGCACCGCGCCCGCTGGGCTCCAGCTGCTGTCACCGGACCGTCCCTCTTTGAGAACAGGGAAGGGGTCATCCACTGTGGGCGCTGCGGGCGGTGTTTGAGGGACACTCCTCCCTCCTCCCTCCTCCCTCCCATCCTGGGCTCCATTCAGAACTGGGAGCCTCCTGGCTGTGGTTCCCCACACCGGCTGGTGCCACCCGCCACCCTGCTCCTCCTCCCCCGCGCTCCTCACCTGCGCAGCTTGCTCCTTCTTCCTCCTCTCCTCCTCCAGCAGGCGGCGCTGCTTCTTGGTCAGGATCTCGATGAAGCCTTCACCCACCATAGAGCCCACCTCCGTCTCCTCCCCGGGGCTGGTCCCACAATTCTCGAGGATGGAATCTGAACCAAGAGTTCACGCGAAGGGATGGTGTTCCACTCATCAGAAGCCAAGAAGAACCCAGCCCCACAGGCACCTGACATCTTGGGACAGCTCAGCTCCAAAGGCCGGGCAGTGCCTGGCTGGTACCTCCCAGGAGCCGTGGAGTTCACCGTGTCTACAGAATGAGCTGGGATTCCACACCCTCACACGCGCCCTAACAAACTGTCAACGCAAACCCAAGAGCCCTAAGTGACACTAAAGCCCAGAAAAGTCTTTGGAAATAGAGACATCAGTCCCAGCTCTGCTCCTAATTAGCCATGTGGCCCTGGATGAACCACTCAACCTCTCTGGGCCTCGGGTTCCCACCTTTACAATAGGGGGTGGGGGGGTGGGCACTGTAGGGCAGTTAAGGAGTTTGGCAAACTGTGAGAAACACAAGTGCAGGGGTCGCATCTGTTCTGCCCATCTCCGTGCCCCGGAACAAGGCCCAGGGCCTCCCTCAGAGGGTCAGACACAGTGAGAGGGCAGATTTGGCAGCCTGCAGCACGAGGCCCCATTTCACCCGGCTCGGCCCCCTCCCTCCCCCGAAGATGCAAGGCAACAGACTCACTTCCGTAGTTCAGGTCAAACTGCTTCATGGCCTCTCCCTGCTCGCCCACCCTCTGAGCAGCCAGGGTGGCCTCCTCTGCCTTCTCACAGGCGGCCTCGGGGACGCCAGAGGTGGCATGGGCAGCCCGCTCCAGGGTGTAGTGACTGCTGTGGCCTCCTGGCAAGGCCTCGTCCGGGGTCCTGGAAGGGAAGGGGACCTCGTTAGCTCAGAAGCGACCGCGGCTGGGGAAGGAACGAGAAAACCACCTAAGCACACAGCACGCACCATGGAAGCCACTCCCGGCAGCAGTGCGTCCGGGCAGGCCACGGGGAGGCCCCCTCCAGCCGCACCGCCCCTGCCAGGGCTCAGTACTTTGCCTTCCCACTGTGAGTCAAGCTCGACAGGACTCCACAAAGGACAGAGCTGCAGGGCGTCCTCCTGTCACAACACTGACCAGCAGACGCCCCAGCCTCGGCCACCACCAGGCCTTGGGGCAGAAGTCAGAGGCAAAGCCAGGCCTCAGCATCTGAGTCCTGGGAAGCTAGACTCACGGACACCCAAGAATCCACATGCCCTGTGGCTCCCTTTCGGGGAAGTCACCCCAGGCTCTGCCCGAACCTGAGCAGGGGCAGGTGGGAGCATCTCCGCATGCTCAGGTCCCTCTCCTGAGCCCGGGCAGCCCGCGGGCACTGAGCTGGGGCATCCATATCACAGCCTCCAATCCCGGGCCAGCCGCTCACAGGCTCAGGCTGCCCATTCCCTGCGCTACTGCCTGTCTTATCACACACAGTGGCAGTGCCCAAAGGTGCCAGACCTGCTCGCTGTTGGGAGCAGAGCCGTTCGGGGAGGAGCCGCCTCGGGGAGGCCCCTGGCTGCGGTGGCCCCGCAGGGGAATCCCAAGGCCACATAAGGAGGCTGAACTCCTGGGACAGGTGCCACATAAGAGGACCACCGGGGAGGGGACTCTGGTTTTGGTTTTAGTTTTCAAGCCACAACAACAAAACGCCACAGGAAGCAGACACACGGTGCAGGGGCGAGTGAGGGAGACGCTCACACACAAGGCCTGCGGCAGCCCCTCGGGTGCGGGGCGGCCCGACACACGGCGGGACAGGCATGCATGGAGCGCCGCTCGCAACACCGGCTCGATCACAGAACAAGCAACAAAAGGACCCGGATTTTGTTTTGTTTTACCTTTTGGCTTTCAAAGGCGTCCCACTCTGCTGGCTCTCATAATGGGGAGAGGTGTCACCACCGCCTGGCCTAACAGCCTTCTCCCCAAACCCTCCCAGCTCCAGCTTCCGGCTCTGCCGGTCCACCAGGGGCCTCTGGCTGGAGAAGCTCCGCTTGGCCAACTCCTTCTTCTCCCCCAGGCTGGCCCCGGGCAGGCTGCCGTCCGCGTGGGAGCCGGGCTCGGGCCCGGAGCCGGCCCGCCGCTCGCGCCGCTCGCTGAAGTCGCTGCTCTCGGAGGCCGTCTCCCACTCCTCGTTGGCGTGGTCCGAGGAGTTCTGGCAGGAGAGCTCGGGGGACCTGCGGCCCACGGCGCCGCTCCTGTCCCCGGGGCAGAGCTGGGACCTGGCTGGCCACTGGCCCGCCAGCAGGTGGGGCTCCTCCTCCGGCCCCCACACCCCCAGGGACTCGCGCTCCTGCCGGAGGCGCCGGAAGCGCGGGGGCTTGTCCTGGCGCGGGGGGCGCCTCCTCCGGAAGGGCCGGTTCTCCCCGCTCTCGGCGTCGGCCGCGTGGTCGTCCGGGAAGAAGGGCCTCTTGTCCTCCAGGCGGCCGTCCTCGCAGCCCCTGGCGCCCAGGGCCTCGGGGTGCCGGGAGGCCTCTGGGACGCAGTCTCTGTCGGGGGGCCGCCGCGGGCCGGTGTCGGGGGAGCCGTGGTCCGGCCAGCAGGCGCCGGCACTGCGGCTCTGCCAGTGGGCGGCCTCCCTGGACACGAAGGTCCTCCGCCCGTAGCCGCAGTGGCTCAGCCGGGGAGGGAGGGCGCGCCCGAAGGCCCGCGGGCCTCGGCTCTTGGCCTCCAGGCCGCTGTGGTCGTCGGGGTACATCCTGTGGGACCGCCACGAGTCCCTGAAGTCGCCTCTCCTGGAGGCGGCCTCCTCCCTGTCCAGGAGCGAGCCTTCGTGGCCGCCGTCCGAGCCTCTCTGCCGCCGCCGCTTGGGCAGCTCCTCGTACTCGGAGCCCTCGCTGTGGGTCTCGCTGGCGATGCGGCGCCGGGGCTTGGCGCGGGGGAAGTCCTCGGGCGGCCCGAACTCGCGCAGGCCCCGGCCGCGGCCGCCCCTCTGGCTGTGGGTGTAGATGCCCCGCGCCCCGAGGACCCCCCCGCCCCCGATGCCGGGGCCGCCGCCCGCAGGCCGGCCACGGAAAGTGAATTCTCGGAACCCGCGGCCGCGGCTCCGGGCCTGCCCTCGGCCCCCAAAGGCTTGCTCCTCGTCGATGAAGATCCAGTTGCTCCTCTTGGTCAGGGGCGTGTCGCTGGGCTCCCGGGACGGCCTGGGCTCCCAGGCTCTGTCGGGCTGCTCGTCCTCCTCAGGCTTGCTGGCAGAGCGGCCCGCGCCATCTCGGGCCGCGCCCGGGGCCTCCGAGGCGGACGGGGCAGCGTTGGCCAGCGTGGGGTCGTTCTCCTGGTCCTCGTCCTCGTCCTGGTGACGCGGCGCCTCCTCCGGGGGCGGGCAGGCGCTCTCCTCCCCGGGCTCCGGCCTGCTCTTCTCCAGCTCCTTCTCCTTGTCTTCCACCTTGAGCGCCTTCAGCACCGGCTTCTTGATGGGCCCCGACCGCCGGGTCCTGCTGGTCTGCTCCTGCTGCTGGCTGCCGGGGCCCCGGGGCTCGGGGGTCCACTCGGGCTCCAGGGACGGCTGTTTGTGGGGGCTCCCTTCCTTCTCCCAGGAGGAGGCACTGAAGGGCGGCTCCTCCCGGGGCGCCTCCTTGTCCACACCGTTGGCTGTGTCGGCCTTGGGCTGGGGGCTAACGTCCCAGTTGCTATAGTCTGGCTTGTTCTCAGCCAGGGCAAAATCGGGCTCCCGTGGGGAACACCGGAGGTTTGGGGTGTGGCCCCGAGGAGCGCCTGCGTCCTGCACACTGTCTTGGGGTGGAAACAAAAGCTCCTGGCCTCTTCTTTGGGAAGAGACACAGCTGTCAAAGTCTGCTTGGGCCTTCTTGTCAAAAGCACTCAAGTACTCCTCCACTCTCTCCTCAAGGGGAGCGCGCGGGGCACCTACGCCCCCTGACCTTCCGGGTGAGGCAGAGTAAGCGTTTTCATTCCTGAAAAGGAACCAGAAAAACCAGTCAATGTGATTGGAGCCTGGTTCCTGCTTTCCATGCTGAACACAGAGCTTAGTTTTCAAAAGAAAAAAATGTAAAAAACAAAAACGAAAAAAGAAAAAAAAAGAAAAACATAAGCACCAACATTTCCTCTATCTTTAAACAGGTCTCAGAGTGGCTGGGCCACGGACTGGTGGGTGGCCCTGGAGTCCAGAGTGAAGAAGGCGGTGGCTGAGGGTGGACGCGGCGTGCCACCTGGAGACGGAGTGGTGGGATCCTCTGCTTCGATCAGCTGGAACCTGGGGTCCGCGCAGAGGCTGGCACTGCCGGCGGGGCCAGCTTGCTTTGCTTTCACAGGAAGGAGTCCCCACAGCTCAACCGGCCTGCTGAGCCCAGAGTCCCCACCCCCGCCCTGCCCCAGAGACAAGCCTTGAACCAATTTCTCCTGGGCCTTCAGTCTCACTATCAGACAAGCGACACACACCAGCATCCAAGCCACCCCCCACGCTCTCCTTCCCAGAGGCACTGGCAGGTCCTTCCTGCTCCCTTCCCCTAGGCAGGGTCTCCTGGGAGTCTCCTGTGGGTGCAGGCTGGCAGGACCACATGTGTCTCACCTGACGTGCATGTCCATGGCCAAAGTGTCGCTGGGTTTTGGGGGAGGCAGCGAGTAGCTCTTGCTCTGCAATGCCATGTAGCCCTCAGGGCTCCACACAGGGGCTGGGTCGACGGCGGTCACTTTTCTTTCCTGCAGTTGGGGGACACGGCTCTGATCCTCAGAGCGACAGCTAGTCCCACTGACGGAGTCTGGGGGCACCATGGGCTTCATCAGTCCTGAAGAGGGAAAGAACTGATCTAGGTCATCCGTTCGAAAACTGTGCTCCAACCTCAAGGTCAACCAAAGGCTCAAAGAAGACAGCAGTGACCTGACCGTCACAGGGCGCGGCACTCCCAGGCCCATCTCTGGGGACTTCACCGGCTCTGAAGCCACAGCACACCATCTGAGCGGCTAGTGAGAGACCAGACCTGGGACGTCCAGCCTCAGTTTCCAGATCAAGGACCCCTCGACGAAGGGCGTATAAAACTGGCAATGGAAACCGGAAATATCAAACCAGAGTTCATCAATGTTGGCAGGAGGCCAGCAAGGGCCGGTCAGCAACGAGAATCTCCGTGCGCAGAGGGGCCGGACACAGGGACGGTGAGCTGCCCACCGAGAGCCTCCACGGACGGGCTGGCACTACCTGCTTCAGAACCTGGGCAAGGAGCTGGAACAGGTTTCATTCCTTCTATTGCTCACCCCGAGGCTGACAGCAACTCCACACTCCTACAGGAGGGGCCGTCACACTCCCACAGGAGGGACAGCCACACTCCTACAGGAGGGACAGCCACACTCCCACAGGTAGGACAGCCACACTCCTACAGGAGGGACAGCCACACTCCTGCAGGAGGGGCCATCACACTCCCGCAGGAGGGACAGCCACACTCGCGCAGGAGGGACAGCCACACTCCTGCAGGAGGGACAGCCACACTCCTACAGGAGGGACAGCCACACTCCCACAGGTGGGAGGAGGGACAGCCACACTCGCGCAGGAGGGACAGCCACACTCCTGCAGGAGGGACAGCCACACTCCTGCAGGAGGGACAGCCACACTCCTGCAGGAGGGGCCATCACACTCCCGCAGGAGGGGCAGCCACACTCCCACAGGAGGGACAGCCACACTCCCACAGGAGGGACAGCCACACTCCTACAGGAGGGACAGCCACACTCCTGCAGGAGGGCAGCACGCTGCGTAAGTAACGATGCACTGTTAGGTGGCCTGAGCAGTGGGGGCCCTGCCAGATACAAACGCTCTGGGACGCTGTGCCCTCTATGCTGCTGTCCCCAGCTACCCAATGAGGGAGTCCGGCTGGTGCATATGATATAAAGGTCTCATTGGGCCTCAGTCTGTGGAGAAAAAAGATCTGATTTTCCGAATATTTTCCTCACAAAGTCTATTAATAGCCAAGCATTTTGCTGTGCTCATCCTTTACGCTGAGCCAGGCCGGGACTGTGCCTCTACCTCAGGCCAGTGCTGCCAGCTCCCTCTGGCTGTGGACCCTCAGAGTCAGGGAGCGGTAGGCTCTCTGGAACCCGCATTGCACAGCATTTACCAAGCAGTGGCTGAGGCAGGCTGACCCGCTTGGCACTGCGTCGGCCGACTCGTGGCAACATGGCAGAGCCTTATTCCCGACAAACCCTCCTGCCACAAGCACTTTCCACCACGGAGATGCTGGACAGTCCAGCGGACACGGTGCTCGCAGAGCCGGGTGTCCGGGGATCGCGAGCCCAGGGGCTGGGACTGAGCGGGGCTCCCCCGCGACCTAACCTCGGGCCTGGTCGTCAGCAGCTCACGCGCAGGGATGGGCTCTGCGCGCCGTGGAGCCGCAGCTGGGACGCTGCGCAAAGCCAAGGCCACCACGAGCCGTGTCCTCCACCGAGACCGGCTGCTCTTCTGTAGTTCCAGCACACGGCTCTCCCTTCCTGCTCCTCAGAACAGCGTTTACCTTCCATAGCTCAGCTGTAGGCACACTGTGTAGCAATTATCTTGGTAAATATGATGCCAAGAACCGGGAAAATCTGTCAGACGGGTAACACAGTCTGTTGGAACTTTTTGCTTTCACCCGTGTCTATCGGGAAGTTGCAACAACAACAACAAAAAAAAGTTGAACCTCTTCCTAGTCATAGTTTTTAGAAATATGGGTGAACAAGTAAAGGATCAGTTGACCAGTAATCTTTGCATTCTGGCTTCTTCATTAGTTCCAGCAACAAAATTAAACCAAGAATCTCCTTTATATCCATATAAGTGACATCCATCCATGGTGAAGTTTTAGCAGAGGTTTGTGGTATTTTTGCATTTGGTAATAGCATGAATTGGTTTAGAGGTAAGGAGATAGAAAAAATCCTTATCAAAAAAATTGGTGGCTGGCCAGCGTGGCTCAGTGGTTGAGTGTCGACCTATGAACCTGGAGGTCATGGTTGGATTCCCGGTCAGGGCACATACCTGGATTGCGGGCTCGATCCCCAGTAGGGGGAGTGCAGGAGGCAGCTGATCAATGATTCTCTCTCGTCATTGATGTTTCTGCCTCTCCCTCTCCTTTCCTCTCTGAAATCAATAAAAATATATTTTGGAAGGCAGCTATGCTCACCACTATACCACCAACGCAACCTAATAAAAATATATTAAAAAATAAATAAACTGGTTGCTTCCCTTATACTTTGTGGGTCTTCAATTGTGCCGGAAATATTTGTATAATCCTCCAAGGCTGTTAAATACTTTTTTCTGCCCAATCTTCTTCGGAATTTCTTTCACTGTCGGACACTATCACGTGTCTCTTGTGCCTTCGAGTCGGTCTAATGTCAGACTCATCACTGTCCTCCGACAAAGGACTGTCTTCCAGCTACTTCCAGAGTCACTCGGCCAATCAGAGGAAGTGTCTGCACACAATTCACCCAAACGTTCTTCTCTGCTGTGGTGCATCTTTTTTAAAACTTTAGTCATAATAAGAGAGGGATGGAAAGAAGAGAGGTACTGCTCATCACATCTCCTGAATACTGGTTGACAAGCTGAGGAAAAGACCCGAAGAGGAAAGCTGAGGCCGAAACAAGTGCTGCGCGGCGAAGCGGTTTGCACCTGAGCCTAAACAAGCAGGACAGGGAAACCGTCCGCCGCGCTGCTGGCGCTCTCCCTTGCCTGCAGGCCGTAACCTGACTTACGTTCACGTAGGTGGGACACAGCACACTCGTGACCTGCCAGCAGGGTGTCAGAGGCAGGTAAGAAACACACACGCTTTTGTCCAGGGAAACGACTATGTTTGCGTCTTGGCCTGGGCCAGGGTAGGGGACCACCCAAGAGGGATGGCCTCTCAGCCCGAGCCATACTGGTCCCCACAATAAGTCGGCTCTGTGACAAACGAACGTGCAATCCCAAATCACCAGAACACGCGTGGAAAGCAACCCACAGGTTATACACCTCCTCACGGACTTCAGGTAATAGAATAATCTGTTAAACACTAGGAAACTGTTTTAAATGATTAAAAAGCATAAAAGGAATTAAAAATATGACAAAAAATAACAGATTTGAGAAAAAATTCTAGTGATTTAGTCACTGAAATTAAAAACTCACTGGACAGTAAAAAAAAAAAAAAAAAAAAAAGGCAGATTAGACACAGCTGGAGAGAAGACTGAACTGGAAAAAGTTCTGAGGCATTTTCCAAGAAGGCGCCTGAGATAACCTCTTCCATATTTACGAGACTTGAAAGACAGAATGAGAAAGTACAAAAAACTCCAAGTGGAAGTCCTAGGAAGAAAGGATACAAAGAATGAGAAGTTAATATCTGAACCGACAGCTAGAAGAGAAGGTTCCAAAAGTGACGAAAGACATCCATCCTTTGATTCAAGCCCCATGAACGAAGGGGCAGGTGCAGACACAGAGAGAAACAACACACTTTCCGCAGCAGCAGGAGCCGGAAGAAGGCAAAGGCAATGCCCTCTTCACAGACTGACAGTAGCTGCCAGCCTAGAACTCTATACCCAGCTGTACACCATTCAAGAGCGTGTGGCAGGAAGACTTCCAGGCAAAGGAAACCTGCCCCAAACCTTTTCTGAAGGGCTCGGCAGGACACATTCACGAAGAAGTGAACCAAGCCCAGAGGAAAGGAAAAAGATGCCGGAGGGAAAAGCAGCAAAGCACCTTGTAAACACACCAGCAGAGCGGAATGCGCAGACTGGATAGCACAACAAAAACCACCTGGTGGGCGTAAACATAAGGGAAAACCAAAGGTCCAGGCAGCAGTAACAGGGAAGTGACGAGGAGGTACTCAGAGTCAGGTTGGGGTGAAGGTATTGATCAGCCTTTGCTAAGTCGAGGGCACATGCTGGAATTTAATGTAACTACTAAGATAGTAGAAACACAGACTGTAGAAGGAAAACAAAAAGAATAGGAAAACTTGATCCAAAAAGAAAAGAAAAGAAAAGCATAGCAAAGAGGGACGAACAGAAAGCATACAATAGGAGAGTAGAAAATTCGAACGTAATAATCCCACTAATTCTAAAGGACAGACTGTTGGAGTGGGTGAAACCACACACGTTGTACAAGGTACAGTCCCCAAGGGGCTGGGAGAGGCTGCCGCACAAAGTGGAAAGAGGGTGCCAAATGGTCCCTAATCAGAAGAGAACTGGTCCGGGCAGTGTGGGTCAGTGGTTGGAAGTTGACCTATGAACCAGGAGGTCGAAGTTTGACTCGCGGCCAGGGCACGTGGCCAGGTTGCAGGAGGCAGCCGATTGGTGATTCTCATCACTGATAATTCTCTGCCTCTCTCCCTCTCCCTTCTTCTGTGAAATCAATAAAAGTGTATTTTTTTAAAAAAGAAAGAAAACTGGAATGCTGTCACTATCAGACAAAGTAGACACTAAAGGTAGGAAGCGCAATCAGTGGTAACAAGGGTGCACCTCCGGGGAGAGGAAGCAGACACCGCCAGGCGCCCAGGACTGGACAGGCTCGCGGTCATCGCGGGACCGGAACACACCTCTGAGCGGCTGAGTAAGGGAACGAACAACTTCGATGACTCAGCTGTTCCCACAGACAACCAGCAAGCTGCTCACAGCCACTTAGAGAACGTCTATTCTTCTCAAGCAAACAGAATGTTTACAGAAACCAGGAACCATGTTACAGGCTACAGAGAACATCTCAACAAACATCAAGCAGTCTAGCTCGGGGCCAGGTGGGCAGCCTCGGCCCTGGAGTGAAATCCGACCGCCGCCTGCTCTAAGAATAGCTGCACCGGATCTGCCGTCTGCGCGTTTGCTCCTCAGCAGCGAGGCGGGTGCTGCCAAGGCCAGAAACGGCACTCACCGCCCGGCATCGCGCGCACGGCTGAGCGCCGGCCTCTGCCCCGCAGCCCGTATTCACCATAACGCAGGCACTTCAGAAAATCACACCATAAGGACACTCTAACTCTATATATTTGGAAAATTTACATCATTAAAAAAATCATACTCAAAAAAGGTAAATCAAAATCAGACTAACTTTTAGAACTGTGTGAGAGCAAACGTGCCTTCTCGTGAAATTCATAGGCGTTCATAGCTCAGGTGATACTGAAATACTTGTCAGAAAAGCCGAAATTACATGAGCTAAGCATCCAACACAATTAGTTAGAGAAAGAACAGGATAATTTTAAAGGAAATAATGGGGGGGGGGGGGGGGGATTAATGAAGTAAAAATAAAATTGAAAAATTAAGAAATCCAAAAGCTGCTTTTCAAAAATGGCTTTAAACAAACCCTGGGGAAGACTAATCAAGGGAAACAGAGAAGGAGCGAAGAACAGTAAGAATGACAAGAAGGGACAAGACAACATGGAAGAGACACAGAAGTTAAAGCCATTGGCGACGCGGGCTCTCAGGTCTCTGCCCGACAGTTCCCCGTGACAGATGCTATTATTGCCCTCATTTTGCCGACAAGAACGCTGAAGTCCAGACTGTCCTGTGACTTGCAGAGGAGGCCGGAGTGGAATCCCGTGGCCCTAACTCCCGAGGCAACATCCTTCACCCCGTGCGGGGCCCACCAGCCCACGCAGCTTACCCGAGGGGTGCAGAGCCGAGGGGTAGAAATCCACTGGGGTGCGAGTGGGCGGGATCCGAGGGTCCATGTAGGAAGGCATCATCATCCACCTGGGGTCGAAGCCCAGCATCTGAGGGTGGTGCGCGTAGAAGGTGCGCTGCGGGTGCGAGGGCGGCGGGTACACCTGCGGCCAGTGCTGCATCTTGTACAGCTGCTCCTGAGCAGGGAGAGAGGCCGTTAGACAGGTGCTGCGGCAGACGGCACCCCTGCACACACTCACCTTCCAGCAGGGGGACAGACCGAGAGGGAGGGATGAGCAGCGGCTCCCGGGGGAGACGCAGTGTATTATGGCTTTCAGGCTGCGGTCCGCTCCCAAAACCGATGGACAGTTGTGCCGTCATCAAAACGGGAGCCCACGTGCTCCTCTCACACCAGGCAGCCGAGGTTTTCACTCGGACAGAAGCCTTTCCTGGGTCTCCTGGAGCTGACGACTGACCAGCACACCCCTCCCAGGATTCTCCTTGCCCACAACCCGCTGAGCATGGTCCCCGGCTCTCCCTCCTCACCACTGCCCTCTCCAGCCCATTCTCCACACTCCACTGGAGTGATCACACACCTCTGCTCATGTCAACCCCACGCTTCAAAAGAGCTTCGATGGTTCTCCACAGGGTGGCACGTCAGCTACAGGGTCCTCTGGATCCTGCCCCCGACTCCCAGCTGCACCTCGCACCCTGCTCCCTGCTCCTGCCTGCCTGCAGGTGAGGCCTTCTGACACATGGGCCCTCTGGGAAGCTCCTGTCCCCTCCACCCCCACACATGGCTCCCTCACACTCTTTTTAAAAATATATATATATTTCTTTATTGATTTCAGAGAGGAAGGGAGAGGGAGAGATAGATAGAAACATCAATGATGAAAGAGAATCACTGACCAGCTGCCTTCTGCACACCCCCTACTGGGGATCGAGCCCGCAACCCAGGCATGTGCCCTTGGCCGGAATCGAACCTGGGACCCTTCAGTCCGCAGTCTGACGCTCTATGCACTGAGCCAAGCCTAGAGCCAAGCTGGCTAGGGCCCTCACACTCTTTCTTTAGGTTTCAGCTTAAAAGCACATTCCTTGGGGAAGCCTGAGGGAGTGAGCAGGTCCCCTCCTCTGCTCTCAGAGCACCGACATTCTTCCTCTGTAGCACCAACAATAGGCCATTGTTTTCTACTGCTGGCTGCTCACTGCATCCTAAGAGACGGAGCCCACAGTGGTATCCCTGCCCCACCACGACCCCGGCATCTGCACGAGCGGATGAGCATAGAGCATCAGTAGCACATTCAACACGAAGGGCCTGGAGAGGGCTCACTACAGACCCTGCTCCACATCAGTGACCTCGGGGCTGCCTCCCAGCCGCATCCTGAATCGCCAGCTGGCAGGACTCAGGTGCAGAGCCGCCTAGGAGCAGAGCCCAGCGGCGCCACCCCCTTCCATCTGCAAACAAGAGGCCACCCACCAGCGGGCGGCCTGGGCTGGATCGCTGGCCGGCTCCACGGGCGCTCAGGGCACTGTCTGAGGAGCACGCAGCGTTCCATACACAAGCCCTCCCAGCCCCACGGCAGCTGCAGCCGCAGCCACCCCTCAGTCTAGACCCCAGGTCCCCGGGGAGCCTGGCCAGACAGTCTGCTAGCCGACTCCAGGCTGCCCTGGCGCTTCAGACTCCTCTCTGTGCCTAGGAAGGCTTGCCCGTCACTGCCCCCGCAGAATTACCAAGAGTGACTGCTACTGCTGCGTCTCACCCCCCCAGGCAGTGACTGTCCACCAGCCGTGAGTGACGCAGTGCCACCTCATGCCACGCCGAGACGCACCCACAGTGGCTTCCTGTGCAGAGCACGGGCCTGGGGGCTCCTGGAATGCTTCCTGGGAGCCCAGCAAAGCAGGGTCTGGGGGGAGGTTGGTTTGGTTTTGGGTTTTAACTGATTTTTAAAGAGAGAGGCAGAGAGAAGGAGATTAAACATTAATGTGAGGCGCATTTGTGGAATATAATGCACAACACAAAGTGATGAACAAAAATAGATACAGAGACAGAAGCATCGAATAGACCGTCAAACCTCAGAGGGAAGGCAGGCAGGGGAGGGGTGAGAGATCAGCCAAAGGACTTGTAGGCACGCAAATGAGCATAACCGATGGAAAAGACAGTAGGGGGTGAGGGCCTGTGCTGGGGGCGGGAGCGAGCAAGAAGAGGTCAAGGGGGGGAAAAGGAGACATATGTAATACTTTCAACAATAAAGAACTTAAATTTTAAAAAAAATCAACGTGAGAGAGAAACATCAATTGGCTGCTTCCTGTACACACCCCGACCAGGAATCAAACCCGAACCCTGAGTCTGTGCCTTTTGGTGCATAGGCCAACGCTCCAACCCACTGAGCCGCACCGGCCAGGGCTGGGCAAGGCTTTAAAGGCGACTAAACGAGATTCCAGGAAGAGACTCAAGACTTGGCTGTTTCCCCCGGGCACACACGTTTTGAAACGTTTTGGTTATTAGTGGTAATAATTTCCTGCAGGCCTAGTTGCTGGGCTAAGTCATGCCCAAGAATCATCTGTTTCCCACCAAAATGCACTGCTCATCCTGAGTCTGTCCACTGTGACTCCTGTAAGACACGCTGCACGCGAGTGGCTCCGCGGGACAAGAGGCGTGAGGGCCTGCGCGTGACCCCCACGTTCCCCACACGATCTCGTCCAGGCAAAGGCACGTCCTCTGAAGGTTCATGAAACACCAGCAATGACGACACCCAGAGGTCAGCCTACAGCTGTCGGACACCCTCACTGCACGCTGACTGGCGAGCACCCCTGCTTCCTGGTCGACAATGACCCGTCTAGACCACACCCAACAGGAAAGCCGCACAAGGACTGGATTCACAGCTCTCCGTTAAACACCGACAAACCTGCATCCTTCACTCAAAGCTCACACGTCTCCCCCTGGCAGCTCTACGCAACTCCCAGGCCGCCCTCACTCCTGAGACGGCCCCAGGGTGGGGCACTGTCGGTGTACGGAGTGGCCAGTGCCCTGCTCTGAATGACAAACCCCCCTCCCAGCTAACCCAGCAGGTCCGAGGCTCGCCCACCAGCTCTTCCTTGCTCGTGTTGGACAAGGTCAGTGAACTACCGCCGAGAAACCACTCAGAGGACGGTCAGAGCTGACCCACCGAGGCCCTGTGCTCTGAGGTGCAGCCCTTGCCGTCCTCCTGGATGGGACCTGGCAGGAGGGGGGTTTCTGCTGTTGGCTTTAATGGAAGGGGCCTGGGGAAGGGGAGGGGCCGTCACCCAGCAGGCAGGCCGGTTTACAAGGACCTTCTCAACGTCTTCCTGTTTACCTGCTGCTGCTGCTGCTGCTGCTGCTGGCGCTGGAACCTGGGAGGAAGGGACTTCTGGTACTTGCTGAACTCCTGCGCAGGGGACCCAGCCTCCCCGGGCCCCTCCTCACTGCTGCCGCTCTGAGCCACAGACGCAGGAGCTGTGGGGGCCTCTTCTGAGAACGTGCTGGGGGCTTCTTGGGCAGAGAACTCGGGGGAGCCTAGAGAACAAACCACCAGAGAAAAGGCTGGCGTGGCCGCACAACAGCTCGGCCAACCAAATGTGAAACAGCACATGCTTTTCCCGCTGGCACTGCCGCCGTGCCAGTTACAGCCTCGAACCCGGGCACTGGCATGAGCTCGTGGTCCCACACCATCCCCACTTCGGGGGAGACAATGGGGCCCGAGGTCAGGTGACTGCCCGAGGCCACAGCATTCGCCGTGGAGCGGGATTTGGGTCCAGAGGAGAGGTTTCATTAAAAAGGACCCTGGGAAGTCACAGCAGCCACACACTCCATGGCAGCCACACCCATCACCCACCCGCGGGACTCACAGTCCAAAAGCTGTGTGACCTGGTGGGCAGCCTGGTCCTCCATCTGCACAATGAGGACAGCAGCTGCGCCTCCCCCGGGGCCTGTGGAATTAGATGCGATAACACAGCACCTGACAGGCAGGAGGTGCTCACCACTGCCCACCGTTATTCTCGGAAACTCCCTTCTTTCTGGCCCCCACCCAGCTCTGCACTTTCTCCAGCTTTTTCTGAAGAAGGATGGACACTCACTTTCTTAACTGGACTGCAGCGGCTCAGGCACCGGAGGAGCCCAGAGGCAGGTGGTGCAGCGCAGCGACAGCGCGTCCCGAGTCACAGGACCCTCAGGCCCCGCCGGGACCGGACCAACGCACCTCGCTCATACCCGCGCCATCCCCTCCTGGTGCTCGGCCCCAGGCGCCACCTCAGCGAGACTGAGGCTGGCACGGCCGCACAGGACCTCAGGGAAGCAGACAGAGGGCGCTGTCGGGCCCGGAGCTTCTTGGCCAGGAGGGCACTGGTCGCTATCAGACCAGCAGGAAGACCCCCACCCGAGAGGCTTTCAGGGTCTGAGACGAGAATCAGGCCCTTGTCTCCTAAAAAGAGCTGGTTTTCATTGATTTTTAAAAATCACAAAGAACATAGTTGATCAGATTCTTTCAACCCGCTGCAAGCGACGCTCTCCGACACAGCCTGTGCCACACATCGGACCAGCCGCGCAGCGCAGGCTATCAGCGCTCATTCTGAAAACCGCGTGTGCCACGCCGGTGGCTTCCTTCGCGTCCAGGAGGACCCTGTGCGTTTAGTGGGATCCTCAGCGTCGCACCTTTGGCTGAGCACTGGTAGTGACAACCGTGACCGTGACGACGTGACGGCACCATTACCAGCAAGTGCCCGCGTGCTTTCTCACCCAGAAGCTGTGCCAAGCGCTTGGCACGCATCATCTCGGGTGGCCCCCACATGGAGGGGGGGCGTACCGTTCAACTCCCACTTCACAGGGGCGGGAACCAGCTCCCACGGGTGGGGTGCAGAGCCAGTGCTGGTGTGGAAACGGGGTGCATCCAGGCACTGACCCAGGATGGAGCTTCCCAGCAACCTCGCTGTGAGCCACAGGCGGGACCAGGGAGCCGGGAGACGCAGACCCGAACGAGGAGCGCAGCCGCCCGGGTGTCTAGTTTGTGGGGCAGGAGCCCCGCTTACCTTTGCAGACGGCGGGGCCGTTCTCCTGCGGCGGCGCCTTCTCGGGGCCCGGAGACCGGGGCGCGTCCCGCTCCAGCGGCCGCTGCGCCTCGCTGGCCTTCTGGGCCTGCTTGCACTTCTGGTCCAGCTGCTTGAGTTTGGCGGCGCAGGCAGCCAGCCGCTCCTCCCGGGTCCGGCGCTCCTCCTCCTCCCGCCGCCTCCGGGCGCGCTCCACGGCCTCGGACATCTCCGACTGGATGAACTTCTGCCGTGGGGGCGGCTTGTCCTCTTTGTCCTCGACCGACTGCTGCCGGAACACGCTGCCCACGGAGGCCTTCTGCCAAGAGAGAGCCTCTGATGAAGCCAGGAGACGGGGCAGCTCCCGCTGCGGCCAGTCCTCTTTCCAGGAGCCTCGAGCTTCTCGGAGCCGGGCCGGCGCTGGGCGGACCTGGGTTCTCCTGCTCTGCCCCTTCACTGTGTCTGGAATGAGGTTTGGGCCAGTGACGACCTTCTGCACCTCGGCTCCCCCTCTGCAGGCGGGATCGCACAGGAAGCCCTAGGGATTGTGCAGATGCCCTGGAAGGTGACCGACGCCAAGAAACGGGACACAGGCCCGTGTGCACTCGCCGGGGCTGAGATCAGGGCTCCGTGGCTCATCGACCGGAGCTGAAAAGCACACTTTCACCATCTCTCGGTCACAAAACTGCTCTCCTTCCCCCGTGAAAACATGTAAACCTCGGGTATAAAGAGCCACCAGGCACTGAAATTCATGGTTGGCTATACGGTTTCAAGATGATTCTCTTATATATACGGTTTCAAGGTGATTCTTTATATAAAAACAAAAAAGCATCTCTGAAAACATCGCCTGTGGATGTGCCATCCACCCCAAATCTCTCACTGGACAGCAACCAGAGGCCAAAGACGCAACGTGGACAACGCTCGCGGGGAGGTCCTCACTGGTGTGCGGGGCGGGAAGCTGCGGGCAGCTCCAATGGCCCAGGCACGGATTCCAACAGGACACTTGAAAGTGTCCGGCTCCCACCCTGACCCGTGTGCTCAGTTAGCTGAGCGTCATCCATGTCCCGACAGGTTGTCCGGGTTGCTGAGCTCTATCCCCAGTAGAGGAACATGCGGGAGGCAGCCAATCAATGTTTCCGTCTCACATCGATGCTTCTCTCTCCTCCTCTCCCTTTTCTTTCTCTCTAAAAGTCAATTAAAAAGTCTTTTTAAAAAAATAAGTAAGAGATTATAATTCAGTGAAAGAAATAAATAAACTAACTCACAGTTTGCACCTGGTAGGTTACAGTGAGAAGAGTCTGTCATTTTTGAGAGATTCCAACCAAAAAAAGAAACCTTGGACCTAATCACAAGGAAGGACCAGACCAACCCAATTTGAGGTGCATCTCACAGTCATGAAAGCTAAGGAAAGGCTGTGCCAGACTGAAGGGGACGAAAGAGACAGGACCACTGAGGCAGGAGGTGACTGAACTGGAGCCTGTGCATGAAGGACGCTAACAGGACCACCGGCAGCGCGAGGGCAGGAGGCTGTGGCTGCCTCCCTGGCAGGTGCCGTCAGTCCTGGCTCACACCACAGCGTCTGTGCCCACATGTAAGGCCGGCAACTCCCCTCTATGGCTCAGAAAAAGTTTCCTTTGTGTGTACTTCCAACTTTTCTGTAAGCTTAGAGCCTAGCTGGAGCTTTGTGTGAGAGAGTGAATGGTAGTAAGTTCGTGCCGGTTTCAAAAGAAATTTTTTTAAATGCCAAGAGCAAAAGACAAAGAGAGAATCTTAAAAGCAGCAAGAGAAAAACAGTCAGTTACCTACAAGGGAGTACCCATATGACTGTCAGCTGATTTCTCAACAGAAACTATGCAGGCCAGAAGGGAGTGCCAGGAAATATTCAAAGTGATGAATAGCAAGAACCTACAACCAAGATTACTTTATCCAGCAAAGCTATCATTCAGAATTGAAGGTCAGATAAAGAGCTTCACAGATAAGGAAAAGCTAACAGAGTTCATCACCAAACCAGTATTATATGAAATGCTGAAAGGTATCCTTTAGGAAGAGAAAGAAGAAAAGAAAGGTACAGATACAAATTATGAACAACAAATACACATCTATCAAGTGAATCTAAAAATCAAGTGAATAGCCAGCACCGGTTTGGCTCAGTGGATAGAGCGTCAGCCTGCGGACTGAAAGGTCCCAGGTTCGATTCCGGTCAAGGTCATGTACCTTGGTTGCGGGCACATCCCCAGTAGGAGATGTGCAGGAGGCAGCTGATCGATGTTTCTCTCTCATCGATGTTTCTAACTCTCTATCCCTCTCCCTTCCTCTCTGTAAAAAATCAATAAAATATATTAAAAAAAAAAATCAAGTGAATAAATAATCTGATGACCAGAATGAACTGGTGATTATAATAGAATCAGGGGCATAGAAAGGGAGTGGACTATTCTCGGGGGGGGGGAAGGAGTGTGGGGGATGCGGGAAGAGACTGAACAAAAATCGTGCACCTATGGATGAGGACAGTGGGGAGGGGGGTAAGGACAGAGGGTGGGGTGGGAACCGGGTGGAGGGGAGCTATGGGGGGAAAAAGAGGAACAACCGTAATAATCTGAATAAAGATTTAATTAAGGAAGGAAGGAAGGAAGGAAGGAAGGAAGGAAGGAAGGAAGGGAGAGAGAGATACCCTCCTAGGACTTTCAGACACCCAAACACTCAACTCAGCAAAGTACAAATGCAGAGGGCATCCAACTAGAGGACTGTTGGTCTTCTTGGACTTCTGGTCAACTGAATGTGAAGAAAGAGAGAGAGAGAGAAAGGAGGGGGGAGAGAAAGGAGGGAGAGGGAGAGAGAGAGAAAGAGAAAGGAGAGAGAGCCCCCCAGCGAGTCACAGGCACAGGCCCCACGGTACCTGGTAGTCAGGGCCCGAGGCCCAGCTGTGAAGCTTCCTCGGAGGGGGCTGAGGTTCTGGCACCTTCCGGACGACACGAGCCACTCCCACCGTCTCGCCCCAGTCCTTTCCTTCCTCGTGGGCACGCTTGGCATCAGCACTGTCCGCGGAGCTCATTGACAGCCCCCGCTGCCTCCTCGGGTCCCAGCTGCTCCTAGGACAACCGCAAGCGGTTAGTGTCCCAGTCGGCCACCACGGTCTTGCCTTACGAGCCAGCGGTCCTCAGTCAGCTGTCTACACACCATCTCCTTCATCGAAGCAGATCCGCTCCCCACCCCCTTACGGTGACAGACATCCCAGAACACCAACATTCAGCACCAACATTTACCATTCAATCTCTCACACAAAGCTCGGCTGTTCCACACCCATTACTTTATGGGGGGGGGGGGGGGGGTCATTCTTCCCCTTTTAAAGAGTTGAAACAAGACTCTCCGAGAGGTGGGCAGCTGCTCGCCCAGGGAGGAGCTAACAGATTTGGAGCCAAACCCGGAAGAAGGTGCTTCTTTTACTACAGACCCGCCCTGTGCTTTGCACTGAAGGTGCTCACAATGCTCTTCCGCAAAGAGCTCGCTGCAGGTGCCTCAGTGAGGAGCGAGAGGAGGAAGGAGAGCACACAGTAGGGACAGGCGGACAGGCCTGGCGAGTCCCCCAGGCTGCGGGAGGCGGGAAGAGAAGGGGGAGGAGAGCTGTGCCTGCGCACCTGCACATGCTCGGGGTGGAGCTAGACACAGGCCTGGGGCAAAGCCTCCTGTGCGGGACAGAAGTGGCCAGTCACCCAACAGGAGCCAGAGAACAGCAGGCTCAGGTCTGGCTACTCTGTGTGCACGTGTCGGCGCACACATGTGCGTGAGAGGGGGAGGCTGAGGCAGGTAAAGGAGGTTAGGAGGCCACAGGTGGGCAACCCTGCTGGCGACTACTGACTTCCCTGTGAGAGACAGAGAGACCACAGCAGGCTTCTGATGCACCAGAGAAGGCCGTGTCTTTAGAAGACAACGGGGCACAGTGTGAGGGTAAGAGAACAACACGGAAGGAAGGGACGCCTGGCTGACCCCTGCATGGTCCAGAAAAGACAGGAGGCCCGTCCCATGGCCCCGACACAACGAACAGGAAGGGATGAGTCAAGGGCAGTTTCAGGAATCATCATGGATGGGAAGCGAAGATGTCAGAGGGACTCTGGGCTCATTGTAGGAGTCTCTGGGGGCTGTGCATCACCAGCCAGCTCAGAGAATATCAAAACAAGAGCAGGTTTCGCCCAGTCAGCATGGCTCAATGGTTGAGCATCAACCTATGAATCAGGAGATCACGGTTCAATTCCCGGTCGGGGCACATGCCCAGGTTACGGGATCCATCCCCAGTGTGGGGCGTGCAGGAGGCAGCTGATCAATGATTCTCTCATCACTATTGTTTCTATTTCTCTCTCCCTCTCTTTTCCTCTTGAAGTCAATAAAAATATATTTAGGGAGGAGGTGCCTGGGTTCAGCTTTCTGGAGTAGCAAAGCTGACTCCATGTCTAACTCCTTCCGTTGAATATTCAATTAATATCTACTGAAAGAGAGAACAGTGTCCTACTGCTCAATCAACCTGTAAAGTTTTATGTCTTTGCCTTTGACTTAAATTCTTGGTCACATTTCCTTCTACGCTCAGTGTTCCAAGAACTGATCCACAGATAGTCCCCATGTGCATCGAGCTGCGTGAAAATAGACGACAGAAGCCTGAGTTAACTGTGTGCCATCAGAGCGGCAGAGCGTGTTACCGGCTTCCTCCAGGAGGGGGCGCTGACTCCAGGGGCTTAGAAGTGAAAGACAAAAAGACAGAGAAAGACTTGCAGAGGGAACCATACACACACTCAGTGACAATGAAACAAAGGGAAACATTAAAACATTAATATCTAAACAATATTTAAAAAATCACATTTTTGAGAAAAGCACAATAGGTCCAATAGGTGGTGTATAAAGAAAACAGGAAATGCCAAATGAAGGAAAAAAATCACATGTGCTGGTACGAGAAAAAAAAGAAAGAAAAAGCAAATTAAAGCAACCGCAGGCGCTCTTTTACAAGTACCAAAGTGCTAGCCAATAGTGTGATGAAGCCTGGGTGGGGGCGGGGACTGGGTGGAGGGAGGTAGTGGGGGGAAATAGGGGACATCTGTAATATTGTCAACAATACAAAATACACTTAAAAATGTTGATGATTATTTATGGATTTAGGATTAAAGGATTTCTGCCTTATTTTTAATTAAACAGTTTTTGTATTTTACAAAACACGTTATTCCTATGGCTTTTTAAAATATGTAAAATGCAAAAATAAACAGACAAAGGTACTAGCCAAGCCCGGTCAGCATGGCTCAGTGGTTGAACGTCAACCTAATGAACCAGGAGGTCACGGTTCAATTCACAAGTTGTGGGCTCGATCTCCAGTGGGGGGCGTGCAGGAGGCAGCTCATCGATGATTCTCTCTCATCACTGATGTTTCTACCTTTCTCTCCCTCTCCCATCCTCTCTGAAATCAATACAAATGTCTAATAATAAAAGCATAATATGCTAATTAGACCGGACAGCCAAACAACCTTCTGGACCATCTTCCGGACAAAGCCGGGGCTGTGAGGGCCAAGGCAAGCCGCCATTGCTGTGAGGGCCAAGCCCCCTGCATGGATTTTGTGCATCGGGCCTCTAGGACTAGCCAATACTACTGATATTATGATAAAAACAAGAGGAGCTAGAGTACAATTAAGTATTTCCCAAAGGGCATTATGAGTAAAATTTGTCCAATAAAATGATCCAGAAAATGAGAGAAAAGATTAAATTGGTCTAAAAAGTTTAGGAAGCCTGGTCTAGCCTGTGTACGCTTCTCCCACCTCCCTGAAGGTTCCCAGCATGCTTTTGCATGCACACCCCAGACGGCAGGCGACCCTGGAGGAAAGGAGAAAGCTGAACCCAGGCGGTTTCCCAAACTCGCTTGGCCACAGAAGGCTTCTGGGGCATGACAGCCATAATCACTACAGAACACGTGGTCTCCACCACGCCCTCAGGGAAGTACTGGGGCAGCGGTTACAATCACTAGCACCCAGCCTGCCACGCTCGGATGCAAATCCTGGCCCAATTCTCGAACGGGTGCCCCAAAGCTTAGCCCTCTCATCTGCAAAATGAAACAGTATCTGCCCTGGGAAGTTGCTGGAAACTAGGAAACACACTTGGCACAGGACCAGCACACGGCAGGGCCGCTAAGCTAAGGTTGCACTGGAGCGTGCCCCAGCAGAGGCAGAGCCTTACCACTGTGGCCGGCCATCCTTCACCGTGTCCTCCTCCTCTTCATCATCACTGAACTTCAACTTCTCAGAATAGTCCACTTCCTCATGGAGGCCTGCAACAGGGCGTGGGCCAGGGAGAATGAGAAAGGTGAGAATTTCAGCTGCCAACAGTGCCACCTCAGTCCGGAATCATGCCAACCCCACGAGGAGGGAGGCGAGCCACGTGGCTGCCACCACCGAACGAACGGCAGCTAAACGGAAGGAGCGCTGGCTTCTGGTAACAGGAAGGCAGCCTGGTCAGACTGACCCTCGCCCCAGACAACAGCTCCTAAATCAGGGCAATCTATAATAATAAAAGCATAATATGCTAATTAGACCAGACGTCCTTCTGGAAGAAGCCGGGGCTGCAAGGGAAGCCTGGGTCCCGGGTGCCAGAGGGAAGCTGGTGCGGGCAGCCGGGGGAAGGAAGTCCTACTCTTGCACAAATTTCGTGCATAAGGCCTCTAGTATGTATATATATACTAGTATATACATATATATGTATATAGAATCTTAGGATTCTTAAGTTTTTCCCCCCCTTTATTGATGTTCAGAGAGAAAGGGAGAGAAATAGACGAGAGAAACATCTTTGGTGTGGTAGTCTAGTTTTCCTAGTAACTTTGTAAATGTGCTGTGAAAGACTGAAAATTTGATTACATCATATATGATATTAATTGTGAATTAGTGGGGCTTTGATGTAACAGTGTATCAACATTTAAAGATATTGGTACTTGATACTCTATTAAAGAAAATTAACCTCCAAATTTTAAGCTAGAAAGTCACTGGAATAACTATTTAGAAAAAAAACCACAACTACGTGACTTCACATTCTGGGTACGTATGTTAAGAATTATACAGCCAGCTGGCGTGGCTCAAGTCCCGGTTCAATTCCCAGTCAGGACACATGCTTGGGTTGCGGGCTCGACCCCCAGTAGGGGGCGTGCAGGAGGCAGCCCATCAATGATTCTCTCTCATCATCGATGTTTCTATTTCTCTCTCTCTTTCTCTCTCTCTTCCTCTCTGAAATCAATAAAAATATATTTATAAAAAAAAAACAATTGTATACAAATTGAAATGTCTGTGTACTTTATCAAAACAAACAATAAAATCACAATTATGAAAGAAAATAAATGAATGAATAAATAAATGCTATCCACAAGATTACCACAATAACGGAGAAAAATCATATGACCCCAAGGACAGAAAAAGCATTTAACACAATTCAATACATGCCCATTCATGATTTAAAAAACAAAACAGCAAACTAAAGAGAACAACCTCAATCTGCTCAAGAATATCTCCAACAAGCTATAGCTAACATCATATTTAAAGGTGAGACACTAAACCAGTGCTTCTCAACCTTCCTGATGCCGCGGCCCTTTAATGCAGTTCCTCATGTTGTGGTGACCCCCAACCATAACATTATTTTTGTTGCTACTTCATAACTGTAATGTTGCTACTGTTATGAATCGTCATGTAAATATCTGATATGCAGGATGTATTTCCATTGTTACAGATTGAACACAATCAAAGCATAGTGATTCATCACAAAAACAATATGTAATTATATATTCAATATGTGTTTTCCGATGGTCTTAGACGACCTCTGTGAAAGGGTCTTTTGACTGCCAAAGGGGTCGCGACCCACAGGTTGAGAACCGCTGCCCTAAACATTTTATCCCTAAGATCAGAAACAAAGAACTTGAATACAGCATTGGGCTGGAAGTGCCACAGCGCAATAAAGCAAGAGAAAAGGCATCAAGTCTGAAAAGGAAGACAAAGAGCTGCCCCTATTTATTGGCAACATGATGATTTATGTAGAAATGCTAAGAAATCAACTAAAACTAGTGAGTGCATTCAGCAAAGTGTCTGGTATAAGGTCAATACACAACATCAACTTGTATTTCTGCAGAATAACATCAAACACTTGAAAACAACATTAAAGAAACAATGCCGTTTATATTAGTATCACAGACCATCAAATACTCAGGAATAAACTTGATGATAGATAGTCAAGACCTTGACCCTGAAAACTCTAAACCACTGCTGGGGAAAGGAAAGACCTGATAGATTCACCAGGTTCCTGCATAGAAGCTTCAAAATTAAGGCATCATTTATCCAGAAGTAAATTCAATAAAATCCTGACCAAAACGTTTGCAGGCTTTTTGTAAATACTGCTAGGCTGATTCTAAATTGACACGGGACTGAAAAGAACTCAGAATAGTGACCCAACCAGATCACAAACAAGTCCTCGCGGAGGGCTCAGTTCAGATCACTGTTCCGAGCGCCGAAGGGCTGTGGCTTCGACCCCTGGCAAGGCGTGCATGGGAGGCAACCAGCCGATGTTTCTCTCTCAAAGTCAATAAAAACATGTTCTCAGGTGAGGACTGAAAAGCAGAACAAAACAAAACACAAAGCTTGAAAACTTGTACTACCTGAATTTTTAAAAATGTTGTCAGTTTATTTTGTCCATTAGACTTAACACTACCTGAACTTAAGACTTGAACTATAATGATGCAGTGTGTACTGGCATAAGGATGAACAAACGGATCAACGGAACAAACAGGTCCGGAAACAGACCCACACTGAAAGGTCAATTGATTTTTGGCAAAGGTGCCAAAGCCATTCAATAGGGGAGGGAAGCCTCACCAACAAATAGTGGGGAGCAACGGGATATCCTTATGGTAAAAATAAATTTCAGCTCCTATCTTACACCTTACAGATCAATTCATTCAACGTGACATACGGTAAGAGTTAAAACTATAAAATATAAAGGAATATCTCTACCACCAAAGGGAGACAAAAGATTTTTTTAGGTAGGATATAGCCGAAACCGGTTTGGCTCAGTGGATAGAGCGTCGGCCTGCGGACTGAAGGGTCCCAGGTTCGATTCCGGTTGGGGGCATGTACCTGGGTTGCGGGCACATCCCCAGTGGGAGATGTGCAGGAGGCAGCTGATCGATGTTTCTAACTTTCTATCTCTCTCCCTTCCTCTCTGTGAAAAATCAATAAAATATATTTTTTAAAAAAAAGATAGGATACAAAAGTAATAACCATAAAAAAACACAAATTTATAAACTTCATCAAAACTAAAAACTTCTGTTCATCAAAACAGTGCTAAGAAGATGACTAGATGCCCTGACTGATGGGGCTCAGCGGGTTAGAGCGTTGTAGGGTGCACCGAAGGGTTGCGAGTTCTATTCCTGGTCAGGGCACATTACCCAGGTTTCGAGTTCGATCCCCGGTCAGGGCGTGTACGGGAGGCACTGGTCAAATCAATGTTTCTCTCTCTAACTCTCACTCTCCCTTCCTCTCAATGAAAAAAACATACCCTCGGGCGAGGATTAAAAAAAAGAAGAGACAAGGCATACTATGGTGAAAAATATTTGTGAAGCTGCAAAGGACTTGTATCAGACCCCTCACAAAGGCAAGGAATGATACACCCTCAAACAGCACATGAAGATGTGTTCACTGGCATTAGTCACCGCAAGACGCAAATGAAAAGCACCATGAGATGCCACGACACACCCACCAGAGTGGCTAAAAGCACAAAGACCGACAGGAAGGTGTGGTCGCTGCTGGGAATGTGCAATAGCTCAGCCGCGTGGCAAAGGTCTGTGGTCCTTGTGCACCTCATCACACACCTACCCTTTGACCCAATACTTCCACTCCCCGCTGTGCACTCAAGAGACATGAAAATATTAGAGGCCCGACGCACGAAATTCGTGCAAGAATAGGCCTTCCTGCCCCCGGCTGCCGGCACCGGCTTCCCTCGAAGCCCCAGCTTTTGTCCGGAAGGTCGTCCTGAAGGACGTCTGGTCTAATTAGCATATTATGCTTTTATTATTATAGAAGACTATACACGATGGGGCTTTTAAGTGGATCAGTAAATTAAAGTATATTGATACAATAAAATATGCCCCAGTAATTAAAAGCAACAATTGACATATATAACAACATTGATGAATCTCAAAAACATGACACAGAGAAAAAGCTGTGTGACTCCATTTGCCTGTAATCATACAAGGGGCAAAACTGCTCCAGGTGAGGCGCCAGACGAGTGGCAGGCCCTGGGCCGTCGGGGGAGGCAGGCCGGCAGGAAGGGACTGGGGGAGGAGGAAAAGGCTCACAGGTGTATCCCTTTGTCAAAAGTGTACAATAAGCTGTGTGTCTTTCAATGTAATTAAAACTTACGTGAAAACAAACAAAGGATTGTAAAGGCATATAATCAGGCTAGGGGTGGAGAGAGGGCGAAAGGAAAGAGACAAGAAAGGCAGAATGGTGGTACCTGCCGAGGCTGGTGAGGGGAGCTGGGGGGTCATTACACAATTTCGCTTGGTTTAACTTTTCCATTATAAAAAAAGTCTTTAAAAAAAGTTAACAGCAAAATCTATCACAGCTCTAAGATCAAGACCGAAAACCAAAAGAAGACAGGGATGGGCCGGAAGCCCCCCTGTGTGAGTGCCAGCCAGGACCCCTGGGCACGGAAGCTGCTCCCCGCCCCCGTGCTCAGTCCCCACGCCCAGGAAAACGCGCGCGGGTGCTCACCCTGGCTGGGCAGGGACGGGCGTCCGCCGGCCTCTAACCCCCGGGGAAAGCGCACTCAGCCACACAACCCACCTGCCCAGCCATCGTCGGCATCGGTGTCCAGGTCATCCAGGCCCTTGAGGTTCTCCGCGTTGATGATGGTGGGCCGTGGCGCCCGCTCCACCAGCTGCCTGAGCGGGCGGGGCGGGCGGGGCATGCCCAGCCGGCTGTCTTTTCTGATGAGAGAAAAGTTAGACACTGGACTTACGTCAACTACACATATGGAAGCAAAACCAAACGCTTTTAAAAAGTTAAGCCCCGAACTGCAAGGTCTGTGTGTGCGTTTGATGTGGAAGCACCCCCTTTGGAACGGCACACACCGGGGCGAAGGCACCGCCCAGAAGCTCGCCTCCTGCTGTAGCCGCGCTGCCCGGCTAACGCCCAGGGGCACGTGCCAAAACCTCCACTGTGCCAGGAACTCAAGGCATAACCCCACCTCCCGCCCGCACACCCGGGGTTGCGAGCTGGTTTCCAGGGCACCATGGTCTTTAGAAGACAAAGCACTGCCGTTCGTCAGCCGCCTGGTGTCCAAGGTCACCCCGTGGCGAGCTCCCCCTGCGCCCGCAGCAGGCCTTACCCGTCCTGGTCATTCATCTGGAACTGCCGGAAAGGAACGCGGGGCTCCAGGCGGAGCGGCGGAGGCGGGAAAGACGCTCGTTCCGCTGTACCCTGGTTCTCGGATGACTGTGGCGAACACATCTGAAACGTGACATCAATGAGCAGGTTTCTGGTAACGACCCCAATTCTCCGTTCCACTCGCATTCGAATTTGTTTTGGAAAATGAACAACGGGAAAAAGAAACAGGAACTCTTGGGGTTTCCCATGTAACCTGCCACCGTCTCCCCCATTTCCTTCCTGCTGCTAGTACACCTGGGCCTGTGCCCTGGGGGAACCTGCCTCTCCTCGTCCCAAGAGCCAAGGCTGAGTGAGCACATGAGCAGGGAAGAAGCCGGGGGCCCTGGGACTGGGGAGGAGAGAGAGTGGACACTAACGGAACCTCTAAGGCAGGGACGGGGCGAGGCGTGCAGCCAGGGGGGCACCGGAGGTGCACACTCCCCCGTGAAGCAGTCCTACTGGACGCGGACGGGCTCACTGTGGGAAACGCCCTCTGAAGACTTACAAAGGCAGGAAGCATGTCATGGTATGTAGGTGGGTGGTATGCGTTCCCCAGGAACTGCGAAGCCCCTTTGCGAACAGGCTGAGCCGGGCGGAGAGAGGGGTCCTTAGCATCGCTGGCGCCTGCCGAGGAGGGGGCTCCGTCTCCCGCGCTCGAGTTCCTGCTGCCCAGCTCAGTGGGGGAGGCGCTCAGAGACGTGGCAGAAATTATGTTTCGCCCACCGCCCTCCCTCCAGCTTGTCACATCTGGAAATTGAAAGGGGGCAAAACGGGAGAGGAAAGAGGAAGGGGGGAGGAGGGATTGTATGAGGTTCTGAAGGTCAAGGGACCCCTCATTCACCAAAAAAGCCCCCCAAAAAACAGAAAGTAAGACTAGGGTCCTGGTCAAGTGTGTCAGGGAGGTGGGGGCAGACTACACTGGCCAAGGCGTGTGAACCTGCCGAGGGGCCTGACTGTGAGACAAAGCGAGGTCCCCAGAGAGGAGGCAAGCGTGTGCGCATCTTCCCCGACCGACAGGAGCCCATCGCCACGGCGCTGGCCGCAGAGGCACCAGGCAGCCCACGGAAACAGCCGCGGCTCCTCCCACAGACGCCCCAGCCCTGGACTTGACATGAAACCAGAGTGAGTTCCGACATGTTTCCTGCTTTGTTTAGCGGCGGCCCCTCTAATCAAGGAGATCGCCCCGTTCATACGATGAAGCAGAGCAGCTCTTGCCGGGGGTGGGGGTGTGTAGACCAGACCCTCTTGCTGGAAGGGTCTGGACCTGCCACAGGCCTTGGCCCCGCCTGCCCTGCACCAGCCGGGGGAGGGGGGCCTTCTACAGGGCCCGGGGCCTGCTGACCGAGCTATCTTTCTCCATGATGCTTCCAACTGCCAAAGGCAGCAGGATCTGCTGAAATCACAGGCCCAGGAGGAGCTGCAGGAGCCAAATGCCTGCTGCTTTCAGTTAACTTGGGTGATGAGTTGAAACATGAAAGCTCCCTGCGTGTGGGACCCTAAGAGTAAGACCGAGGGCGAAGCCACAACACGGGGTTCAGCTCTAGCCTCCAAGCCCCGCATGTGGGCTCGGGTCAGCCCTGTCTGCGTCACCCCTCTGCCCATCTGCTGCTTCCTCTTCTCAGAAGAGGAGATGGAACCCACCCCAGAAGCTCCTCCGAGTTCTAACTGTTTATGGTCCTATAAGCCACCCGTCCTAACTAGACCCAGAAAGTTCCCGTTCCTGGCCGAAGGAACTGGAGGGTGTCTCTGGAGCAGACGAAACGACTCCGCAGGCCACCGGAAGGCGGGCGCTGAAGGAGAGCCGCACTGTGGCCGTTTCCTCTACAGGCCTCCGCTCTTGGGGTTAATCACAACAAGCACACACAAGTCCCGCGTATTTCCACCCCCCCCAAACACACCTCCAAAAAACAAGAGCCGTTTCAGAACCTCTGGCTAGAGCAGGTAGAAAATCGCATTCCTAAGTAACACTTTAAGCCACCCACAGCCCCTAAAAACCTCACCAGCAAGTTCCACTCCACACACCTGCCCCTCCTGGACCAGACCCCAGAGATGGGCCGTGGCGCTAGCGCTGAGCGGGCCACGCAAGGGCACGTGTTAAAAACAGGACTTCTGAGTTGGCGGGGGTGGGAGGCTGGGAGTCACACCTTGTAACACACTCCCCAGGTGACGCTGATGGCATTCGCGGTTTGGGAAGCTCTGGTCTAGAAAACCGCTCCTGAATCAGGGACCAAGGCAGCTGGCCCTTGGTCTGCCCATCCTTGCCATGACCACCTAGCACAGCACAACTTTCTGCTGACAGCCAGGAAGGCAGGCAGGCCTGGCGCACCCAACAACAAGAAAGAAGGGGTGACCTCCCGACCAGCGTAGGGTTCAAGTCCAGTGGGTGCAGAGGTCAGGCAAAGGGCAACAGCCACGCTTTCCAGGCAGGGAGCCGGCCTCAGGAGCCCGGCTCTTTGAGGCCCCGCACGCTCCTGTCTGAGGGCAGGAAGGCACGGGAGACGCTGCGCCGTGTGCCCGACGGGTGCAGCTCACTCACTCTGAGGGCGGAGGCTTGGTCCTGGCCCATACGACAGATCTAAGGCGCCCTTTTCTTTGCCAGCCTTGTCCTGCCCGCCAGCTGCTTTCAGCGTCGGAAATTCCTCGGGAGAGAAGGATAAGAGTCGGCTTGAGCCCCTTAAACCTGTCGAGAAAACCGGAAAGACTATGGAGCCAGGGAGGTCAGCACCAAGGATTCTCCGCCTCAGCAACTCCAAGCACGATGGCCACGCCGGCCGGGTGGGCTCCCGGGAGTGCTGGCAGAGCGCACTAGGGCTCCCCGAGGGCCCCAGATGCTGACCGACACGCCTTCAGAATCAGCGCTTCCTCCCTGGGGCCAAGGCCAGGCCCCCAGAGCAGTGACTCTCAGGTGGGAGACTCCACAAAGCTTTAGGCCAAGACAACCCAGGCCCAACCGGAATGGTCCCGAGAAGGCGCGCACCCGTCCTGCCCACCTCTTCCCACTTACCACCTTCGTGTCCTGCTGGCTTTCCATTCAGCTGTGCCCATGACTTTGGTCCACCTGGCACTGTATTTGTGTTCTGAAAAAGGAAGAGAATTGGAAGAGCCAGCCCCATCGGCCTGCTGTCCATTTCCCAAGCACGTGGGAAGGTGTTCACGGCCGCCACCAGGTTCCACCACGAGGCCCACAAGTCCACGGCCACGTGCGAGTGGGATCAGCCACAGGAGCTCTGCCTTTTCCGACAGCATTCAGCTGACCAGACCCCCTTCCATATGAAGGCAAAGCTACCACACAGAGCTCGATGAGCAAACCCTCACCACTTACTGGATTAGGTACCAAATTAAATAGCTACCCTTTCCCATGACCCCTCCTCTCCAGCCCACCCCCGCCCGCATACACACTCACGGCAGTGGCTGTCTCTTACCCTGAGTGCAGAGCTGACTGGATCTAACAAGCCATTTACTTATAGGGAGTTGCCCTGAATGCTTGCCATGGTGGCTGGAATGCCCCCAGGTCTTGCCCAAAGGACCACAGAAGGGGACCATGCAGCTGGGGTGGACGGCCCCTGCAGGAGGGCTGCACCTCCAGAGCCAGCAGGAGCAGAGGGGCACCAGGGCCAACCCCCAGCCTCCCATTTGGTGTCTATACGCAGCCAAAGGCACTAAACTGGACGAGGTACCCACAGGGCCAAGGAGGGGTTGCTATTATTGCCAGTGAACTTCATCCCAAGAGAACCGTACAACCTCCGGGGTGAGGTTTTAGAAACGGAGTCTCCTCTCACCTCCTCTGCATATGAGAGAAAGCCAGGCAGCGGCCGAGAGGAGCTGACAGCACTGGGCAGGGCCTGTGCTACGCCAGGCCGGGCTCCCAAACGGTCCCCAACAGTTTCTTTCAACAGATGCCCCGGCCCCTCCCTGGTCTCTCCAGGGGTGAGGTCCAGGCACATGTTTTCTGTCAACCAGCTCCCAAGGCAAGTGTGCTGTGCAGCCGGGCTGACAAACTGGCTCCTCTCACTGTTTCAGATTCTGAGAAACACGACTTCAACTCCACATACTCGGCAGACCCCGTGGATTTAGGCCAATGAATGTGGAGCCTCACACGAATATGATTTTTCTCTTTAATTTCAAAAGTACAGTTTGGTGTTGTCGGGTGGGGTTTCCTTCTGGCAAAGCTATAAACTTCCCCACAGATGGGGGATGGCGTCTCAGGCCTCCTGCTGCCAGGCAGCACGACGAGACTGAAGTTCGGTGGTTGGAGTTGTTTTCAAGGGTCTGGTGAGTGCCAGAGGTCTTGTCTAGGTTTCTTTTGACCTAAAATACTCAAGACTGTCATCTAGGTTTTTAGCCACCAGCTAAGCATGAGCCCTGCCAGTCTCTGGGACCCACCCCGCATCCAATGGACTCAGTGTACCGTGAGCTCTGGCTCAGCTCGGTCACGCCTTTCTCTTCAGAAAAACATTTTAATGCATCAACAATAAGCGACAACTGCAGCTGGGTATTTCCCAAGGAGGCTCTGAGACTCGATAGTCCCTAGAGACCTCGTTAAAAAGGTTTCCGAGGGCAAATCAATTTGGGGCCCGCTGTCCCTGATGCCCTCTCTCAGTCAGGGTGCACATTAAAGACACCGAGAAGACGTCCAAGAGGAAAGGAGCTTCTAGTTGTTGTTTTCCAGACTCCCCTTCCCATGGCCACCCGCTTCCTGTCTGCTTATGGCACCGGTCTCCTCGGAGCACAGCTGGGGACCCTGACCTCTGTATCTGCCTGAGCGACTTCACATTCACAGGAGTCAACAGACTCAAACGAGGTCTGCATTCAGCCCTGTGTGGGGTCTTCTCCATCAGTTTGCCGTTGGTATAAGCAAGTCAAGCAAAGCCACCCTTCTTGGGGGCAGGCGCTAGGTGGCTCCGACATCTGGACATCAGGACGGGGGCTCCAGCACCTACCTCCTGACTGACTGGCTGAGTCGGTTTCTGTAAATTGGAGACAGATTTCTGCAAACCCGGCTGCGGCTGCGACTCCGGCGGCTGAGAGGCCGTCGCACTGGAACTAGACAGAGGCAGGACACACAGGGAGGATTAGATGCGGCACAGGCCACGACAAGGTCCCTCGGCATTTCCAAAAGCCACAGCTGCTCATCAGCGGCTCCCTGGGAGCCAGACCCCTCTGGCCAATAGAAGGAGTACTTCCCCGGGAGACGCTTATGCTGGCAAATACCCCATCTGCCGTCTACTCGCTGGCATCAACAGGGCAGAACAGGCCTCTGTCTGCAAACACTGAGAGCTCATGTGAACAGTGAAGCCATGGAGGACCTGCCAATGGGGAAACTGAGTCACTGAGGGGAGGGGGCTCTGAGTCCCTTCCTCCTGACCAAGCCTCGCAGCTACTGGGGGGCTGCCTGCTTTGAAACGGCAGATAAAACAAACGGGGACCATCTCTTGGCTTGTGTAACATATTTGCTCACAGCAAAGCTAAACTTATCAATACATGTAACAAAGTTCTCACGACCGCATCCTCTGGAGAGAAACTCGAAGCGGACTTTTCTCAACATAACAGAGTATTTTTAACACAAGTGGAATAATGCCACACATACGATTCTGTAACTTTTTCACTTAATTTGACATCTTTTCATGACAATACATAGGGACCTACCTCTTTCTTTTAATGACAGTACAATTGGATGACCATAATTTAGCAATCTCCGTTTTTTCTATTAAAGATACAACCGCAGTGAGCATTTTTGTATAAATATCTTTGTACACCTTTGCATAACTCAGTAGTGTAAGTTCTTAGGAATGGAATTGCTGGATCAAAGATGTTTTGAAGTTTAAAAGGTATTGCCAAACTGCCCTCCAAAGAAAGGCTGCATCAGTGTACACCCCATAGGTAAGCTTTACTTTTTTAATCCTCACCGGAGGATATTTTCCCATTGATTCTTAGAGTGGAATGGAGAGAGAAGGGGGGGAGGGGGGAGGGGGAGAAGGGGGGGGGGGGAGAGGGAGAGGGAGAAATATCAATGTCAGAGACCCATTGACTGGTTGCCTCTCCACTGGCCCTGACCTGGGAATTGAACCCGTGACCCTTCAGTCTGCAGGTCAACAGTCTAACCACAGAGTCAAACTGGCCAGGGCCCCACAGGTCATCTCTTGAGAAGATAACGAGAAAGGGTCCTGAGGAGATTTCTGCTGACTCAGCAGCCTTCCAGTCACTCTTCTATTCAAGCTTCTGCCGGGCAAGACGCGAGGAGGTCAGCCATCCACTCGCCCGAGTCCACCCACTGCTGGAGCTCCCGCCGTAAGCTCAAGTCCAGTCCCCAGGTTCACTTCACCCACGTAACTCATCACCACCGTGACCACTCCAACACGAAGGCCGCCGATCCTCTCACGTGACCTTCTACCCAAAGCAGGAGCGTCCAGGCAGTGCTGCCTCAGTGCTCCCCGCTGAGCACTTGCTCCCCCTCCCACCCCTCCATGCGCCCAAGGAGGGCAGGCCCAGCAGCAGCAGAGACCCAGGGCCGGGGTCTGCTGCCTTCCGTCTCCACTCACCCCTCCTCCCAGCAGACATGCAGCACCACGGCCTCATGAAGCTGCAACGCTCTGAGCCAGCGCTGCGTGAGAACAGGTACAGGGAGGGAGCGGCGCTCTGTCCTCTCTCTAGAATTTTCCGTAGTGTGGGCATTTCAAGGCCTGTGTTGAAAGGTGTCATATCCATTGCTCTAGAGTTTGTCGTGTCCACCATTTGATTAGAATGACGACAGTGGCTGGCATCTGCCACGCACGTCCTCCGGGCCAGGCTCTGTGCTAAGTACCTGGCTTGTGTTCTCTCATCTCTCTTGTAACTGCCCCGGAGCCAGGTATATTCTTACTTCACAGGACAATGAAGCTCAGAAGTCAAATGATTCTCCAGGTGCCATAAAGCTAACGGGCCGCTTGGCTGGGCATCCCGCACACCTGTCCGGTCCAAATTCACACTAAACCATCAGCCAGCATGATGCCCAAGCAAACTGTCAGAAAAACGTTAAATAGCGTTTAGGACGCTACTGTGGTTACTGCTACTTTAAGATCTGACTGATTATTTGCTCGCTCTCTCCACCCTGCCCGGAGCAGCTACAGAGAAGCTTCACAAAAGCTGGTGCGGCCGTTTCCAGGGAGAGTGAAGGACGCCCGTCAGCAGCTGTCCCGGATCCCGAGCCCAGCAGCCGGACCGTGAGATGCAGAGCAAGAGGTGCCCCAGCAAGGACCGGGGAGCGTGCATCCCACAGAGGCTCCCCTCGGCTAGGTTTCTGTCCCCTCCGTCCTCCCAGCACAAGTCCCCAGTCCTCTTCCCTGGACGCCCCTACCACTGGCCGGAGCCCCGTCAGGAGAGCTGGGGCTCAGGCGCCGGGAAGGCCCGGCTACGCGCCCGCACGTCCCTAACGACTCCGTGCCAGCCCGGGTCACCAGGCTGCGGGCCCTTCTGCCTCCTCTGCGGGAGCCGGCTGCTGGCCGCCCGCACACAGGGACCCCAGAACGCACACAGGGACCCCAGAACGCACACAGGGACCCCAGAACGGAGCGTGCAGGCGCCAGCTCTGCCCAGAGGCTCGTCCAGGAGCTGGATCCGAGTCGCCGCATGTGCGCCCGCGGCTGACGGGCCTTTGCTAATGAGGCGCCGGGGGCTGGTCACGGGGACCGGGCGGCCCGCAGAAACGCCGCTGCACGGGCTCCGAGAGGCAGGAAAACGGCAGGCAGGGAGGAGAATGTGGGCAGGGAGGTGCCCGGGCCGCCTGCCCTCTGCTCTCACCTCTTTGGGTCTTGCTGGTCCTGCTTGTTTGCCCATCCCGTCCCGTCCTTGGGTACGATAACGATGTTGGGGTCGTTTCCTTTGTTTTCAGACTTCAAGCTCGGCAGGTTTGCAGGCGGTGGCATACGCCGGGCTGTGGCAACTTTCCCGAGACTCTGTAAGCCATGTCTAGGAATTACTGCAGGGAGACAGGGGAGGAAGCAGGTAGCGCACTGGCAGGTGACAGGCCAGACCAGGGGTGGGCAAACTTTTTGACTCGAGGGCCACAAGGGGTTCTTAAACTGGACCGGGAGCCAGAACAAAAGCATGGATGGAGTGTTTGTGTGAACTAATATAAATTCAAAGTAAACATCATTACATAAAAGGGTACGGTCTTTTTCTTTTTTAGTTTTATTCATTTCAAGCGGGCCGGATCCGGCCCGCAGGCCGTAGTTTGCCCACGGCTGGGCCAGACCATTCAGCTGCTCTTTCAAACCCCAAGGGACGGTGACAAAGGCAAGAGAACAAACACGAGGGGCGGCCCTGCCAGGGAAACAAGCAGCACTGTCCGGTGGTCACTTTAGTCACTTGACAAGCCCTTCGCCAAGGCCTTGGAAGACACGGAAGCTTCCATTTCCACAGCGGGCAGAAGGCTAGGAGCGGGTGGCCCAGAAACCTCGGGCCCACACAGCAGGCACTCTCTGCAAGAGGAGATGCTCTGGCCTCGTTGAAGTAGGACTGAAAGGACCAAGCCCCGGCCCAGCCCACGCCAAGCCTGGGCATTCATAAAACCCTCCTGGGGTGGGGATAGCATCGGCAGGAATTTTCCCACCACATTCCAGAGTCCTGGAACCATGAAATCTAAACCGGGTAAGTCTAATGCAAATTAAGCTCCATTCTAACCACCAGGCTAAAAATACCCCTGGTTTCAGTAAGATAAGCTAGAGGGGGAGCAGCCCCCCACAGCAGTCAGGGTATGAAATCAGACCTCACACAGAAGCGGGGGAGGCTGCTGCCCAGAACTACCGGGTGACCCCTCCCTGCCTACAGGAAGGACTCTGGGCTGCCACGGTCCTTGACCAGGAGGTTCTCACTGAAGGGAAAGTGGGAAGGCCTGGCCCCGACCCCGGCTCTTACCTGAGGATCTGATTGCGTCTACTGATTTTCCTTTATACTTATCAAACAGGCTGAGCGTCGAATACTTGCTTTTCCCATCCTTGCCCTTGGTTATTTGCCCCAAACGATCGGACATTGCGATGAAATGTCATCTAGTAAGGAAATTTTTCTCGGCACCGCCCCGATCTGCCTTTGAAATGGAAAAAAAAAGAGTGCGTCAATCCACCGAACCTCTGATCCAGTGAGTAAATCCTTTAGGAGTCATGGATCTCTTCGAAGATCTAAAGAGAGCTGTCGACTCTCCCTAGAAACCACCCTTGCTGCGCAGGCAGTTCAGCTCCCATCCAGAGCTTTCTGCAGACTCGCTGATCCCGCCCAACACTCCCCTTCCCCTCACCTGCTCCCTCTGAAATGACCTAAGGCTACTGCTCATCAACAGAAATGCCAGCTCTCACAGTCCTGGGTGCCTCAGCCTCTCCAGGTGACATCAACAGTAAGACGGGCAGAACAGGGAGAGAGGTACACGACCCACAACGGGAGGACAAGCATAACCAAATCCAAGGGAGGCAACTAAAGGCAGTGTGTCACCGGGAACAGTCGGGTGTGTGCACTTTTCGAAATAAAGAACCAGCACCCAGAGAGAAAACGCGCTCAGGCCACGAGCGCGGGCCCTCTGCGAGGCAGGCGTGGGAGCCAGGAGCAAGTGCCCCCAGAAAGCTGGAGAGTCCGCAGAACCGAGTCTTTAGATAAGACAGGGACTGAGGCTTCTGAGCATCAAGAAATCATTGTCTTGCCCCCATTTGATATTTCTGATGCTCTCCCCCCGAAAGGTACAAATGACATTCATAGTACAACTACTTCAGATCCAGAAGCAATTACTCCTAGAAACACAGTTCTAAACCAGCTGTACCAAACATCTCCTTCTCCAGAAAACCCAAGCACATTCCAGTGGAATCCTGGCTGCTGTTTAGCTTCAAGGCCATTAACTGTGGAAACAAAGAATACTCCCTCCAGCCCGGCCGGCGTGGCTCAGTGGTTGAGCATCAACCTATGAACCAGGAGGTCACGGTTCAATTCCTGGTCAAGGCACAGGCCTGGGCTGCAGGCTCGATCCCCAGTGTGGGGCGTGCAGGAGGCAGCCAATCCATGATTCTCTCTCATCAGTGATGTTTCTTTCTCCCTCTCCCTTCCTCTCTGAAATCAATAAAAATATATTAAAAATAAATAAAAGAAAACGTCTTAAAACAAGCACTTTCAAAGATCCCACATCCCGGAAGAGGCCAAAAGCTCGAGCAGGGTCCAAATAGGACCCACCAAAAGGTGCGGGCGGGGGGGGGGGGGGGGGGCGGGAGGGACAGAAATGTGCCTTCTGTCACCAGGAGGAGTCACTCCATGGACGCTGCTAGGGATGCTTTTCGTCCTCAGACCCTGTGAGCACGCTGCCGCCGCACACGGTAAAGGCACTCTGCAGGTGATCAAATGAAGGGTCTTGAGGTGGGAGACTATCCTGAATGACCCAGGCGGCCCGATGTCATCACAAGGGTCCTTGGAAGGGGGAGGCAGGAGGGGGGTCAGGGGCGTGGCGGTGGAGTGACGCTCTTTAAGATGGAAGAGGGCGGTGGGCAGAGAAGGGGGGGCCTCCAGAAGCCGGGAAAGGCAAGAAAACAGACTCGCCCTGGAGCCTCCGAGGAAGAGGTGCTGGGGACACCTTGATTCCACCCCAGCAAGACCTTTCACACTCCGACCCCATTTGTGTTGTTCTATGTCACTAAACTTGTGGTAACGTCCCACAGCAGTGGTCGGCACACTGCAGCCCCCTGAATGTGGCTCTTCCACAAAATACCACACGTACGGTGCGATTGAAACTTCGTGGCCACACTCAAGGGGCCAAAGAGCCGCATGTGGCTCGCGAGTCGCAGTTTGCCGACCACTGTCCTACAGCAACAAGAGAAAACAGGCTCATTTATTCAAGAGATTTGTTGTTGTTGTTAATCATCACCTGAGGACGGAAGAGGGAAAGATAGAGAGAAACATAGATGTAGAGAAACACATCAATTGGTTGCCTCCTGCACAAGCCCCGACCAGGGCCCGGGCTGGGGAAGAGCCTGCAACTAAGGTACCTGCCCCTGACCAGAACCGAACCCAGGACCCTTTGGCCCGCAGGCTGACGCTCTATCCACTGAGCCAAACCGGCTAGGGCTATTCAACATATTTTTACAATGGGCCTGGGATATCTACAGCTGAGGACAAGCTGCACACAACTCCCGGCTTACGACGTCCAGCCCACAGAAATGAGGGACCCGCCCACAGCCAATGGGGCTAATTACAAGCATGTTCTGGAATCTTTCACTCCGGCACAATGATGAAAAATGCTAAACTGCAGCTACACCTGGGCTGTCCCCGGCCATGGCTTTCACCTGACCACCGGGCCTACAAACATTTCTAAATAAAACCAGTGGTGCCTCCTTCTCACCCACACACCTGGCAGGACTGCAGGTTGAGCGTCATTAATTTAAATTTACATGACTAATTCTTACTAAATGAAAAACCACATTGGCAGAGGCAAGAGAAGGCAAAATCGTTTACCAGCCATTCTGGATCATCAAACGTCCACATTAAATGTTATTATGCCTGCTTACTAAAAATGAAATGTCTTTTAATTCTGAAACTTGACAGAAAGCATGCATTCTATAGGCACTGCTAAAGAGGCTTCCTAAAACCCAAGGCCAAACTCCTGCCAGTTCACGCATTTCCCTTAGACTCCGCGCTGGGCAGAGTTAGACTGGACACTCTCAGTCGTCTTCCTGGGGACAGGACCCTCCTCTGAGAACTCACCGGTCCCCACCCCCACCTCCAGGAAGTGCTAGGAGACTGGCAGCCCGGCCACACCTGCATTGGCATCGCTGAAAAAGAGAAAGAAAACCTGGCACACACGAGCCACTCTCCTGGGGGTTAGAATTGTGTCTGTGGGTGTGAGATGCCTGAACCTTGTCCTCTCGGCAAACGCAACCATTCGCCAAGTAGTAGCTGAGCACCTACTGTGTTCAGATGAAAAGCTTCCCACCAGAGAGTCAGAAAACCAGACGGGGCACACACTGGCCCGGGGTCTGCACTAACCCCGCAGGCGCCATGTTCTTAGAGAGCCTCCCCCCACTTTGTAACCGAGCTTTGCACTAGCTGGGCACACTCCTGGCTTCTCTGGACCTCGGTCTCCCCCTCGAAGACTCGATCCCAGACGTGCCAGCCAGTTCCAAACGCTGGTGATGCACAGCCACGGAATCGCAAATGCTTCACTGTCAAAGCAGCTCTCGTACCACTTCTGGGGCTGGAGCCTACATTCCTACACAAACCGGCGCTGCCAGACAGTGCAACTGAGTCGCCACTGCTATGGCAACGGCGCCCGTGGGGGAGGAGCTGACACTTCATCTTCGCCTTCCACGCAAGGCTGCACAGGAGGTCTTCCCGCCCAGCTTCCCCGGGAGCAGGGGTGGGCAAGGTTCAGTCGGACCTGGAGGAACACGCAGCGGAGGCCTCCAGGGCCCACAAAGCGTAAGCAGCGCTACACGAGGGGTCTTTCCCGAGGCCAGATTTCACTGGACCCAGATTCCAACTACAGACACAATCACTCCGTCTCCCCCAGTTGTATGTAGTGTCATATTTGGGGCCTAGCCCAGCCCCACACCCATCTGGCTCCTCCGCCTGCCCCGCTGGTTTCCACATCAGGCCAGGAGCACTAGCTGTCAGTAGGGATTTAAACAGCTTCCGAAGATCCGCTGAATGTCTATCTGTCTCACCTGTCTGTCTCTCTTTCTCTCTCTCACTCACACACACACACACACACACACACACACACACACACACCACTCGCCTCCTCCCAGGGCAGAAAGAAGTGCAGCAAACAGCTGGGCAGCTGGGTGTGACTCATGAGCGGGTCGAGGTGAGAGAAGGCATTTCTCTGCTTTCTCCGCGAGCTCATTCACGCATGACTCACGCCGGGTCCGTGGGACGCGACCTGGCTGAGAGGCCCAGTCCTCGCGGGCAGGCAGACCCAGCCTGGCGGGCAGCCTCCGCCTTCGTGCTGCTTTCCCTCTCTATTGTGGCAACAGGATGCACTTTTGGTTTCCCCCCCAAACAAAATCTAATTGGGATCCTCAGTGTCACATGTAAAACAGATGCGAGCCACAGCGCCCTGCCTGGGGGAGGCCCGCCTGCGAGCCAACTCCCTTGTAACCCCTCCTTACCGACGCGCCGCCATGGGGGCCAAGAGCATTTTGAAATGGGTGCCCATTCGGCAGAGGAAACAGCGCCTAAAGTCCAGGGCAGATAGCTTTGGGGAATGAAGAAAAGGACATTTAAGAACAATTTCAGGTCTGCGTGTTTTGGCAAGTCATCTAAAGACCTGCTCTGAGAGGGGCAGGCTTCCCTGGAAGAAGACAACTCCAAACATTCCCAGCAAAGGCACTTCACACCAAGCCCGCCTCCCGCCTCCCCAGACAGCAGTCCCACCTGTCAAACAGGTTGCGGGACTGCCTGCTCGCTGCCCCCGCTCCCCCGCCCCCCGAGAAAATCGCCCTGCACTCCATCTGATCGAAAGCCATTTCCGGGTACAGGATTAACTTCACTCTGCACTTGGGTACCAGCCAGTGTCAGCCACCCAGCCAGACAGACAATTGGGGATGGCCTTGGGATGGCTGTAATTCCCTGGGGAGCCACTGCAGCTACCCAGTCAGGGCTGGGGACAGTGGCCTCCAGCATTCCTGAGAGCCAGGCACCCTGCTGAGCACCCAGGCCTGTCTGAGGACCCCTCACAACAGTTCTTTCTAGAAGATACTGTCACCAGCCTGCTTTACCGAGAAGGACACTAAGATGCAGTCAGAATATGGAAGTAACTCGTCCAAGGTCACGGGACTACCTAGTGTTGGACTTTAAGCCCAGGGAGGACATGACCAGGCTCAGACCTTGTGCCCAGAGGACCCGACTCCCGGCTGCTGCTGCTTAGCTGCGGGAGGGCAAGTGCACAGACAGGAAAGAGACGCACTGGTTCTGAGGTCAGTCTGCCCAGGCTAAAGGCAGCCCCTGGCAAAGTCTCCAAGTAACAGCCTTTCCTTTCTCCGGTGCTGCCACAGCCAGCGCCACACCAGGCACCTCCCAGCTCCTCACAGTCTCCCTGGTGCCAGGGACACTGGTCAG